TCTAAACGCGAGACAAAAGACTTTGCTTCCATCTCATCAATGTTCTCACTAGGCTTTGCAGTTTTTCCATGTCTCTGGCTCTTTCCCACTACAAATCTATAATCATTACCAAGTTGGGCCTGAAAGTTTTATTTTTTCAAAAGAATTGAACCAAAAAGTGTTGTTTAAGAAGTGCTGCTTTAATTTTGTTTCGGAACAGTGTATAAAAACAACAATCAGTATTTACATAATAAAACAGGAAATAAAAAAGTGCTTTATAAAGACAATTGATAAAGGTTATACTCACTCCAGTGATGTTGATCTTGTTGTCTCAAAAAGCACTGTTAAACTTCATCATTAGTTGATAATACCTTAATGCATATACAAACAAATGATAAAATAACATGTACGAGTAAAAAAAGTCTTACATGGAATAAGATGAGATATTTAAATTTACTTATATACGTTGAAATCCAATGATGTATATCTCATGTATAAACTATAATGTTTTGAAATCTGAAAAATTAATATATGGAGAACAACAAGTTTATTGGAGGTATTTTTTATATTAATTTTTTGTGATTGTAGCAATCTCCAACTGATTCTCCTCGTTAAAGCCAAAATACGTAAGATACCAATGCTTTCGATGTCTGTTTAACGCCCAAGCAGTGGTGTTGACACCATGCCCACCAGAAAGTGAAAGCCTTTCTTTGGAGGATAGTGTCCTCTTTGCTCTGTAAAGAAATTACAATGAACAAACCGAAGGTTAGAAATAGTAGTTAAATTTGAACTAACCCGCTTTTGGTAAAAAATATGATTTGGCACTGGAATGATTTTTTTCCTCAAAGTGAAAAAATCTAATGGTGAAATAGAAGTTTGGATCCCATGATTTTCTTATTTGGCTTGGCAACTTGTCGATAATTGTTTTCCTTTGGCTAATCACATGTCCTTTTTTTTTTTTTTTAATAATCTATGAGAAAATTTATGTTCATTTTGCATCTTGTGATTAGACATTTAGACCTGTGAGTTTTCCCCCCTTTTTTGGGGGTGGTCATATAATGCCTCAGTGTACCAAAGTCAGAAATCCTTTAATTAACCTAAAAATTTAAAATTTTAGAGGAGGTTATATTTCTGTTTTACTCCGTCAAGTATATAGTCATGTGTTTTTATTTTTGGTCGTATATAGTTGAGTTTTTAGAGATTACTTTTTAATAAAACAAATGGGCCAAAACCCAAACACAAAGAAGATAACTGAACATCATAGACCAAAAGGTATGGTTGTCGCACGCAACTGAGCCTTTATGTAAGTCACGAAGAAAATTCTTAGCATGATAATCCAGATACCTGAAAAATAAAGATACTTAGAAAATAGTTCACTTTGGACCAAAAAGAAATAAAGAAAAATAAATTAGTTTAATTGGTAATCCAATCTAAATCCCTAATCCTTTCTCAAAGGACATTAATAGCAAACCCGTCCTGTCACAAACCCATGTTTAGGTCTTTCATATTTACACTCAGCTAGCTTAGCAAACATATATAACGATAAAACATCAATAGTAAACATTTTAAAATCTTAGAACTGATCTACCTAAACTCTGATCAAAGCAACATTTAATAGTTGAACATGTTCACTTTGAAGAATTTAAATGTGAAATTAATTACAATACAAATGCACAAAAAAAAGTTGCCACAAAATTATTACACGCAAAATTCTTATTTAGACTATATATTACAAAAATAATTGATAAATTAGTTGAAAGTTTAAAAATTAATTTTAACTAAATGTTAAAAAGTTATTAAATGAATTTATTGAAATAGATATGTTTTTATAAAATTAGCTAGTAAATATAAAATAATATAAAAGGACATGTTTATATAATTTGTATATTAATTTTTATTTTGCAAAAAGAAATAGCTTTTTAGATAATTATATTTAGGTTTTTTATTATTTCTGAACTCTTATCAACTTTTGTTTAAAAATCAAATAATTTATTTTTTAAAATTAATATTGTAATATTATATGAGTGGGTAAATGAAAATTTTTATCCGAATATTGAGGGTAAAAAAAGGACAAACACTACCTCAACCAAGTGAAAATATACATTCTTTTATCAAAGCGCTTCTATTTTAATACAATAAACTTATAAATTAAACAAATCAACTATAAATTTTTAAATATTTTATGAAACACACTTTGTATAATATCTTCACTCTTGAACTCGCTGTTTCAAAAGATATGCAATAACTTGTTATAAATTTATCTTGAGTACACTTTGATGGCTATAACACCGCAATAACAGAGGTTTTCTATAACAATCATGGTATATAGTGTGTTGATTTAAACAACCGAGCTTGCAGAGATTAGTGCAGTTGTGTAACATGTTTACCAGACAAGCCCTCATAATTTTATTTTGTTGTGAGTTTAATTAACATTAGTCTGCACATACATAGAACCTAGTTATGATTAATGTAGGTTTGTTCAAGTACAAAGAGAAACATCCCATTTGACTGAGTGGATATTGTTTAGTTTAGCACAAGAATTAATGTTTCCTTAGCCTTGGAATCTTAAGACTAAGTGACTGACCAAACGGCAACAGGACGTAGTTTCTCGGTTCATTTTGTGTCTGTGATTTACAGACAATGCTCACCGCAATGATAGCCGATGACAAGATTATGATCTCTCAATGATGGTTTAATATTATATTATTTCATGATGGGGATTTTGTGCTATAACAAATACCTGTATGAGAGGACGGTTCGAATTTAATTTGTCTGCTATGCTACAATTTTTTAATTGCATCTCCCATGTGCTTGTTCCAGTCAACAATTTTGTAAAATCAGTGTGAGAGAGAAAGTAAGTAAGTTTGGTCCTAATTAATAATGGCATCGTGCCAAAGCCAGAGTTCAGAGCTAGAACTACCTGTTTCTCTATTCTGGCACTGACTATAGTTTATGAAATTGAAGGCAAAGTCATCAACACAGATTCAATATAGTCAGGCTTGTAACTGTAAGTAGTAGTGCCGTAGCATCACAGACCAAAGGAGCAGTACCAAGTTCACTACATCCATGTCAAATTCACTAGCTAGCATCACTGCGTCTTTTTATTTATTCATTTTTCTTTTAAAGTGAAAAGATAAAATACAGAGTAAAATAACACATTTAATAACTTTTTATTAAAAATAATTTTTATCAATTATATTATTGATTCTTGTAAAATTGTCACAAAAATTAAGTTTATAAAATTTTACCCAATTTAAACAATTATAGATATGTAGTCTATTAATACTTATTTGCTTATATTTTATTTTTCAAATTAAAAGAACAGCCTTGCAATTAATCGCTTACCAATAATTTGAAATATATTATTTTTCATAAAAACTCTCATGACCACAATTTATCACTTTAGGTTCAAACAAAAGTTAAAATAATACTTCAAGCTTGAAGTTTGAATTCAATGTGTTGTTTTCTTTTCTTTAATAGATAAAATAACATTTTAGGTAAACTTTTAGTTGTTAAGAAAATTCAGAAAAAATATTTTAATTGGAAATAATAAAAATTATTTTAATTAAAAAAATATTTAGAGAGATATAAATTTAATTTGAATCATAAAAAAAGAGAAAACCTGAAAAAATAAATAAAAAGAGAAAGTGAAAAATGACTCTTTTCATTCTCATCCATTGCTTAAATTGAATGGTTAAAATTTATTTACATGGCATTATGTTAAAATAGAAAATGAAAGAATCATGATAAATACAAAACGAGAAATAAGTGATAATTTTGATGTGATGGGAAGAAAAAAAATAGAAAAAATTAAACTTTTTTTAATTATCTGTCTAAATTTTCTACTTGACCTAGACATATTCGAGTCAAGTAAAATTATTTTATGTGACGTAAATCTTTATTTAAATATTTAAGACATTTATATTAATTAAAATTTAAACTTATTTTATTAATTTTCTAATTTAAGAGTATAAATATGTATTTTAACTATTAAACTACGCCACACTTTAGTGGGTTTTTTTTTATTTGGCATATCAAGCAATTGGCACGTCATTGCGTGCGTGGTTTGTGTTGGGTTGGAATGGAATAATGCAAATTATATGAATTTTATTAACATAAAGGAAGGGAAAAAGTGGATTATGGGAGGTGTGGCATTATTGAGTGAATACAACGAAAATGATTAGTATTTGTACTTTACATGTACATACATGGGCAGACAGATGTACATGGCTTCTATCCTATTTGACTATTCTGCATATAGAGTCGTAATTCATTCCAGGTCTATCAGCATAATGCCTCAATATCAATTCATTAATTAATCTAAGCCGCCGATTTCGTTAAAATGGGCTCATTGTCCAATCCTCTATGGACAGATAGTGAAACATAGGTGTAGTACACCCTTGATTTAAGACAAATTGTAAAAATAGTCTCCAATCATGTTCATTATTTAGTCTAGTCAAGGAGGTTTATCTTGCCCATTTTGTAATTCCAAACTTGGAAGTTTGATGGAACACTGCATGATTTGAGGTTAAACTCAGTGTTAATAAGAGGTCACAACAATGCGGGTTAGAATTTCTGATTATATGCTTATCTTGTGAACATCCATCCACTCATTTTCAAAGGCAAAACAAAGTTAAATACTAATAAACCTTATTAATCTTCGTGGTGAGTTTCATACGGGGTACCCAATAGCATTATTTTTTTGCCATCGACCGACAAGGGATCCAAACTCTGCCATTAATGAAGGCGACAACCTCTTTGATTCTCCATTGATCTTGCAGATATATGTCCCTCTATCTCACTCAATACCGTCTCTTTTTCACTCAATATACTACTATTTGTGTCTGGAGGAACAGTGAACCTTTGAGCCTCTTATATTACATAAAGATCCTCTCACCCCACTTCGCAGCCTATATCCATTGCTCTCTTTTGCGTTCTCTTCCACACTTGTCCATAGTAACACCATAAGCCACTATCACCAGTCTATCTGTACATCCTCTTTCTCCCATCTCTAGATAGCCATGAGTTTCCATCCTAATACTTCTCTTCATCTAAGCCAACCAGATGAGAATCATCTCAATCTAGCACTTCTCCTTGAGCCATCTTCATCTTCACCTTCACCTATTAGTCCCATTGAGCCTCGAATATTCTCATGCAACTATTGCCAGAGAAAGTTTTACAGCTCTCAAGCCCTTGGGGGCCACCAAAATGCTCACAAGTTGGAAAGGACACTGGCCAAGAAGAGCAGGGAACTCAATTCAACCATGCAACCTTATGGAGGACCTGAGCAGCGATCAAACTTCACTGCTTCACACCCTTTTAGTCATGCTCTTGGGGTCCTTGATAGCCAAGGACAAAGCTTGAGGCTTGGTGGAAGGAAAGACTTTAGTTATGGTTCCAAGGAAGGGGTGGCTTCTTGGTCAAGGGGTTATACTTCTGAACATGTTCAGGAGGATATTAGCCAACTTGACTTGTCGTTAAGGCTTTGAAATTTTAATGTTGAAAGATCTGATCTAAGGCATTGATCTGAACTAATTTCTGATTCTGAATGAAACAAACAATGCCTCAGTTTATACTGAGAGAGAGAGAGAGGGGGTAGCTAGTTAGGGGTGTGGGGGAGGGGGAATCAATTGTGCTTGCTGTAACAATTTGAAGTGACACTTTTGAGAAGATCAGTACATGCCACTGCCACTTTTTTCCTTAGAGGTAAAGGAAGCTGAATTTCAGGTTACATAGGTTACTATATTGGTGACTGTTGGCTATATTTATGGTTTACTTTGTACGTTTTTTTGTACTGTAAGCATGGCAGTGTATCTATTATTAATATATGATAATTTTTTTAAGAGAGAAGAAACAAGTTTGATAAAATAAAATGGAGCAATATACGCAACTACGAATTAAAGGGCACTGCAGGCAGTGTAACTAACTAGCTTCTATCAGAAACCAGGCTATTCCGATAGGATTTGCCTTAGACTACCAATTCCATGCAACATTTTAGGGATTTCCATGCCACATTGCTTGTTTAAATATATATAACATGAAATAGTAGCAGAGGCACAATTTAAAACTTGAGCTTATAGTGGTATAATTATGGAATCATGTTGCAAGGTGGACTGCATAATATATAGGTTCAGTTTCCTTGTAATTTTATGCAGCAAGTGGCATTTAATACAGTTCCCTTCGGTCTCTTCATTCTTACATGCAGTTTGAATAAAGTTTCTGAATGTATTTCACATGGTATTGTTGGTGGGAAATTAAAGATGCCTGTCTGCAGTAAATAAGTTCCTTAAAAGTTGTATATGTATTTAATTATTGACACAAAGTAATGTCTCCTTCATAAAGCCTTTTATGGTTCCTGACATGCAATTCTTTCTTGATTCTAAAAAACAAGTGTATAATTTTCCTTGGCTTTGTCAACAGCCTTCTCCCAACACCACTAACAAGAGCTTAAATAAAGGAAAAGGAAAAACAAGAGACTGGCGAGTTTCTTACCATGATTTCTTCCTCTACCACTGAAAGGACTTGAACTGATGAGCTCATTGAAATCCAGGTTGTTGCACTAAAAAATAAATAAAACACAAATTCTTGTTGAGATAAGATCGATATAACTCTATAATTAACTTCTCAAACAAGAGAGACATGAGACTATATTATGAGCTTCATTTTATTGATGTTTTAAAAATATTTATTTTGAGATGTTCAACATAACTTATAAAAATAGTTTATTATCTCACAATAATTTATGGACAAGACAATTCATAAATAAGAATTGAAACAAGATTAATATAACCCTATAACACAATGTATTCATATTATTACGTTATATAGTTTTTAATAAAAATGTATTATTTTAATATTATAATTAAATTTCTAATATAAACTTTTATATACAAAAATTTATTAAATAAATATTTAATTAAACAATGTAACAAAATTCATCTCAATAGTTGGGTCATGTTGACTAGACAATTCATCAAGATCCTATGCCTAATATCAATACCTTCTTATATATGCTGAGTATAAATGAATAATTGGTCTTTTATTACTTTTGGAGTTAAAATGGAGTTTCAATATCAGTAAATAGGTTATTGTCACCAAGTTGAAAATGTGTACTAACTATTAGGATGTTTAATAATTATTAGCATTTTTTTAATGAACAATCTCTGTTGATGTCAAATTCGTCATTTACTTGATCAAGACGCAGCTCATTTGTATTTTGGTACACACATATAAAGTTACTGTATGCTTCAACAGGTGTGACAAGTTTCAACCGTGTGCATTGGATGTGCTTCCATTACATCAATTTGGACTGCAAAGAATATTATTGGATCGCTTTCAATTCACTTGTGATGGGCAGCAGTCAGCAGATGGTGCACATTGTGCTTATTGAAAGGAAAAACATAAAAAACCTACAATTTTTTTTTACTAATTAAATGATTTATCACTTATATAATTGAGTGTAAGTAAGTCTACTGTATAGTGGGTTTGAGGTTGAGAATGAAAATTTGATGTACTTAAAAAAAAAATACTTTAACAATTAAATATTTATACTAGCAAAAAGATTATATACTTGACGTAATAATGTTATTAAGAGAAGGACAACTCCTATAGTCCTATGATTCATTGGGACGAGTCAACATGAAAGGTGTAATGTGCAAGCATTAGTGCTTAAGTGAGTTGCGAGTGTGATTAAAGAAGATTGATTTGGAATTTTGAACATGCCAAATTTATAATATAAAATTTAAAAATATTCATGCACTTTGTATAAAAGATTCTTTTTATATGATTTTAGTGGGCTTAAAAGTATACAATAAAAACTTATATAAAATAATTTTTTATTAAAAATTATATGATATTAATAAATTTAAAATATTATTAAAATAATTATTATTTATTAATGTTTTATTATGTGCCTTACTGTAAAAATATAATTTGAGAAAATGTAACATTAGATTTAAAGAATTGGGAAATAACCAGTTAAGAACTATAATTAAATTAATGTTTTAAAACCATTGTATATTGATGCTTTCATAATTTCATCATTTTATGTACTACGTGCCCCACATATTTGAAAACTTTCAATCAAACATACTGAGAATGAAACTGTTTTTCCTCTTTGGATGAAAATATTATTGTGCTCAGGTAAATGTAAATTACTTGATACAAGCAAAGTATTTAAAGGTTAAAATTAATTTATAAATAAATATTATTTAATTTATTGGTTAAAATAAATTATATATATATATATATATATTAAAATTAAGCAATTAACAATCCTGATACAAAAAAGTCTAATAAAATTTTAATTAAACTTTATTTTCGTGCATTATAATTATGTTTAATTTTAATTTCTTGCTATTGTAAGAGTTTTTACATAATTAATTGTTGGTATAATTTTAATTAATTATATCCAAAGTTACTAATATTTATTAATGTAATAATTTATAATTAAATAATAGTATAAAATTTGTCTACACTCTCAATTTATTTTAATTAAATTTTATAATTATTATGTTAGAATTATCACTTTATATTTTATAATTAATATCGGTACACTACTATTTTAAGTATAGTCAAAAGACAAATATATATATATATATATATATATATATATATATAAATTTTAAATAATCACGTGCTCTCACATATTAACTTTAAATCTTAATAATTATATAGTTTATATTTATAAATTTTACCATTTTAAAATAAAATTAATTTAATTAGATATATTTCATGTGTGTATATTTATTTATTGGTATTTAGCTTTTAGAAAGTTTTATAAAAAATGTATAAAGTAAAAATATATTTATTATTAATTTAATAAAAATATTTGGTTGAAAGTCGTTATTGCAAATATTGAAAAATAAATGTTATTTATTAATAAAAAAATTGACAGATATAGACGTTAAAATTGTCTTAGTTAGTATGAAATTATTAACAAATACATTATGATCTGTTTATATTTATAATATGATTTATTAAAGTAAATGCAAGTACACACATACTAATAAAATTGTTTTAAATAGTATGTATTAAATGTATTAAAAGTATGATATTAAATTTGAATGTTATATATAAAAAGATTGCTGCACTTAAATTTATTACTGAAATATTGATATTAAAGTCGAAACTTTTAATTTGAAGAATTAGTTGTAGCTCAAGCAAAGAAAGAATTGATTATATTTTTTATATGATCTCATTTTTTTATGAATAGATTAAGATTCCTATTTTGTATATTTGTTTTTCTTAATTACTAGTCATCGATTTATTCTATAATAAAAACATCCATTCCTACCTAAAAATTCATATTAACGATGAGTTGAAGCAAAAAAATAAAAATGCAAGTACACGCATGGGAGGAACAGAGAAGATAAAATATAAGGTCCACTTATCATGGAATTTAAGTTCTATGAGAAGAAAAGAAAGGGTAACTTCAACCGTGTCATAATTACTGGAGTCATAATAATGGTAAAAGAAATTGGAATTACACTGGAGGTGGAAGCATGTGTGCAGGGACTTAAAATGTCAAAATGTAGAAGTTGGATGGATCAATTGTAAACCAGACAGGGATTATTGGGAAGTACTTTTGAAAACTCTCTAAGTGGGTTCGATACGGTCGGCCATAATTTGAAGTTAATAGAGTTGGGAGGGGCCATGTTAGGTGTTTCTTTAAGGTTGTAATCCATGAGTTCATGCCCCTAAGTAGCCAAGGTAATCCATCATCATTATCTATGTTGTGGTCCATAGATCCTTGACTATGAGTCCTTACGTCCTCGACTTGGTCCTTTAGGTGGGTCACACTCTTTGTTACTTGCTTAATCAACCACTTATCATCATTTCATTGTTTAAGGTAGAGGCCCAGCTTGCTATGCATTTCCTTTTTTTACCGGTTTAGCTAAAATCAAGCAACAAATTCAGTGTCTTTCTTGTTCCAGTTAAGCTACGCCTTCAAGTGCGTTATGGACTTTAGCCTTTTTAAATCACTTCCTACAGAAAATTTCTCTTTCAACGTTCATACGAAGATGCTGATATTTGATAATAGTTTAATTTGTCATGTATTTATCTATCAAACTAGAAAGTTTATTTCTCCAAATCTAGCGTGTATGAACAAGTATTTATATACTTTTAAAATAGTATATAAAATTGTCACACGCACACGTCCAACTTTATATACATATCCAATTGCCAACTCAAGACGGTCAATTTAATTTTATGTTCAATTTGTAAACCGCCATGTATTATAGAAACTTGCTTGGGACAATGTTTTTACTTTGTAGTTCCTGAAGCAATGTTTTGAGACGTTTTAACTGAAGTCTAAAGAAACTAAAGCCTCTTGAGTGAAACAAGGACGAAAGAATTTGACACGTAACGGACACTAAAAGTTTTCCTTTGACAAGAGTGGTTTTGGAGCAAAGAAAGCTGTATCCAACAAGTAACAAAGCCATGTCAAAGTGATTCCACTTTGATTAATTAGTCTTAGTCTGTCATTATCGTTTAGTTTGCATGAACCGTGTTCCTTCATGTGAAGATAATCTGGATTATGTTACTCTTTTCATGAATTTGTGTTTTCCTTTTTATTTCCGTTTCCTACAAGGTTTGGTTTCCTTCCCATCAGATTAAGCTTTTTGATGTAGTTATACTTCATCTTGTGTTTGTGTTGTGCATGGGATAATCACTTACAATTTCAAGGTGTCATGTGGCTGGTTTTAATTGGGGTTGTTCAAACATATCAAATCAAGTTAAATTTAAATTTTGAATTGAAAATTTGAAAACAAAACAAAATTGATACTTTTTTTGTATATTTTAAAAACAATCATTTGGTTTAACTCATTTTCCAATTTTTATTATAATATTGATTCAAACCAAATTAAATTTTATGTGTGGGTTTATATGTATTCAATTTTGAGTATTTGTGTCAAAATTGTTTAAAAGGATCCTCTTTCTAATTATATGTTTTAAAGAAAGAGAAAAAAAGTATAATTGAAAGATTTCTCATAATAAATGAATTATTTTTTTTTGTAAAAAAAATGCAATTTGTTCTGTAAATTCTAATGTTTCTAATTATTGTTGCCTCTGTATAATATTCTATTTAATGTGCTTTATTCAAGAATTTTTGGATAATGTTTTATTATTTTCTCATAGAACAATTGGACTTAGATCTGGGTTTATGTAAAAAAAAAAAAATTGATAAAAAAAAACTCGTTGTGTCACATTGAATCAAACTGATTAACATCAATTTAATTCAGGTTAATTATCTTTCAAAGTACACTGATTATTTTAAAACAAATCATTCAATCTTCAATGGGTTACACGAATAAAGCATGATTTGGTCTCTTTCCTACTAAATTGCATATTTCAAAATTTATTTGTCTCATTAAAGTAAGATTTGAATATAACTTTTTAAACTTGATTAAAATATATTTATAGTAAAAAATATATATTGTTTATAAATTATCATATAATTAAAAATCATATTTTTTAATAAGCACTCTTTAAATTTGAAACTTTTCTACCTTGAACTAAGATAGTATTTCCTCGTCCTAAAATTCTGATTCATAAAAAAGGAAAAACAAATAATCATTTCTTCCGATGTTTTTAATATCATGGCATAACTATTTTTTTTCCCAATTCTTTATCTTTATTTTAATAACTGTGCTTTTTTCTTCTTCTTTTTTGTGGCCGGTTAGATTGTAATAGATAATCCAAATATGATTTCTACCATTGATATACATTTTTTTTTAATACGGACTGGTGTTGTCTCTGTCAATAAATATTTAATCATTTTGTGAAAAATAGATAATATATATGGATTATCGAGTATCAGAAGAGTTTTCGTCGACTTGTGTTTTACCCGTTATAATCATGGATATTTGATTCATTAAAAAATTAAAATAAAAAATCTTAAATTTATTTATAAAAATTAAATTGCATGTGTATCATATTAATTTTTTTCTCGAATATCATATTAAAATTAAAATGACAAATGTTGGATATCCATCAGAATTGGGCTTAATTAGATTGGGCAAGTCCACACAGATGCATGGCCGTGTTAGCTTCGATCCTCATGACCAAAAATGAAACAAAGGAAAAGGATACATTTTTATGAACTAAATTAAAGATTAGGCCTGACTTTATTTGGCACAAGGTCAATTTTCAAATATGACCTAAGTGATGGGCCATTAATTTTATTTAAGCCGATGACCCAAAACGTTCTTTTAAGGGTTACTTCTTAAACTTTACAACATTATGTTTACCACAAACAAATGAAATTACATTTTCAAAAACTGACAAAAAACAATAGGCCCCATCTAAATAAAATTTTGGGTGTATTCCCCCCAAGTTATTGGGCTAAGAGTGGACACACATATTTTGGGAAACTTTTTCAGCTATGACGTAGTATGCTAATATTTTCTAATCCATGTCAAATTTGCAGAAAAAAGTATCGTCTAAAATATAAAACTGAAAACTTCATCTAATAGCTTCTTTCTGTCGTTTATAGTAAGCAGAACATTTACAATTTTTCAAATTTTTTATAAAATAATTTATAGCTAATATTAAATAAGCTCGATTAAACTTTACAGATAATGTGGTTTAAAAGTTACATTTTATTGACCTAAAAAAGGTAATATTTTAGTCAACTAATTTTACTTTGTCAGCGCATACAAAATTTATCAGTAGTTCTGCAAGTATTATTTTTTCATATTATTTAGATAAGTATCTGTCATTTTAATCCTTGATTTTATAAAAAATTTATTTTTAATATCTAACTCTATAAATTATTGTTTACTCTCATATGTAATGATAGAAAAATGGATTGTAATTAATATTTACGAAATTAAAGAATAAAGCAAAAATCTTATAAAGTTAATAGGTAAAATAATCGAAATTTATAGTCTCTAACTAAAATACAAAGTTATTTTATATTTGTAGTTAATAAAAAAATTTTAAACCATAATGTGAGGAGAAAAATATAGTCTAAAACAGAGATAAAACATCCATAGTTTCCTTAATATATTTTTTAGGTCGAAATTAACTTTTTGACGTCTAAAACCCACATTAAATTTTATCTTTTAATCTGTCAGCAATTAACAAATGGTTTTCATATACCGATTAACATGCTAATTAATAATATATTATTTATCTGTTAATTAACTGATTAATATACATAGTTAATATTTATGAAACATTATATCAATTAACCAAAATAAAATGATATGGAAATCAGTCGTGATACTTAATTGCATGTAAAAAATTATATAAAATTAAAATGAAAAATACATTTTACCTAATTTCTTTTGCTTTTTATTTTTCAAGTAATATACAAATATTATTGTACAATATTATATATATATATATATATATATATATATATATATATAAACTCTTACGTTTAATCTGAATATTTAATTTAATTTACATTTAATAATCAGTATTTAGCCTCAATCGTAAAAGTGATTATGACTATTTTAAAAAAATAGTGGTATTCGGCCAACTATATATATTAGACCTTTATATATCACACACCACATATCATACCATCGATTATGCTTGGCCAAATTGCGAGAAAATTAAATGTTACCTCAATTACCCCAATTAAGCATTTTAGTTGGTGAGAAAACATAATCATTTCAAATGACAAATAAATACATATATGTAAGGATAAAAATTTCTTCATTCATAATATTTTTATTCATTTTTAATTTATTCAAGCCGGTAAAAACACATTTTTCTTCCTTTTTATTTTTATATATCTACTAAAATAGTATATTTTCAGATTATTTTCATCTCTCCTAATTCCTATCTCTTTCTTTTATTTTTTTTTCTTTGATATTTCTTTTCTGACCCAAACAAAATGTAAGTGATAAAAACCCAAGGAAAAGAGATTAAAATACATCAAACTATTAGCATTGGATTACTATACCCACCCTTTGAGGCTTTGACGGACCTTTCTTTAACGCTTCATCTTCATGTTTTGCTTCTTGTTCTAAACTTCATTAGAGTATGCTTTGAAAGATAATGATCACGATTCACATGCTCTTTAAACGAAGGAACCACTTTGGTGAGTACAAGCTGAACACTTTATAGGCTGAGACAGTGGATATTAGAGCCATTAGGATGGAAGCTACATAGCCACATAACAAAGCTCCTCCTATTTGGTGGCAAAATCTTGTGAATTTGTCGCATAACTTAAGCCACTGTAAGGCTTCTGATCCCGTTACTGCCATCACGGAGGCTCCAACTGCTGCAGTATTTGCGGCAAATGTAATGTACACTGCCATCTGTTCACAAATTTTACATAAACCAAATAATATTTGGTCAAAGGACTAGCAAATCAAATTTCAATTTAATTTAAAATATAGTTTAAATATATTTATAAGGTTTAGAGAATCCTTTTCCTTAAATTAATTTTTGAAGGTGAATTAGGTTTTATTTTTAATACGGTATTAGAAATTCTCATCATATTATTGGACCAATATCGCTCCAATTTTAACTCGTGACTTCTACCCAAATTTCATTTAATTTAGTGATGATTTTTTTAATTGTGCCAGATAGATTCCTACTTTTCCTTGAATAAACAACCAATCCCAACTCTAATTGGGAAAGAAACAACTCTATCATAACCCACCTGGGTTGCCATCAGAGTACAAAATTTTTAACCTTTTAGGGAGATAACAAGAGCTACCTAATTAAGATGTAGTGCAGCGATATGTTAAGCTAGCTCCATGAATTCTAGCAAAATAAAACATCTTAATTAGTAAACTAATATTTGTACTAAACAATTTGATGACTCTGAACCTGCTTTAGTTAATTATTTCATCCCCCAGTAGCAGGTTAAAATTATATATATCGTGATTGTAATATATGCGCATATGAAAATAAGGATAGCCGGGAAACGAGGATTTACCAGATCCAACAAGAAACAAATCCAACCCATGCATATGTAAGACCCTTTGATGTTTTCTTTAGAACAAGTTGAGGGTTTGCATAATTGAAGCGTGTTATAACCAGCAGCCGCAGATGTAATATAGACCAAGATCCTATAAAAACATTAAATTCCAGGCTCTAATTTGGGAATATGAAGCCACAACAATCAGAAAAGATATATATATAAAGAAGGAACTCTTACTTGAGAGCGTTCAAGTCTTTGTAGGTAGCCTTCCTCTCAATACTTAATAACACAACCTTCGTTTGAGTATCAAAAGCAACTAAACAAGTTGTTAATACCAACACCACTATTGCTGAGACCCTTAGATAGACTTCCCCTCTTGCCATTCCCAGCTTCATTTTTTCAGATTAATCGATTCTATTCCTATCTCGTGTTCTTAATTTTCAGCTCCACCTTGAGCTTATTTATTGAATTGTGGGTGATGTGTACTATGTTTACTAAATCGTTGACTTTTCACACAACTGGCAGAGAACAATCCACGGGTGAGTTGTGTATCAATAACCTCAACGATTAACTAACCTCTATTATTATCTATCTTATCACTACCAGATTGGTTGAATCTTTATCTTCATGTGTATTTAATTATTGTGTCAGAAAAAAGTTTTTTTTTTTTCTCTTAATTTCCTTTTACAGTTGTATGTATGTATAATTTACTCAAACCTCTACCTCCTTTTTTTCTCGCCCCACCATGTTAGTACTTCCAAGAAAGTAAAGTGGCCACAGGCCAAATTTTAAATGAAAAGGTAGTTTTTTTCTTCAGTTCGTGAAAAATAGTTAGCTGGAAAGTGATTTTTAATTTCTTTTCGTAAACTTGTTTAGAATATACACATGATCATGCGCATGTGGAACGAAATTAGAAGAGTACTCTATACATATACAAAGCAATCCTCATTAAATTGTAGCAATTGTTACCTATCTAGTCTACTTATTATCACATCTGTGATCCAACTAATTTCAACTGTTCATAAATGGTTGGTTGCTACATTCAAATCCAAACGTTGTTAAGTATAGTTGTCAACAATTTCGTATCTCTCATACCCACCGCATATTTTTGCAAGAGTAATATTATTTATATTTCAAATTTTTTATGAAGGTTTTGCTTATCAGTTTCCTTAATTAATGTCATAGGGACACTAGTTACTATTCACACAAAAAGAGATACGGATTAATAAATTAAAGTAAAAAAATAAAAATTATGTTAAGATACATTAAAAATTATAAAAAAGTGTATTAATAATATTTATTTAATAAAAAAATTATCTTTAATTCTTTAAAACTGTTATAATGATATTAGTTAGTGTTTATTTTTTTATAATTTATATTTTATGACATCAATTTTTCTTGTTATTGCAAAATATATTATAAGTTTTTTGGAGTATGAATCACATTTCTCTTTTTCGCAATCAGCTGCATGCAAGTACTAAATTGATGAAAAAAGAAAATGAAAATGACCTAAGCTTGGCACTTGGGCTCACTTAAGGTGACTCAACGTGCGTGTGGGACATATGGCACTAATTAAAATATTTAAATTGGGTGAATCCACAAGTGCCAAGGTAAATTAATGCAGATATGCGAGTCGAAATAAACGGACAAAAATATGCGAAATGAGTCATTAACTTTTTTTTTTTTTAAATAAATATATTTGGCTCGACCGAATTTGCCTCCGTTTCATGGGAGCTCATCCAAAAAGGGTTGGATCAATTTGTGAATCCCAAATTAGTACACTTAACTTTTATAACTTTTCGTTTATTTAAATGTAATTTTACAGAAATATTTGTCCATTTTAAACAATAATTATTTTAAAATAATAAAAAATTATTAATTTAAAAATATAAAAGTATAATTTTGATTATATGTTCCACTTTATTTCAATTAAAATTGAATAAATATTTGATTAGATATTGTTAATTTACTTTGAAAAGAAGAAGAAAACTCGCAGATAAATCATTTTGTTTTCATTATTTAAAATAGTTGTTAAAGATTAATCCTGGCTTTTATTTATCATGACTTATATTTAATTTTTAATATCAGAATGGGATACAGTTAGTTTAAAAAAATACCATAGAAAAGATTTATATATTTTATATGAGCTTAATTTTATTGTATTGTCAGTACAATATTGTTTACATTATCCATTAATTAAAATATATAATGAACATAAATTTTATATTAATTATTATAAAAATTAATAACTTTTATATGACATTAATGACAATTTATTTTTAATAATAATTTAAAAAACTATTTGTCTTTTTAAATTAAATTTATTTTATATATGCATTTATTTATTTTTTTATTAAATGGGGCTTAAAAGCTTAAAAGCTCAAAACAAAAAATAAACTAGGACAATAGCCTAGGTCGCAACACTCTAAAAGTATCAAGATGTAAAAAAAAACTCTAAAGTATCAAACATGTTGGAATCTAATAAATTTAATCCCACTAAGCAAATTTTTAATTTTATTAATTACAAAAAAATAAGGATTTTTATAATTTTGAACATTTAGAATGAGAGAGATGACTTCTTTGGAGTCACAATCAATGCAGATAAGTTGGATATTCTTAGATATCACAAGTTGGAGACTGCAAAATATACTTCAAAGCTCAGCCATAACAGGAGTACAAGGGGCTAGAGATCTGTAAAATTCGGCTATAAATCTGCCTTTGCCATCACAAATAAGCCCACCTAGCTAGCTAATCCCAGAGAATGAGAAATTGCACCATCTATATTAAGCTTCAACTACTTTTCAGGAGGGGGCTGCCACTTCACAAGACTATAAGCATCCCAAATGCTAGAATTCTTCCTTTGTTTATCCCTATCACAATAAAGAAAATAATTAAAATCAAGCAGAATTTTATGGAGCAGAGTAGCATCAGTCTGAGGGTTATTCTGAAATAAAACACAATTTATTCTTTCACAAGTTTCAAACAACAACACCAAAAAGCTTGTTCCAAACAGGGTATAAAGGAAAATTCATATTAGACAAATTATAAGTTAGCCAGTTAGAAAAGGCCAAGACTAAAGAAAGGAGACCAATTATTAGGGGAAAAGATTTGCTTCCAAATAGCTTTAACTGCTCAATAATCTCGGAGAACATGAATAACAGATTTAGGAGCTTCCTTACATCTGAAACAAATAGGGGAATCAGTCAAATTACAATTAGATCTTTCAACATTAGTTAAAAGCCTACCATGAGTAATTTTTTTATAAAAAAACTGAAATCCTAAAAGAGTCCTCCCAATCCCAAACAAATTTAAATAATTTATTATTTTCAGAATTGGAAGGCTTAACATTAGTGATTAAATTGTAAGCAAATTTCAGAGAAAAGTTCTTATTATTAGAAAGCTTCTAAACCATCCTATCCTGACCAATAGTAATTACAGGTGGATTAACCTGGGCAATCAAATCACAAGATTGGTCAAGAAGGAACTTCCTAATTTTTGACCAATCCCATCCCCCATGGATGGCAAAGAGGGCCACTAGATCATTTAAATCATTATCAGGGATGGGTTGAGTAGCAAAACTTAAGAGATTCTGATTTGGCAGGATCCAATTATCCTTCCAAAATCGGATAGATAAACCATCACCTAAAATCCATCCTAACCCATTATAAAAGCAATCCTAGACCAAAACCATGCTCTTCCATAAAGGGGGGGATTTTTTATTATTACACAGGAAAGGATTTTTCCCTAGGGAGAACTTGTACTTACTATTAAGGACTCTAGCTCACAAATCACTAGGAGAATTAATAAACCTCCAACAGAGTTTTATAATAAAAGCCTGATTCACAAGATTAATATCTTTAAAGCCTAAATTGCTTCATTTTTAGACTTGCAAAATTTCTCCCAACCAATCAAATGACATTTTCTACTATTTAGAGACCCTCAAATAAACTTTTTACAAATAGTATTAATTTATTTACAAATAGGGGCGAATATAGATATGTAAGTACCTAAAAAGTATGAATATGAGAATTAAAATTACTATCCATACAGGTATAAGATTTAGTACGAATATTTTTTTAAAACGTGGGTATGAAAATTGGTACTATATTACTCTATCCATACCCTATCCATTGTTATTTCTACTGTAAATTGATATATGAAGTGTTGTATTCTAATGTTAGAATTTTAATTTTAAATATTAAAAATTTTATTTTGATTCGAGTTTGAATTTAAAATTTAAGTTTTTAATTTCACTTTAAATAAATTAATTTTAATTTTAATTTTTTTATTTTGATCAAAATTTATAGTTTAAAAAATTTTAAAAATTGAATTTAAACTTTAGTCAAAGAAAAAACTAAATTTTAAATTTCAATTTCAATTAATATGAGAGAGAATTAAAATCTAACTTTAAATTTAAAAATTAACATGAAATGAAAACTTAAATTTCAAATAAAATTTTAAAATTTGGTGGAAAGAAAATGAAGATTTAAATGCCAAAAAATAACACTCAACTTGTGTTATATAACAATTTTTAATATGAGCAGAATAAAAAGAAAAATAAATTATAATTTAAGTATCAAACTTCATTGTATATCTCATATAAAGAGGGTCATAACACGACACATGAGATGTTAATCTATGATATATGATTTATGTTAATTGTTTAATATTTTTAAAACACAATTAAATTTATTTATTTTGGTAATTATTTATAAATAATATGATTTTTTGAAATTACATTATTATGGTTAAAATCCTAATTTTATGACTAATTGTGCATAATATTAAATTTAAAATTAATATATTTTTTATGTAAATATAAATATTATTAATTTTTAATTGAAATAAATTTAATATAAAAAACTTTATTAAAATTTAAATAAATAAAATTAATGATAAACCCTAACTCGCCGTACTGCTGAGTTTGTTGGAGGGTTGGATTGGTAATCATGAGATTGACCTGAACCTGAATTGAATGGAATTATGAAACTCATTCTTATACTTAGCTTAAATATATTTAATTTTTATATTATTTTAGTTTTTTTAATTTATATTTCTTTTTTTTTTCTGTTGATTTTTCGTGATGCCATATATAAATTGCAGTGCGTCTTTATCAATATAGCATTTCGAAGTCATAAACGAAAGCTTAATAACTAAACTAGATTTATTTATTTTTCCGTTTATATCCACAAATAGGGAGTTTTTTAATTAACTTTAAAAAAAAAATTAATCTCTAAATATATATCTTTTAGTTGTACTGTCAATTGTTTATGTTATTGAAGGAAATATATTCTATGATCTCTTCTTTTGTTTTCCCGTGTGACATCTTCGCAAATGTTTTCATATTTTTCTCTATACAATGTAGAGAGGGTACCTGCAAAAGGTACTCCTCCGATAATGAAGTCATGTGTCGGTTTAGGTAATAAGTGATATTTTTTATTTCAAAAGTTAATTCTTTTTACCTGTACCTTTTCTTTCCTATATTGGGCTGATAGGCTATATGACTCAGCCCTGATCTTAGCCTTCTAATTAAGTAGATGATTAATGTGATATATCTATTTTAATATATTTTAATTATCCTTATTAAATTGTTTTAATCTGACTGGAGGGGTGAATCATAAAGTTCATCAGTCCAATATATTTTCTATAAAAGGAAAGAAGAGGTACAGGTAAAAATGGTTGACTTTTGAAATATAAAATAACATTTATTGCTTAAATCGATACTTGATTTTATCATCGAAGTGTCTTTTGCAAGTACTTTCTCCATATCATGTAAAAAAGTATCTAAAAGTATTCACGAAAATGTCATAAAAGGATAGAAGAAGAGATCATATAAAACTAGTGTATTTCTTATAGGAACAGTTTATTTTAATCTAAAAGATAAAATATTAAAATTAGTCTATAAATATGTGATTTATCATTCTTTACAATTTATAATTTTTTAATTACTTTTAAAGAGTTGTGAATATAACACTCTATATGTAAGTATGTTACCATTACATTCAATGTGTCATGTTTGACATCGTAGTTGGCAAATAGAATTATAATTTATGGGCTAATCCTTAAAATTACATTTTTTATCCTATTTTTAATAATTCATTTTATAACAGAGTTTAGCTCTGACACATATATTTTCTAAATAAAAGTGGGCCAAAATAGTAAGAGTTGAGAACTGATTCACTGATCAAATTTATAACAGTCTTTTTTATTTTCTGTGTAAAAATTCTCTTTTTTCCTTTGTAAGAACTCTCCCATGACTCTTCTATATTATAATTTTTTCTAATAGTTTATAGTTAAAATTTTTTTGTTGATTCTTATTCTATTTATTTATTTTTAACTGATTTATCTTTTCATATTTTTTTTAATTTTCTTTTTTTTCATTTCAGATCAATGTTTCTCTAACAAAAAATAGACTAAACTTATATGATTTTAATTTTTCTTTGAGAATCACATCTTTTACATTCCCTTATATTTGCACAAAGACTTCTGTATAACTCAAGTATTTAGTAAAAGTGCAAAATAATTATTAATTTTTTAGTCTCTGTACTTTCCTTTCTTAATTATTTTATGATGATTTTTTATTATATTTTATATACTTATTCTGATTTATAATTAATTGTATATTTGTTTTGACACAGTCACTCATAAATCAAATCATTTAGATAATATAAAATAATATAGTATTAGGTAAATAATTATAAAATAACTAAAAAAGGAATTTCCTTTAACAAATTTTATTAGGTAAATATAATATTTATTATTTATGCAGTTGTAATATTCAAAATCTCTTTTTAAAATATAGTTTTTTTATTAAGATAACGATTTATTTTATTATTTATTATTATATTTAATTAATTCAGTGACATAAATTGTTTTTTTTTAGCTTTTTTGAACTTTCTTTTTAGTTTTTAATGTAATATTTTTTGTAAAATCTCTTCTATTTTCATTTTAAATAAATTTATTTATTTTTGTATGCTTAGAATTAAACATTTTATTTATTTAAAAAATTATATTAAAAAATATTTTTTAAAATAATTATGCAATGTAACCTCTCATAGTGAGTAAATATGGAATATTACCTGTATAACCCTATGCTAATTAACATATTGTAAAATATGATTTTAACCTAATTTAAATATTGATTAATGATCAACTTAAAATTACAAATAGAATAACAAGTCTCTTTTATGATCCCAAAAAATTTGTATTTATTAGTATATTTAATGTTTTATTTCATTTAAGCAGTGTTAATTTACAATAAAACATTAACTATAATCTAAATTGCATTGATATATGTAAAATATATATTTTAATCTCGTATTTTACATTTTTTTACACAACTTACTTATATTTTAGATTTTTTACACAATTTATTTATATAAATTATATAAAAATATTCAAATAAATTAATATCATGATAAAGTAGTAATTTTTTTTAAATACTGAAATCTTTAAAGGAAAATCAACTAAATTTTATGTGACGTAACATGATAATGTAACATTTTTTTAATTACATTACATTTAACATGTCATATTGCAAGATTAATTCATAAATTACAGATAAGAATATATAATGAAGGACATTCAGTTATTAATTTTAATATTTTAGTTTTTTTATTATTAAAATGAATGATAGACTATATAATTTAGAATAATTTATTTTTTAAATATTAAATTGACTTTGTATATTTTAAGCACTAAGTGTAATATTTATATTATAAATAAGTATTTTATTAAAAAATGAGACATTTATAAATTAGTATCTTTCATAATTAGTTATATGTATTTTTTAAGATTAAAATTAATTGAGAATGAAATGATAAATTTATTATTTCGTTACAAATGGTTTAATTTTTACTTGTTTTTCCTTTTTTTGTTAATTTAATTTAAAATCTTAGAAACAAAACTATTTATTTATATTAGAATATGTTAACCTAAAGTTGAAAGAAATAATTAATAATAATAATGATAATTTATTAAAAAATATTTATTATATTTTATATAATTTTAATTTAAAAAACATTATATATATATATATATTTTATAAAAAAATTATTTATAATATTTAATATCAGTCCTAAAAGTTGAAGTTAACAAAATATTATTTTATTATTTTATATAGTTTTTTTATTAGTAAAATATTTATAATTTTATATTTTATATTTTTAATTAATTTAAAATATTTTTAAAAAATATTACTAAAAATATTTTATATAATATAATTATTTAAAGAATTACAAACATTTTATTCTTGAATTATTAAAAAATATATATTATTTTAAAATAAAATACCTGAATATTTTACACGCTCATAAAACTAGTTTAATATCTATTTATCACTATAGACAAATATTTTCAAGTATCTTTTTTAATAATAATAATAATAATAATAAATATTAAATTTATTGATTCAATTACAAACGCTTTCCTTGAAAACACTTGTTTTTGGATTGGACGCCAAAATCAGAAGTCAAGGTGTATAATTCTTAAGTAAAAGCATGGGTGATAATTTAATTAATTAATTAATTAATTAATTAATTTATTGACGCATTGATTCATTCATTTATAAAAAATATTAAATAAAATAATAATAAATCATCCATAATATTTTTATAATTTATTAAATTAAGTATTTTAAAAATTATTATTTAAACATAAGCTTTTATAGTGTGACAATTATTATTCATAAATTATTATTATTATTATTATTATTATTATTATTAATTACTCAAGTTCAATTCTACCAGTTGAGGTTTTAATTATTATTTATTAACTATAATATTTTGTAACATATTTTGAATCTATTAAAATAATTTAATAGTTTTTTTATTAATATTTTATTATAAATTATTTCAAAATTTATAAGTTGATCTATTTAATGCCCCTGGTGAGTCATAAGGCACTACACAACTTAAAAAACCTTAACAGAAAAAAAAAAACTGACTTGATAAAAGAGTATTTATTTATATTTATTGAGTCATAAGGCACTACACAAATTACAAGATAGTAAAGAAATAACTGATTTATATTTATTATTTTTTATTTTCCTTTTTTTTATCTCTTCTATTATTTTTTTATTATATCATAATTAAATATTTAATTTTGTTTTTTTTTCTTTTTCTACTCACTAATTTTTACGGGACTAAATTAAAGATAAAATATTATTTGAATGAGTAAAAAAATAGTCTTCTAATTTTATTTATAATTTTTTGAATTAAATTATAAGATATATATATATATATATATATATATATATATAAATCATCCAAAAGAGGAAACAAATTCATGCATTTATCAATTTTGTTAATATTTATCAATTTTTTTAGTTGGTTTAAGGTACTGCCTTCGTTCTTATTATATTTTAATCAGTGTTATTATATTAGCAACACCACTGAACATAATTGAACATAACTGAACATAATTTAAATTTAATTGCCAAAAGAATGACAAACAATATAATAAGACAAAAATAATACACAAGATATGCAAGAACATGAGTTGTATCCTCTTATGACTTGGTGCGCACTGTGCATTCCAGAGGCAGACCCTGAGGGAACCGTTGATTATCTGCGCAGTAATTGTAGATCATGTAATTCTTCTGCACCCATTTCAGCATTTTCTGGCTAGTGGCATCAAGCTTTTGAGATAGCCAAGCCTTGTCAGAAGAGGTGGAATTGCATGAAGAAACCCCATTGGACCATACACAACCATTGGCTCCGAAGTTCCGGAAAGACGCAGTGAATGGAGCTTGACTCCAATCTGTCTTCACAAGCCCTCCTCTTGTTGCCCAGTTATCAGCGTTCCACAGACTAGAGTATAACCTCATTGGCTGGTTCTTTGGGTAGGGAACACCCGCACCCTCCATGTTCTTGAACTCTCTAATGGGTCTCCCATCAACATAGAACCTGAAAAGTTAAAGAATCCATGCAATTAGTCAACAGCATCATTGAGTTGAATATTAATATTGAAGTACAGGGTATAATATATATGCTTCGAATTTTATAAACTTACACAACATGTACAGGATTCCAGAGAAAGGAATAGGTGTGAAAATCTGCAGTTGGGTCAAACCATAGGTAGAATTGTTGCTCTCTGTTACCTTTGCCTTGGGTGTACACATTAGTATGAGCTATGTAAGGATCACCGCTCAGATTGCCCAGAAACTCAAAGTCTATCTCATCCCAAGATGACCCGGATGACTGTAACTGCATGTGGAATGCAGAAATAATATATTAGAACGAAGCTACATGCATGAACAGGCCTATGTGTGTTGTGTTAAGCAAGTTATTGTTATTTAAAATCAACCTTTTTGAATTAAGATTGATTAAGGGTACTCACGTAAAAAGCGGTGACTGTGCCAGCGGAATTTCCCGGGACAAGTTTGATTTGCATGTCAATTTTGCCGTAGAGATACTGATTCTTGGACTGAAAGCCAGAGCCAGAGGCCCTGTCAAGTGACAGAGTAAGAAGCTGACCATTGTTCAGAATCTGACCTCTGCCATCGCCCCAAGTGACATCAACATCTTGGTACAAGTTACCAGCAAAGGCAACCATGGAAGGCACAGAGATTAGAAACGCTATGACAAGCGCAACGAATGCATTGGGAAAAGGAGCCGAAGAGAAACAGAAAGTAGCCATTGGACAGGGTGTAATGCTTCAGTTTATTTGCTGAAGAGTTTTTTTTGTGTATGTGAGCCAGAATTGGTATTCAGTGAAGAATTGATGAGAAGGTAAAACGGCGCTCTCGTCCAATTTATAGTAGTGTTTGGGGTTTGTGGGGGGCTTGGGGATGTGTTCGAATAATAAAAATTGGTTGGTGGGATGAAGTGGTAACTAAACAGCTGGATAGCATTTGGTTTGATTAGCATCATAATGATCATAGTTTTGAGTGGTCCATTAAGTGGTGCTTCTTAGGGAAGGCATTATTTTAAACACATACGGCGCAATAGCTATGACTTCCTAGGATTCTTCTACCAAACTAAACCTAGGTTATTCGCCTCTTGCAAGTGAGTGTTATTTATGATTCGTAGGATTTATCCAAAGTGCTACAACAACTTGAGTATTTAAGAATTTAGGCTCTGTTATCTTCAGCGTCACCTTTTGGGCTTCCCAATTGCCCAGTCAGCCGCGGGGCCAGCCCGTGGAGGAATTGATTTTTTCCTTTGAAAGTACATGCAACTTCTAGAAGCATGGATTGGCCCGTTTCTATCTATCTGGCAACTTTGGAGGCTATGTATGTTAGAATTAACCAAAAAAGAAAAAGAAAAAGAAAATTAGTTTCATATATAGTAAGATTTGAGAATCATTATTACAATTTAAAGCTATCGACTCTTTGACAGACGTTATAATAATATCCTCTTTAACACTTTTTTAATATATTTTATTTATTAACTAAAATTTATTCAATTTTTAAAAAAATATATAAATTTTACTTTTAATTTAATAGTTCTAACTCATAATTTTTAATAATTCTCCCTCACTTCTAATTTTTAATAAATTTTCATCATAAATAAATAAGTGTATTAAAACTATATTTTTAACGTTGTTCAACCTTTTTATAGCGTTTGATTAGAAAAAAAAAATCTAAAATTTCTTTTCATTCAGTTATACTCTTAAAACCAAGATGTTTAATTTTTTCAAATTAATTAAATATATTTTTTAATTTAATAGTGTTACTTGATTATTTAAAATTAAATTAAAATACACAAAATATATATAAAAAAAATTGACATTGCCATCTAATAATACATTGTTATTTTAAAAGTCATATTTACAATATTTTTTAATTAATTGACGTCATAAACTTTTTTACAGTCAAAGTTAAATTCTTTTAAAGAATGTTAATAGCATCCCTCCAGTACCAATGCAGTTTCGCACATCTTTTAACACCGCTGATTTTAGTCATCTACAATCCATTTGAATAGCAGAATAGGTAAATTCAAACATAGGAAAAAAGGGTTAGGAACAAAGGACGAATCTTTTCTCACTTTGCATTTCTCATCGGACAAATCAGGAGACAAAATGAGTTGCAGACTCATAAATCTTGATGCATTAGCATTATAGGAGTATCATAACTTGCATCACAGACATCATTCTCAGTTAAAGATTCATGAATTGCAAACAGGAAGAGATAAAGAGTGAAAAAAATGCATGAATTTAATTAACCGCGAAGAATAACCTGAATATTAGAGAAGTGTTCCCTGGTGAGAGAGATCCGAGTAGATCACTTGGGGGGTGCTATGAATGATTTCCTTGGTGCATGCGGTGGAACTGACGGCAAAGTATAGGAGTATGGTACATGTACAATCACTGCAATTAAAGCTGTCCAAGTAATACACGTCGATCCTCTTCGTATTTGTGGAGCCTCAGACCGTTATGCTCGAGATTTTAGCCATGTCTCGTTACGTTTGTGGGTCAGACTTGGTCTCAATTCATGTACTTTTGGCTAAATTTACAAAAGCAACATACTTTACTCATACTAGTTTTTTTTCAAAAACAGAAAAAATACTTTATCTCTTGCTCTTGGAAATAAATAATATATATTCTATTTAATTACCAATTTATTAATTGGAGATAATAGCGCTAGTGTCCCATCTAATTCGTTCTCATTTCTTGTCCCGTCGAAGATCATTCATAGGAGAAATAGGGGAATCAACACGCGAGCAACAAGTAGATAAATTTACTTTCAGTAAAGTGAAAGTAGATAATGAATGAGTTTTAACCACAACTTATTACGTTCTATTTTATCTATTCTTAAAACAATAATAATAAGTACACGTTACTTAAGCTGTAAAACGCAAGGTGTAACTCAGTTAATTAATACAGTCAAACTTACGTTAAAAATCATGCTCTTAAAAAAGATATATTAATTTAAATAGATAATTAATAACTTATTAATATCATCAAATTTACATTAAAAGTCATGTCCAATTTCAAGAAATCATTAATGTAAGTTCAAGAAACCAATTTTCACTAAGTGTAACATTAAAACATACGGGCTACTAATCTATTCATTTATATTTAGCAATACGTGGCAAACCAGAAACAAATAGATGCAATTCTTTTCCGCCCTCACTTAAATACGTAATTACGATGGTCAAAAAGCTACATCAACGTGTTTTCTGACTGAAACTTGTGCTGTCACCTGGTAGACATGCCCAGATTCACTGTGGAAATTGGTTTTTACTGCCATCTGTATCCAGCTCTTTCAATGTTCATATCAACCCCGCAATTTGGAATTTAGCAACTCCTCTTTTAATGATCATATCAACGCATCTCCTCTTTCTATTTTCATGTATTTCCCCATGCACCCTTCACAGTTCATACTTACTATACCCGGAACTGACATTAAAAACATGTCTTCCTTTTGTTCTCAAATTAAAATGTTCCTTCTGGCATTCTTGATTAGCTCTCATGTGTCTGAATATGCCAGTGATCTGCATCAAAATTTTGAAATCACTTGGGATAACGGTGTGGCCAGATACTTCACCACGCGCTTTGCTGCATGCATAACGCAGTTAAGCTCAAAAGGGTCAACCCGGGACGAGATTGACTTTGAATTATTGGGCAATCTAAGTGGGGACCCTTACATTCTTCATACCAATATAGACACACAGGGAAAGGCAACCGAGAACAGCAATTCTCCCTCTGGTTTGACCCCACTTACACTTTTCCCACCTTCTCCGTTCTATGGAATCCCCAAAGCGTCATGTATGAATTTTTTAAATAATTAGAGTATGCAGACCCAAGCCACATTTCATTTAATACATATGTATGTGGTTTAATATATGCATTTATTTTGTTACCGCTTCTATAGTTTCTATGTGGACGGCACTCCCGTTCGAGAGTTCAAGAACTATGTGTGAATTGGGGTCCGTTTTCCAAAGTAACCAATGAGGATATACGGTAGCCTCTGGGATGCAGAGGACTGAGCTACAAGGGGCGGGTTGGTGAAGACAATTGGACAGAAGCTCCATTCGCTGCTTCCTTTAGCAACTTGATTTCCAATGCTTGTGTTTGGTCTGATGATGCATCTTATTGCACGACCAATTATAGTTCCTCTGATAGATCATGGATTGGACAAGATTTGGATGCCACGTGATCAGAGGAATTACATGATCTACAACTACTGTACTGACTTGAAACGGCTCCCTTATGGATTGTCACCTGAATGTACTGTTACTCACACTAAGGAATGATTATTAAAAATAAAATTAAGAATGTCATGAGACTGCGCATATTTGTAGTATGAAACAAATCATTAATATTTTTAAAATTAATATATGTATATATGAAAAAAAGAGAGTAAATAATTATAAACAAATCATGACTAATTTTATTTGAAAATAGCGATTAAGTAAATGCTTATTCAATGTTTTTTAAAAAACTATAATTTATGTTATAAGTTTAATGATAAAATTTATTAAAATAAGATAAAAATAATTTATTTTGATAAATTATACTAAAAAATTATTGAAATAAACTAAAAATATCTTATAAAAATTAAATTGTTTTCAGTAAGGCATTTATAAAGTTTTTTAAACAAGTATTATTATTAAAGTTCTGTTAAATATTTATAAATAGAAAATTTTATAAAAAAAATACATAATTATTATATTAAAGTTATAAAAACATAATAAATATTTTTTAATAAAATTTTACTATTTATTAATTGTTTATATAAAAATTGAGGTTAATAAAATTATTATTATTATGAGATTTTTATTAAATATTTATAGATTAAAAAAGTATAACAAGGTTCGCAAGATGCTACAACATTTACAAAGGATGCTAAGAGGTCTTTATTGGTTGAGTGGCCGGTTATAATTCCTTCTGTGTTTCCCAATTCCCTTATGTGTCTCGCTTGGGAGATTTGCTTTTTAGTGAAACGTCTCGCTTGGAAGATGACTAGTTTTAACAGGCTATGGGTTAAGTGGGTCAGATTTGGGTTTGAGATGTGATAGGCCCACATTGGTAAAAATCTAAATGAACAGTTATCTTTTTATTATTTATTTTTATTTTTGACCCAAAAAAGTTTTTTTTTTCACTTGATGAATAACTCTGATTTTCGGTTTTCTCTTTTTACAGAATTATTAAAGGGGGCCCAAGCCCAAATGCTCATCAGTATAAGAAAATATATTTCTATTTTTTATTTGTTGAACAAAAAGAATTCTATTTATATATATATAACATTTTATTTTATACACAATTTAGTGGTTAAACCATAATCCACTAATTTCACGACTCGGCAGAGTAGATGAGCAACTACGGTCCCCATATCTACAAAATGGGATGGAAAATTATTTGTGGAAAACAAGTACCCAATCTGTATTTTTGTTAATGACAAACAAAAGGTAAAATTTTGTCAATCCTTTGTAGCTTTTTAAGAATTTTTTGCTATTTTTATTTATTTTTGTAGATAATTTGGCCCCTTTAAGCTATTAGTAGTAAGTACTTGGAAAGGCAAAACCCCCGTACACGCATACACTTACGATATTTATTCATATAACTTGTAAAAACAAATGTCAGACTCGTTTACATCACTCCACTTACGTGTGAATATGGTTTATGCTGAGCAATTAATACAAGATCGTGCAGAGTGATTTTTACGCACACGTCATGCAGGCTTGGGTTTAAATTTTTGACTTGCATTTATCAAAAGAACAATAAAATGTTTGACTACATGCCATTGCTAAAATATAACGTGAAAGGAAAGGCGGTGATGGATTTAGATACGACAATTGAGACCTACTCCAACATCGTATGACGGTGGTTCTTCTATGCATTCCATGCAGAACCGCGTACAATGATTCTTGTGGGCATCCATGTATTATGTACCAACCACTCTTTTACTCGCTCCCCATTCCACCAGCTGTGAACAACTAAACAACATTGAACTTTCTCCTAACTTTCCTCTTTTCTACGCCTTTCTGACCATATCTACTCTTTATTTCACCTATAAATTCCATTCAAAGATAGCCATTCTCTGCAATATCACATAACCAAAAACAGTCATTTGTTCATTCTTTACTTTTATCTGAGTTTTGAAACAGCTTTCTATGGCCTCTTCAAGAGTCGCAGTCGTAGTTCTGTTAATCTCAACTATTGGCTACTTTGTGATTGCCTCTGCGGGCAATTTCTACCAAGACTTTGATTTAACGTGGGGAGATGGTCGTGCCAAGATACTCAACAATGGAGAGCTTCTCACTCTTTCTCTTGACACAGCCTCTGGATCGGGGTTTCAGTCCAAGAGCGAATACCTTTTTGGCAAAATTGATATGCAGCTAAAACTGGTCCCTGGCAACTCAGCTGGCACCGTCACTGCCTATTATGTAAGCATCAAAGCGTAATTTCCCTTACTATTTGCATCAAACTCATTCATATTCTTTACGAGCTTTGGTTACTAATAATAAAGAGATTTTCTTGTGTTCAATTTTAGCTATCTTCAAAGGGAGCAGGATGGGATGAAATTGACTTTGAATTCTTGGGCAATTTGAGTGGTGATCCTTACATCCTTCACACCAATGTGTTTAGCCAAGGCAAAGGTAATAGGGAGCAACAATTCTACCTTTGGTTTGACCCAACTGCAGATTTTCACACCTATTCCATCCTCTGGAACCCCCAACGCATTGTGTAAGTATATACTATATGCAATCCTCAAGATAAAACAAAATAAAATAAATATTTTTTTTTCCTGAGTTGTGTTGGAAGCAACTAATCTAAATGAGTGTGTTTGTTGTGTTTCAGCTTCTCAGTGGATGGTACTCCAATTAGGGAGTTCAAGAACTTGGAGTCAATTGGTGTTCCGTTCCCCAAAAATCAGGCCATGAGGATCTATTCTAGTCTCTGGAATGCAGATGATTGGGCCACAAGGGGAGGGCTTGTTAAGACAGATTGGAGCCAAGCTCCTTTCACCGCTTCCTACAGAAACTTCAATGCGAATGCTTGCACTTGGTCATCTGGAACATCATCTTGTGGCTCAAACCCTGCCTCTTCTAGCAATTCTTGGCTCTCAGAAGAGCTTGATTCTACTAATCAGGAGAGGCTCAAGTGGGTGCAGAAGAATTACATGATCTACAATTACTGCACTGACTCTAAAAGATTTCCACAGGGCCTTCCTCCAGAATGCAACACGGCCTAAGGGACATCAATTTTTCGAAGGGTCCACTTTTCCACTGTCTTCTCAATTTCTTTTCTCTTTTTATTGTAATTTTCATAATGATAAATTCTTTGATTTGTTGTATAAGTCATGTACTATTTATAAAGGATTCGTTCTATTAAAATGGTTGCTTCTTCCTTTGTGATTTTCTTTAAAGACCTTGGCTATAACGAGACAGTGAAAAATATTTAATATTTTTCTGGGGCAAAGCTAATCTAAGGACATAAAAATCTTTTGTTTAAAATAATCCAAGTATTAATCCGCTGTTTGGAGATTAAAGTGCTAGTAAGAATGATTTTTCTCTCATTGATGAATAAAAAAATTGGTATTTATCACTCTTGGTAATCAAGTTTTCAACGTGCATACTTCGATGGAGACAATAACTTCATAAAAGATTTTAAGGACAAAAAATACTTTGTTTAGATTAAACAAGATTGAATCTTCAGTTTATAATTACATGATGATTAAATATTGACGATTTTATTATAAAATATTTATTAAGATCAAGGCAAATTATGAGAAAAAGAATTGGGTTCTGTTTTACTTGACAAAGCAAAATAAGATTCTTAAGAAAAAGTTTTCTTGAAAAGAAATAATAATCCTTTAATATAATTAGTGAAACCCATAATAATTATGATCAGTTTCTTTATAATAAAAACATCTACATCCAAATGGATGATCGGATTGATCCCAGATATGTTTTAAGAAAAATATTAATACAGCACTTTAATTATCAGTTAAAAATTTACTAAAATTCGTATAAATATCACTTTTTATTTTAAATTTAATAATTTTCTCATATTTTTTAAATTTTTGATAAATTTTAATTAATAATTTAATTTAAATTTTAATTATTAAATAATAAAAAACAATAAAATTTTAAATAAATGGATTTTTAAAAATAATTTTTAGTACGAGACTTTCTTCAATTTCTAATTTAAAATTTTACTTCTTAATTTATTTTTATTGAATATAATTAAACATTTATTAAATATCATAAAAATATTTATTGTTTTAATCATTTAATTTAAAAATAATTATGTAATATATTCTTATTTTGAAATTTACTTTAATTTTGATATAATATATATCCAATATACGAAATTTTTTTTAATTAATTCCGTAAAAAGTAGAGCGATTTAAGAGCACAACTCATGTTAAGTTACGAGGTCAGGGCTTTTAGCACCTGGGCAAGTATGTGTCGTGGATTAGACCACCTCTCTGTCTGTTGCTTCCCTAATTGGATTCATCCCAACATTATATTTACAGAGCAACAATAAATTCGTACAGTATTTTGTACATTTCTTTCATCTTATTTTTTATTATGTCACATTATTCATTATGTTTTTATTTTCTATTTTCAATTTCTACTAAGTATTTACACATAATGTAATAATATAATTATTATTGTTATATTTATATGTATGTTTATTTGTAAATAGCTAATTTTTAAAAATAACTATTTACAAATTTTCCAAGAAAAGCGATGAAGAGGATATTTTCTCAAAAACAAGTTAAACTAGACGCAATAGATACGAACTGCACCAAACTTAAGAAGGGAAAAGGAAACAGTAAACCATCCCTTTGTTTATACTTAGTGACGGTGTGGGTAAATACTATTGGGTTGGTTGAACCGGCCAATCTAATTATCTCCGGTGAAAACTTTTCGGGTAAATTATGAGACAGTATTTTTCTCTTAATATACGTGAAATAATTATAATTGTTAATTTTAATGATAGAGGTAATAATATATTTAAAAAATATAAATATCTTTTAATATTTTAATATAATTAAAAAAATATTCAATTCAGTCTCATTCACACGCGGAATGGCCATTCCGGATTAACTTTGAAATTGAAAAACCAAATGCGCGTAAGATGCAACCAAATAGTTTCTCCCATGCAGCGAGTACCCGAATGGATCTGGATTGTGTCGCGTGAAATGCAGATTGTAGAATAAATTTATTTAAAATATATTTAAATAAATTTAGTAAAAATTTATTTTTATTTAAGTCAACAAAATTTATTTAAGTAAATTTAATAAAAAAATAATTTTTATTCAGTAAAATAAGAGTTTTTTTATATGAGAAAAAATAAAAATTACAAAAATATAGTGTTTTAGAAAAAAGAATGAAAATATGGGTTTTATTTTAAAGTATGGACATGTGGGATCTAAAATAAAAATTTGAAAATATGCATACCGTAAATGACCAATATTATCCGGTTCCTTTCTAAAATAATTTAAAATTTAAATATTAAAGATAATGATTATATTTTGTAAAAGATTAAGATATAGATAAAAACTAATTCAAATTTCATTTTTTTAAATTTAAAATAAATAGTAAATTAGTAGATAAAACTTGAAAAAAAATAAAAATTATCATAATGTGTATATTTTTAAGAGAGTAAAGAAGACAATAGAGAAAAAAATTGATCGATAGTCATAAAAAATAAAAGATTGTAGAAATTTTGAGTTTTTTATTTAAAAAATTAAAAAAATATATTCAATAGAATTTAGAGATATAAGCTATAAATAGAAAGTATGAAAAACAAAGCGAAAAAAAGAAAAAAGAAAAAGAAAATATTTTGAGAACTTTCCAATTTTTAAGCATGTGTCTTGAAGCCAATTAAAAAGAACAAACGTCTGAAGGTTAAAAATGAAAGATCCAATCAAATAACCCTAAATCATTAAAAAAAAATACCAACAGAAACAAATATGAAAAAAAACTTATTTCTCTCTATTTTTCAAATCAAGTAAGAGTTATAGTTTTTGTTTGCTTTTGTTTTTTTATTTTGATTTCTTTGTGTGTTTCTCTCTTTTTCTTACTTGTTCATAATTTTAATATTTTTTTCTTTAAAATTTTTCTTTTTCACAAAACCCTAAAAACCTAATATTTTATAATCCTAGGAATATATCTTTTTTTGTAAATCCTAAAAATATAATATTTTCTATCCCTATAAATCTTTTGAGTTGAAAAATATTAGGTTTACATGGTTTGCAAAAAGGAAAGTTTTGTAGGACTAAAAAAATCAGTTTTTTGAGTTTACAAAAGAGAAAGATTTTTAGTGTTAAGAAATATTAATTATTTATGGTTTAAAATAAGAAAAAATATTTAGGATTAAAAAAATTTAGACATTTATTCTTTCTAATTGTCTTCAGGACACGTGATTTGAAAAATATATTTATTTTATTTGTTTAAATAGAAAAATCTAACTTTTTATGATATTTTATTTATCAATAATTACTAATTAAATTCTTTTTACCACTATCTTATATACTCTCTTAAAAATTTATACACTACTTTAACTATTTATAATTTCTTTTTAAATCAATTTTTATACACTAATCTACTTTCTATTTTAATTTTTAATTTTTAAAAGAACCATTTTAAATTTTGTATGAATTTTTATTCATATCTTAATATCTTATAAAATCTAATCATTATCTTAAATTTTTAGTATTTAAATTATATTAAAAAGACTAAAAATAATGGTCATTCACATTAATCTTAAAAAAAATTACTTAAATTAAAACTATAAAAAAATTTAGAATTTTATATTCCTTCTCATTAAACTATGAAAAAATATAATTTTTTTTATTTCATATAAAAATTACCTGATTTTTAAAGACACACACACACATATATATATATATATATATATATATATATCTTTTTACTAAATATTTAAAATATATTATCTAATAAATTATTTATGTTAAATATCAGTAAAATATAACTATTTAAAATTAAGTTAAATTATTAAAAACAATAATTATTATTATAAAAATAATGATTAAAAAAATAGTTAAAGAAAACTATAATATTATATAATTTGAGTTCCAGTCTTTATAGTATATCAATTCTTATTTGCATACTAAATATTATAATTTTTACTGTTCTTTAAAAAAGATACTATTTGGAAATAAAGTTATCTATATATACATAACTAATAATAAAAATAATCATAAAATTTACACAAAAATTCTTCAAATTATCAATAATTTAAAAAGAAAAAATATAAAATTCTAATTTTCTTTTAATTTTTGTTTAAGTGATTTATTTTAATTTAAACAAAAAATAACAGATTATCTGGTCCGTAACAAAATCATTTTTTACTCCGTTTTTTAGTATTCCGTGAATTTTAAGCTTGTAAGAGTAAAAATAATGTAAAGTTTGGACATACAATTTGCAAATAACAAAACGTTATTTTACACATGATGTTTTACATCGCAACTACAAACATATAAACGGAATAAAAGAATTTAATGTAACACATTGTGGCTAGAGGTGAACAAACTAAGTGAATTTGACAATCCCAGTGGTCTAGGAACGAGTGCATTCCAGTGGGAGGCCTTGGGGAAACCTCTTCCTGTCTGAGCAGTAATTGTAAATCATGTAGTTCTTCTGCACCCACTTCAGCCTCTGTTGACCCGTTGAATCCAACTCTTGTGATAGCCATGCAGAGGAAGCTGAATTTGATTTGCATGAGGATTTTCCACCGTTCCATACACAAGCATTTGCATTGAAATTCCTATATGAAGCGGTGAAAGGTGCTTTGGACCAATCAGTCTTAACGAGTCCACCCCTTGTGGCCCAATCATCAGCGTTCCAAAGGCTTGAGTATATCCTCATGGCTTGGTTCTTTGGAAAAGGAACTCCAATTGATTCCAAATTCTTGAACTCCCTGATGGGGGTGCCATCCACTGAAAAACTGAAACACACAACGATAACCAATCAGTAACTAACGAAACTACACACACATTCAAAGAAATATATGATCTTAGCGGCAATTTGAAATTTTATCAAGAGAAATGGATGAATGAGTGCTTACACAATGCGTTGGGGATTCCAGAGAATTGAGTATGTGTGGAAATCCGCAGTTGGGTCAAACCAGAGATAGAATTGCTGCTCCCTGTTGCCCTTGCCTTGGCTGTACACATTGGTGTGTAGAATATAAGGGTCACCACTTAGATTCCCCAAGAATTCAAAGTCAATCTCATCCCATGTTGATCCCTTTGAGGAGAGCTGACAAAAAGGAAACATTTTATGTATCTATTAGCCACATGATATAATTCAGCATATAATGATACAAAATCTCTTAAACAAAATAATGCTTACATAATAGGCAGTGACGGTGCCAGCAGAGTTTCCAGGAACAAGCTTGAGCTGCATATCAATTTTGCCAAATAAGTATTCATTCTTGGACTGAAAGCCAGAGCCAGAGGCCTTATCAAGTGAGAGAGTGAGAAGATTTCCATTGTTGAGAATTTTTGCACGACCATCTCCCCATGTAATCTGAAAGTCTTGGTTGAAGTTTCCAGCAACACAGACACGAGTGTAAAGGCTCACAAGCAGAGGAATAAGAAGCACAAGGCATGAAGAGGTAATAGAAGCCATGAAAAAGGGTCGCGAGTAAGAAGTGAATTGTTATGGAAATGGGTGTAGGTGTGATGACATAAAGGGAGAGAGTATGGGGCTATTTATATTTGTTTGTTGCAAGGATGAGAGGAAAAGGATGGGAAGGTCTCATCATCTAAGCTGTATATAGTTGTATGGTATGGTAAGTTGAAAGCTGTCAAAAGCTATAATTAAATGATTAATATGAGAAGGTGATATTGGGTGGAGGGTAGAGGCTGTGACTGAGGAGAATGAGGACGCGGCTTTACATTGGTTTTTGAGACTTTACGCAGTCCCTATCGTCAGGTAAAGTGGTAAGTATATCAGAAGAATGGATAGGGTCAAGATTTGAAGTCACCGACGCCACCCTTGACCCTACTCCTAGGCAAGAAGGCATCGATTACATTCTCCATTATTTTCCTAGGTGCTTACCGCTCTTCTCCCACTCATAGATTATTTAGACCAAAAATATATATATAATTCACATGTGGGTGATTCGATTTGTGTCATCTCAATTATTGTTTTAACCATTTACCTAAGTAAATTCTTTCTATTTTTATAGTAATTCTTGGATTGATTACCTGAAAATTAAAATTAGACTAGACATTTCTATTTTAAAAAATAATAATGAGTTGGATCTCGGAGATATTTCATTAAAGATTCCTTTATTCTTTTTGCCTTGAGGTTGTTTCTCTTTGCGGGAATGCGGACCATCACTTCTAACTTTCCATTAGGTCTAAGGAACTTAAATGGATTCTTCTTGCAGTCCTTGTTTGCAAGAAAGGGATGATTTGGAGGATGACGATGACTAGTACAGCTGTTAAACCTAATTTTCAGTTATTTTCAAAACACAAACATAGTAAACTTTAGAAGAAATTCACTTTTTTAAAAACTTTATTTTCAGCTAATAAATTTTATATACTCAAAAAAGTAAATATTATTGTTTTGATTCCTAATTACAAGTATACTTCAAAGGTAATAATTAGTAAAAAAAAAAAAAGCGATATAACTCAGCTTCATTCAAAACACCGTATTAATATATATTGCTAGATAAATTAGGAAGGAAAAATGTGACTATGATTATAACTCTGAGATTAAGTTTATGTTTGATACGATTGATTATGAAATTAAGGTTGTGGTTGACATAATTAGTTATAAATAAACTGATGATAAAATTTATTCAAGTAGTAAGGATAAAAGGAAATAAATTATAACATGCTATAAGTTATTCCAAGTAATGTTAAAAAAAAGTAATAAGTTAATGAGATAAAATTGTTTATCAAATACTAGTACTTTGTTAAATAATGTTCTTAAAAATCAGTTAATGAATAAAAATAAAAATTTACGTTATATGTTTATTAATAGCTTTAAAAAAAATTACATTTTCACATTCTAATAATATCCTGAAAATACTAATTAATATTTATCTAAAAAATAATTAAATAAATTATTTTTTTAACTAAAATACCGCATCAAACATACTCAAAACAAACAATATCACCTGTTTTTTGTTTGACCCGAATGTGATGAGGTGGTTGAGACTTGGATGTGCTCAGGTTATTATGCGCAATAAATATCAAGACCCCACGTGCACAGGTTTTTTTTTTTACCAACTTTCCAAATTTTTGTTGTCGTTGAAAAACAAATGCGCGTCCTAAAATGCAACCAAATCATTCCTATCATTCAAATATGTTGGGTTTACGAGACAAGATGCCACTACAGGACAGCCAGTTCCTAATATCTCTGTTTTAACCCGAGAAAGGTAAATATCACGGGATTTTTAACACATTTTTTTAATATATTTTAATTATTAATTAAAATTTACTGAAAATTATTAATTCTCACTTCTAAATATATTTTTAAAATTTTAATTAATACTTAAAAATATGTTAAAAATTAAAATTTTATAAAAAAGGCTGAGAATAAATAACTAATAATAATAAAATTTTATTAAAAAATATTTATTGTATTTTTATAATTTCAATATAATAATTATATACTTTTTCACAAATTTTGAATTATTAATTAAAATTTATTAAGCCTCACTTCTAAAACTTCTATTTTCTGAATTTTTAATTAATATCTAAGAGTATGTTAAAAATAATATGTTAAAGAGTGTATTATTGAATATCCATTTTAACATTAATTTTGTCAATTTTAATATAAAAAAACATTTTGAATTAATGTGATTATATTTTATAATTAAATTTAAAAATTTAATAGTAGTTTTAAAATTAAGTTCAAGGCTTTGTTTATAACATCTTTTAATTAAGAATTAAACACATGATTTCTGAAAATTTTGCCATTTGTTTTTTCCGTATAATCAATGTGATTGGTGCCATGAATTGTGTTTAGATTGACAGAAATATAAATAAAATAATACACTTAAAATAACCATAATATTCCTATAGAATATATTTAAAACATTTTAATAAAAGTAAAATAAAAATAGTAGGAATGATTTCACGACAACTTACGTAAAACGTAGAATAATAAATTCCGTTGAATAATTATATTTTTCAGCTCAACGAAACAACTAAAGTATAAGCAGAACATTAATATGGAGAAGTGGATAGGATTTGGCTGCAAGACTATGGACCCTAAACCCATGATTATGAATGACGGCAAAATTAAAAAAAGTTAAAAGTATATATATGAATGTGAGCTGAACTCACAGCTAGCGAAATAATGCAACATTAAAGAGCCTTGACAAGTCAAAATGTAAATAAACACTTGTTCCCTTCCTTGGTTGCTTCCTAACCCCTTGTGTGTGTAGTGTAGGTGTAGGGTGAGGGAGGCCCTCTAAGGCGGCGTCGGTGAAAGGGTGAACTCCACCTCATCCCCTTCTCTTCATCGTACAACTTGCCTCTGCGTCATGTCCCAATAACCAATGCAAATAAAACAACCTCGTGCGACAGGTTAAGTTGCTTGTGGACACACCACCTTTTCGACAGCTCTTTTACCACCCAGCTATCTACAGCTTACATCGCAAGTCTCTTTCCTATCCTTTTCCTCTCCTACTTCAACTTGTTGCAAATCACGCGCTCATACTTCACTCCTATATATACCCTCATTCTCTCTTCAACCCATCACACAACTCCCAATTCCCATTTTCACTTATTTCCTCATTCACATTGAGAATATTAAGCTTGTTGCCACCCTCCCTTTTTCATAATTCACGCGCATATAGCAAAAATATGGCTTCTACTACCTCTTCATGCCTCGTGCTTCTTATTCCTCTCCTCGTGAGCCTTCACATTGTGGCATGTGCCGCTGGAAATTTAAACCAAGACTTTCAGATTACATGGGGAGATGGTCGTGCAAAAATACTTAACAACGGAAATCTTCTCACTCTCTCACTTGATAAGGCCTCTGGCTCTGGCTTTCAGTCCAAGAATGAATACTTATTTGGCAAAATTGATACGCAGCTCAAGCTTGTTCCTGGAAACTCTGCTGGCACCGTCACTGCCTATTATGTAAGCATTATTTTGTTTAAGAGATTTTGTATCATTATATGCTGAATTATATCATGTGGCTAATAGATACATAAAATGTTTCCTTTTTGTCAGCTCTCCTCAAAGGGATCAACATGGGATGAGATCGACTTTGAATTCTTGGGGAATCTAAGTGGTGACCCTTATATTCTACACACCAATGTGTTCAGCCAAGGCAAGGGCAACAGGGAGCAGCAATTCTATCTCTGGTTTGACCCAACTGCAGATTTCCACACATACTCAATTCTTTGGAATCCCCAACGCATTGTGTAAGCACTCATTCATCCATTTCTCTAGATAAAATTTCAAATTGCCGCTAAGATCATATATTTCTTTGAATGTGTGTGTAGTTTCGTTAGTTACTGATTGGATATCGTTGTGTGTTTCAGTTTTTCAGTGGATGGCACCCCCATCAGGGAGTTCAAGAATTTGGAATCAATTGGAGTTCCTTTTCCAAAGAACCAAGCCATGAGGATATACTCAAGCCTTTGGAACGCTGATGATTGGGCCACAAGGGGTGGACTCGTTAAGACTGATTGGTCCAAAGCACCTTTCACCGCTTCATATAGGAATTTCAATGCAAATGCTTGTGTATGGAACGGTGGAAAATCCTCATGCAAATCAAATTCAGCTTCCTCTGCATGGCTATCACAAGAGTTGGATTCAACGGGTCAACAGAGGCTGAAGTGGGTGCAGAAGAACTACATGATTTACAATTACTGCTCAGACAGGAAGAGGTTTCCCCAAGGCCTCCCACTTGAATGCAACCACTAGCAAGTAGCAAGCAAGTGTTACAATTACAATGTCATTTTTCATTCTTTTATTTTTTCATTCCTTTATGTTTCTTGGCTGTTTGGGCTTGTATACAATATTAAATAAACAACAATAGCTTTTGTATACTTCATTTTTATCTTGTCACTCGATACGTCTTTTACTTCTTTTTTTAAATCCTAATTGTTTTAGTCTAAATGAAATCTGAACTCCGAGTTAAAGTGTAGAACAATTATCCTGATACAATTAATGTCACCGATCCTGTTATTTGAATGTTAAAATTTTGCCTTACTTCTATACCGACAAGATTAAAACATACCAATTATTTTTTAATACATATTATTTAAACTATAAAAAAATTGACATTGAATATTATTTTTATTTCTAATATATTTTTTAAAAAATACTATAAATATACAAAGAATATTTAAAATTAAGTAAATAATTTATTTTTTATAAATTATATTTAATTTATGTTTTTTTGAGTATGTGAAAAAATTATTTAATTTGAAGCTATAAGTTATTTTTTAATTTATATAAAAATCATTTTTTTAAGTACTTATTAAAAAACTATTAAAATAGAATATAAAGCGTCAAGTTTACATAAAGATAAATTGTTCACCGGAAAATATATCATTCTAACGTCGCGCTTCAATCCGGCAGCGACGTTTTAAAATATTTTTACTATAAAATGTTTGAAGTTTGAAAAAAAATAAAAAATTCAGAAGTTTGAAATGCATCAGTTAAAGCTTGACCGGGAAAGGTGAAGCTTTTCATGGCGAACACGTTCATCAATATGAACAGCCTGAAAGAAATAAATTAATTACGTTATTGGGACATAGCTGTTAGTCCATTTCCATAAGATTTTCTAAAGCAGTCTTCATTAAAATAGCCCAAGTTCATAAACTAAAATCAGCAAATTTCTACCACCTCGTATGTAAAATCCTTGTTTTTACTTCCGTGCGAGATGGACCGAAATCAACGAATAAAATGTTGCAATTTCAATGAGACGAGAAGTTAAGAACACTTTCCTCTATACCATCAGCCACAGAGATGCGATCATTAATTCAAATACTGGTACAATTATTTATGTTTTACTAGTACAATTATTTAGTTACCAACAGAGGACCTCCCAACAAATAACATAAAAATTCAAATTTTAATATTCTTATTATGAATACGGTCATTTAATAACAAAATATTAAGATATTTTATATTAATTAAAATACAATCAATATATTCTTCATAAAATTTAGACAATATCTTTAAAAATTAACTTTTGATCTATCTCTACTATAGCATTAATTTTTTTAATCTTAATAGTACTCATCTTCAAATGTTTAATTATGTAAATTTTACATATTATATTTAAAAGTAAATTATTTAAACTCATTTTTAGTAAAAAAAAAAATATTAACAACACTTTATTTAACATATTTAAATTTTATCAAATAAAAAAATATAATTTCTTTGTTTTAGAAAATTTCAGATAAACTTTGAATTTTCAACTAACAAATATGAAACATAAATATTTTAACGATGGAAGATTAGATTGAGAAGAAGTAGAAATAGCGCGTGAGCATTACATTGTGGACGTGGGACGTTTTGTCCGTATTATGGGAAACGGAAAATGGCGGTGTAGTTGGAAGGCTCTTAAATGAATAGTTTAGCTGTAAAAGTATGATGCTTGGTTGGCAGTGTCAACTCAAATGCTTCATTGCATTGCACAAGTTGACCACTACACTTCCAATTCACCAACTCATTCATCTCTTTCTAACTTAACACAAAGAGACAAACGCGTCCAATACCCACCGCCAACTTTGCAACTGTGTCCAGCTTAGCTTCGCCCTTTGCAATTTCCCATACCCTTCCTTATATTATTATCATAATGTGAAGTAAGGGTAGCTGCCTTATTATAAATACCATTAACCATGCACTAATCACTATCACTTGCACTACCACTGTTTTCAAACAATTCACAGTAGAGATGGCTTCAATTGTCTCTTACATGCTTCTTCTAATGCCCCTTCTCATTAGCTCTCTCATGGTTGCTTCTGCTGGTGACTTCAACAAAGACTTTGACATAACTTGGGGAGATGGTCGCGCCAAGATACTTAACAATGGAGAGTTACTCACTCTCTCACTGGACAAAGCATCTGGTTCAGGATTCCAATCCAAGAACGAATATCTCTTTGGGAAGATTGACATGCAGCTTAAGCTCGTTCCAGGAAACTCTGCTGGCACTGTCACTGCCTATTATGTAAGTTATTTTGTTATTATACAATAACAATAACATATTAATGGGTTGGCTTTGTTTTTCCCTTTTATATTATTCATTTTATACATTGTGATTCAGGGTTGATAAAAACGTTGCTTTTGTTTGCAGTTATCTTCAAAAGGAGCAACTTGGGATGAGATAGACTATGAGTTTCTAGGAAATTTGAGTGGTGACCCTTACATTCTTCACACCAACGTTTTCAGCCAAGGCAAAGGGAACAGGGAACAACAATTCTATCTATGGTTCGACCCAACTGCTGATTTCCACACTTATTCTATAACATGGAATCCTCAGCGTATAATGTATGTCCTAATTCACCCATTTACCACTCTCTTTCCTTTTTCTCCACCCTATGTTGTCGTCATGCACGGACTAACTATTTCCTTTGCTCTTAATTCAGATTCTCGGTTGATGGCACTCCCATTAGAGAGTTCAAGAACTCAGAGAATATTGGTGTCCCCTTCCCAAAGAACCAGCCCATGAGAATATATTCTAGTTTGTGGAATGCAGATGATTGGGCAACAAGAGGTGGACTTGTCAAGACAGATTGGACACAAGCTCCATTCACATCTTCCTACAGAAATTTTAATGCTAATGCTTGCGTTTGGTCTTCTGGAGCATCATCTTGTGGTTCTTCAAGTTCTACATCTAATGCTGATACTAGCAGCTCCTGGCTTTCACAGCAGTTGGATGCTACAGGCCAAGAGAGGTTAAAGTGGGTGCAGAAGAACTACATAATATACAATTACTGTACAGACACAAAGCGCTTTCCACAGGGTCTTCCTCCAGAATGCAACGCCTCTTAAAGAGAAAATAGAGCAGCACATTCGTTATATTTTTCTATAATCAGTAGAATTCAAATATTGGTTTATTGATGCATGCTATTGAGTTTAATTCTTTCATTTGTTTCCTCTTCTGTAATCACTATGTTAACAATTAAGGCCATTCTTAAGAGGTATATGTATATCCATTTTATAATAAAAGAAGATTCTTTTCTCTATTAAATTTCCCTGCAGTTTTTATTTTAGAAGACCTGGAGAAAAAAAAAGAAGAAAGAGGTAAAATAAATCAAAAGCAATTCAATAAAAGTCTATGGCACACACGGATTCAGATAAGGTACTACGACCCTGAACTTTCGAGTGGGATTATTTCGTACATTATTCGGTTCCGCTACTGCTACGGATCAACGTATCTAGTTTTCGTCACGTTAATTAAAACGAAATCATTTCACATTATTCTTTCCTTCCTCTACTAGTCGGAGATCAACTTGCCGACGACAATCCAGCGCGCCAAAATGTAATGAATTCAATCTCAATACTAATTTATCCAGGAGCTCTCAATCTTATGAACTAACCTAGAAGTTTATTTGCTGGTAGACATGCCACGAGTGTCTACACTTAAGAGAAAAGAAAATGAGAGAAATGATAAATATAGGAATGACATGATGTACATAAAAAGAGAGAGAGAAGGATAAGAAGTGTAAATTTGGTATTGACACCCACGAGTCTCTAAAAATTAAAGTTTACAGTGCAGGAGAAATCCACGGGTGATGAAAAGATAATAACTGATAATACAACTAGAAAATTAAGTGGCTCATAATTAATATACATTAAGTGAGATGACAAATCTGGGCTATCATCGCAAATATAACAGGTGTTCCGTAAACACAACATCCCTAAAACCCAAAGCCAATGGATAAACAAATGTCAATCACGGTTCTTCCTAAACTTCAACACACTGTACAACAGGACACTGGACAAAGGCGCTGTCAAATCAGATACAGATGCATAAATCAAGAATGTCAATACCATGGACTGCACAATTTGGTTGGCACGGATGAAGACAACTAAATTTGCAGAATATCAGTATAATCTTAAGGCTATTTGTTAAGCCTGCAACCATAGTCCAAACAACCTATTCATCTAATTCCTCTATCTGTGCCCGCTTCTCAGCTGCTATCTTCCTGATAAAGAAGCCCCACCTCATTGCTGCCTTGATCTTCAGCCATCCCACAACAGCTCTGCCTGGGCGGGAGCGATCCTCATCATAGTTTGGCATGGGAGATGGCATGAATGATGGGAATGAATAGCCATCCTCAGCATTCATGGAAGCATGACCTCCCATGCTGAAGAGGCGAAGCAAGTGCTGCATATCTTCATTCTCTAGCATCTCGTGACTTCTGTTACGAATTTCTTCTTCTGAAAAGAATTCGTCAACCCCCCTGTCCCTGTTGTGTGACCAGTCATCAAAAGGATTTAGAGTAGATGGCTGAACAGAAGAGCTACCAGCATGGAACCCTGATGTCAATGATTGAGGAGGACCAAGAGCTAACCCAACCATGCCATGATCATTCCTGGTGCTTGGGGTTTGGTGAGCATTGCTGATTAATTGATCATTAGACAGATATAATGAGCTCTCAAACTGACTCCGGGAGTTGGAGTTCGAAATCAGTGACTGGGTTGGATATCTTGTTACCATGTTATCATCATAACCTGAAAAGGGATTGTATTAGTGTACATTCACATCTTACGGTCATCACACACATAAAATCAGCAATGTCGGATAAACCTTGCTCATGTATATGTAAAAGTTCTTTCCTTTTTTCGTGGGAGAGGTTAGTTTCAGAAAACATCTCTTTCTATCATTATTATCATCAGAAAGCCGGATTCAGAAATCATATTTTGAGTGACAAGAAGTAACTACATATCTAACAAAAACAATTCAAAAGAAAAGGAGGGGGGAAGACCAAAAAGGGAAGATTGGTCAAATCAGAGTTCATGTAAACAGTAATGCTTACCTCCAACTGCCATCCCAGAATTCATTTCCTGTTCAGAAGGAACAGACACTGGGAGGGCCGGCATTTGCAGTTGATGATCTAAACCACTGCCATAATCAATTGACTCAACACGAAGTTCATTTTCAGATGCAACAGACCTATTATTTTGGTTTGCATTCACAAGTGATTTGCCATCATACTCCACAACCTGATCCCAATTGTCATATGCCTTCTTCACCAATGAATCTACATAAACCTGGACTTGCAAAAGCAATTTAAAGATACCATAAGCTAATTTAAAAGGAAACTGCCAACTTTGAGCTATGGGAAGTCTCAGATGTTACAATCCTAAACATTAGGATTTCTTAATCAGTATCATAACATGTACATGTTTATTTTTGTTTAAGATTGCTATGTTTGCAAGTGAGAGACCACACAGTCAGACAGCATCGTCCACCAATTAAATTAATAGAATGAAGTATGTGATATGTCAGCAACATAAATGTGCTCAACTTTTGGTATAGGACAAACTATCATAAAGAAGCTCACCAAAAACATAAATTGATTGCATTATTGATTAATATCAGGGGAAAAACACATGTAGACTAACCTTCTGGCTATCAGTCAGAGAATCAGCAGAAAAGAATTGTTCTCCTGATATAAGTCCACGCAGCTCATAGATGTTGTTAAAAATGACGCCAACATTTCTTGTATCCTCTGGATAATAAACATAGAGCTTCCCACTTAGAACACATGTTTTTGCATGTTCTAGGAGAGCCTCCCACATCTTGTTTGACATCCCACTTCCAAGGATCTGCAGTTGAATAATATAAGAAAACGGCTGGAAAGACCAAATTTCAAGATTAAGATGCAAAACCTCAACTTACATTCCGCAATCTCTGTTGATCTTTAACCACAAGTCGAAGAAAGTCTTCAACTGTGAGTATTCCAGCATTATTCAGCTTCTTGTGAAATGAGCCATCCTTGCCTATCTTCTCCAATCTCCACACTTCATCACTCAATGCAGGAGGATAATGCTTCTTATATACTGTAAAAAATAAAAAAGGTCAAAATATAAAATCTAAAGGAAGGTATTACAGTGTAGGAGCAGGGAGTACAAATGCTAGAGAAAAACCCTACATTCTCCTCTATGATCTTTAACAGTGAAAGCCACTGTCTTAGCTTCCCGAATGCGTATGGACTCACAAAAACCTGATGCAACCTTCAGGCCAAGCCTGAACTTACGGCTCCTAATCCAGCTTGAATTATCTGTAAATGTCAGTTCCCCTAAGGTTCCAACTCCTTCCTTGAGTGTCACTTGCAGGTCCCCAGTCAACAAAGGTCTCTTTCCTTCACGTTCTTTCACCACATGGCTTTCAAATTCTTCTTGAGTCCAATCTTCATCATCTTCATTGTTAAAATCACCTTCAAGGACGACAACATCAAGTTTAACACAGGATTCAGCTCCAGATGTTACAACATTTCCACTATTGGCATCAATCACAACAACATGAATTGGAGCCCCCTGCTCGCCTTCCACTTTTCCACCGGTGAACAGGGGAAGAGACAGCCTGGACCTAAACTGCAGCTGCAAGCTTCTACCATCAGGGCCTTCAATCATTTTAGGAGGAGACCTGGAATTTTTAAACTGTTAGAAGAAAATACCAGATTCAAGAGGTACTAAAATAAGATTTATGGTGAGTATTGAAGTGGTGGTGATGGTTACATGTTTATGTTTGAAAGGATGGACATTATACAATAAGGAAAAAAAAAGGACAAGCGAAAATTTTATAATGTTAACTTTCACAATTATGAGTTATAAAAAACAATTCATGTTGCATCACTGAATAATCATTTTCTGTTAGAAACATTAGTTCATTCTTTAACTGATTATTTTCCATGACAATAATAAGATATTCATGTTTGGAAAAATATAGACAAAGGGTTACAAATTTTCAATGTTTTACTTTAGATTGGAAGCAAAGAGGGAGAATTAAGATAGATAAGATATAAAGCTAATCCAAGAACAACTCCTTTTCATTAACAGAAAATATGTCTTTCAGGTGAACTATACTATAATAATGAAAAGAAACACCAAAGAACCACAACAGTAATCATTCTCCGATTTGGGGTTACCTGAGTACCTTAACGAAACTTGGGCAATATCCCCACGCTCATATTGTTTGCAACTTAATGCCTACATGCAAGAACCTACTTTAGTTGGTTAATATTTCTATCTGATGCCTTAGAGGGAAACTTCATCTCTGAGTTTCAGAAAGAGATGGATCACAAAAATACCTTGATGTCTAAAGCTACAACTTAAAAGCTTTTTTGTGGTCATATACATGGCCACCAGTAAGCAAAAACAAATAGGATGTATCACATAGTGGATGCAATCACTACCATACTATACAAATGTCCCATCTAATCCTCCAAGATCAAGGCACCTGAGGATTTATATAAAAATAGAATAAATTAAACACAGTCATACTTTATTTAAAATATCTTCATATACCCTAGTGAACTAGTATACATTTAAATCATGACATCTGAATCTAGGCACTGCAGGGATTATTGAACAGTACCTAAACAGTCAAAGAAATCACAAAATAGTTTCTGTTAAAATTATAAATTCTTTGTTTAGTTTCGTCCTAATCAGTTTCATGGCTTGAGTAAAAGAAAAAGTAGCAAGTGCACTTAGAAAGCTAGGGTATGGCACATTTGACAAGAGCTTAATGGTAGAATTTAGAGCAATAGATTCTCCCTGCACATCATATTTTGATATAAGATTATTTTCTTAGTTTCATTGTTAATTGGCCTCCTGTAAGAGGATTCCTAATCCTCTGAGATTTCATATTCTCTTTTCCCTTCTAGTCATTTGTAATCCTACCCAGACAAAAAATACAGCATTGTTCCTTATCTTCAAAACACCAACCAGTAGTAAATATTTTTCAGATGAGTTTAATCATATATGCAACCATCTTATGGAATAGCATTATCATATAGTGCAGTATTATAATATTCCTTGATACAGCAGTCAACCATCAAAAGATTTTCCAGAGAATATCTATTTCACCCAAGAAATTATACACCTGAAAACCACCTAATTTATAATACAAAATCTAACACGGCTAGAAAAGGGAGGCTTCAAAACTCAAAAGTAAATGGTGAACTGATAGTTATTATTTTCACATTATCCAATTATACCTATGCTTGGTCTACAGACAAATACATGTAAGAAATATTGAGAAAGCATAGTTATAATTCAAGGGATATTATGAAAACAACAAATACTCTGAAATTAATTTCCACAATTTGTGAAGAATTTCTTAGACCTTCCACTAAGTCTTGCAGGACCTAACTTTGCCAAAGCTCGTTCCACTTCTTCACTCACCTGTTTCAGATCAGTATTACTGAACCAATTAAGTAACAAATGCAAGAACATACAGATATAACAAACAAATCATACTACAGTCTAACAAATGATGCCATACCAAGAAAGGAAAAACAAAATATTAGAGAGAACATTAGAAGCAAAATATATGTGTAGGTGCAAAATACTGTCATGATGTGAACAATAGGTCTCCCTAAGCAAAAAAAAATTAGTAAATTTTTTTAATTCTTTTGTTAAATATTTAGGACATTTTACAAATAGGCAAGAGAATGTCCAACACTCTCAAATAGAATATCAGATGAAATAACTTTCCAGAATTGATGTAATGTGCATAAATGGCTTCTAATTGGAGTAAAAGGAAAATAACTGTAGAATGTATAGCCTGTGTCCCCCCTCCCCACCAAAACATAAGCATATAAAAAAGAAAACCACAGCAGAAAATAGGGTGAGAAAGTAATGTAAAGCCAATTGTCTTACAACTCTACGAAGAATAGGTTCTAAAGATGAGCAAAGCTTCTGCAAACTATCCACCTTGAGAGCTTCCACAATTACACTGCAAAATACATCTGTATCAATTATAGGTAACTAACAAAAAATATAAATTAGCAACAAGAAGCATATTGATTTAACAAAAAATCAAATCTTCTTTAATTATAAGCTTAACTGATTAGTTTCTAAAAAACATATAACTAGTTTAGTTTATAAGCATACATATTGAGTTACTTGAAAAACAAAAAAAAAAACACAAACATTTCAATAGTTATGAAGTTGCTAATTCATGATTTGATTATTTCATCATAACTTCCACAAAAGTGGTGTGCTTCTGAATATCATTCATTAACAAAAAATAGAAAGCACACTTAAGATAAGTAAAGATGAGGAAAAACTTTTAAATATCTTAATAGATTAAAGAATGACCATAGACTATGCACTAGGAGATGCTTCCCACAAATGCCCTTCATACTCTCAAGCCAAGAACCTTCCTTACCAAGTAAGCAAGTTTCAACTGTTCTTGAAGGGGTGGTAATACATTTTTTTTAATATCATTAGCAAAGAGATACAGTCTCTCAAGTCAAATATTTATTATGTTCTGAGTTACAACCTTTTACAAGAGAATTTTGATTAAAGAAGGAAGAATATTAAAGAAGATAATGAATGAGGTACACAATCAAATACTTAGAATTCCTCCTTCAAAAAAGAAAAACAGAAAAAGCAGCAGCCAGGGTAAACAAGTAAAACAAATCAACTAACTATTACAACCTTATTACTTGGTCATTCAAATAGCTGTTTTAAACTTTAGGATGATTAGGAAATATAAGAAAGAATCATTTTAAGTGCACAATACAGTGATACTCAAAATGGAATCAAAACCACCAAGAAGAAAATTTTTCACATAAGCCACTACAGCAAAAAGATGAAGCACGCTGTATCAAACAGCGGTAACAAGTAATATTCCATTCCAACAATGACAGCTGACAACAAAAAGTTCAACCATGGCAGCGATTTAGGAAGATAGCAACAGTCATCTAACTTGACTTGACTAGCAAAATAAGTTAGGGGCAAAAATTTAGGAATGATGATGTAACGAACACTATGACATTGACTTTCCTTTGACCCGCTTCCAACTAGGAATACCAGTTTAAGTAGAACTAGCAGACACATACAAAAACAAAACTTATTATTTGGTCAGATATACTAACGAATGCAAAATAGTGATGAAATCAAAACTAAAGTTTTCCCCCAGAAAAAAAAAACAAAATTGATTAGTTAAACCTAAATAGTGGATTACAAAGCAGTCATAGAAGCACAAAATTGAAAAACAAGCAGCAATTACCTGGCAAGAGCAGGCCTCTTTCGTTCAGGCTGGTCATCTTCTCCACTCTCCAGGCTCCTTTTCCCCATGCTAATTGCGTCCGTCGTTGGTCTCTGCATTTACAATCTCTTCCAATAACGCCCCAAATCACCAAATCTGCAACCACTCCAAAACTACAAAAAGTCACCACTATCTCCTAAACTAATAAAAAATTGAAAAGCAAACAAAGAAACCCTAGCAGCTACAGCACCCAAAAAAGAAGAAACTCATAGCAGATCTAGAACACAACAACAAAACGAATAAAACTCGAATTCCACGAAAAACCCTTAAAGTGCACACGTGCGAACCCCCAAATTAACAACCTCTAGCAGCAAATTCCTGGAAAGAAAAAAAAATGTCAGAAACAAAATAAGAAAAACCAGAATCGCTTTGGTCGAGCTGAAAATTAAAAGAAGAGATAGAGCAAAGGGAAAACAAAAAGAATGAAAACGAAGGTGATGATGCTACTACCTGAGAGAGAAAGCTTAGGGGTGTTTGGTGAGAGAGAGAGAGCGAGAAAATCGATTACATGGAATGGTGAGCTTTGCCTTAGTTGGTAGTCATACAGTTTCATTTTGTTCGTATAATTATGGTCTACTCTGGCGACTTTCAGCTTAATAGAGGAATAATCACCTACTTCGCAGAACATTATTCTTTATCAATTAACCAATTGATGTAGTGTCCTATCATTACATAAACTTTTGTTCAATGAATGATGCCCTTCTTGGCTTCTTGCGTTGTTTTGATCATCGGCACCGTTAATTCTGACCCGTACCATGTTTATGTGTTTTTATGACATTTGTATTTATATGCTCCTTGTTGTTTAGTGCCAAAACCAAAGGGACAATCGTAGCCGTATGTTTCCCGGATCAGATTAGATAACCATTGGTGGACACTTGCCACGTCACTACATACACCTTGTACTCTCCGATCGCGTCACTTGCTGACCAACACCTAACATCATCCTTTTTCTTTTTACGTCCTTCAGACAATGAACCCAGCTTATTATTAAGTCTATTTTTCTTTAAATTACAATAGATTTTATTTTAAATTATTAATTGCGAAGGAATGTATATTTAAATTATTTTTATCATAGACTTTGTATTCAAAATTATGATGTGATATGAGAACTTTTTTTTAATTGTCAAAAGGGACACTAAATATATAGTATTGCGTTAGTTATAATTATAGAATTTTAAAACACCAATGGAGTAAGAGACATGAATAATTTATGATAAATCCACACCACTGTCTTTAAGTATAGGAACTTATAGATTAAAAAATATAAATGTATATTTATATTTATATTTTATATATTCTACTGTAAAATTTATAATTTTTTACTTGCAAGTTTTTAATTAGAATCTTAAGACACTTATTAATAAAACTCAATCTATATAATTGAACTGATGCATAAGCTGTTGAGAGCACTTGAGAATCTATCTTGAATATACTCTTTATCTAATGCTCATCATAAGGAGAAGAAAATAATTTAATGATTCAGTATGTTCGCTCTGTCACCCATTAGGATTAGGTGCAGAAATATGTATAGAGTTTGGTTTTACAATTGATTAATCCAAATTTGAGAGGCGAGGGAAATAATATTTTAATAGGGCATGGATGCACATTTTCTGTTTTTTTTTATTTATTAAATAATGATTCGCAAAATCCAATCAGAATGTTTTGGGAGTAAGAAAAGTAAAAAACTACAGGGAGACTGTTTGAAAGCTGCTGACTGATGCTAACTCAATGTGAGTGGATCATGTGGATGCCCAGTTGAGCAAGATTTTGAAGCATAAAAATCGCATTTCAGATATCAACTGAAAAAAGAGAAGCCAAGACACTTTCCTCTTTTTGGACCACTGTGGTTTTTAGTTTTCAAAATATAGTTAATATTAAATTATCAGAACAATTGTAACTGCAGTTGCATTAGGATTATTTGGGCTAAATTTCGTTTTTTATTTTTTTAATAATCTTTAATTTTATGGTTTAAACTTTTTTTTTACAATTTAAATTTTAATATTAAATTCAATATCTAAAATATACAAATTACTTATAATAATATACTTAAGTTTATTTATTGAGGACAAAAATGATCGATAATAATAACTAGAATGATAGTATTAGATGGATGATTGAGGTAACTAAGAGTAATAATTAAAGTGATAACTTAGTTATGGTAATAAAAATAACTATAATAATGAGAGTGATAGCATTAATATATTCATACTAGTATTAGACGATTATAGCAATAAGAGCATTGTTGGACCACAATGCCTTTACGTAGAGATATTAGTTGAAAAAAATTTATTAAAAATTACATTGAAATAAATTAAAGTACATGAGAATGTGTGTATTTTTTTGTTTTTCAATAAAAAATTTAATTTTTATTTTTAACTAATATTTCTCTAACAATAGTGATTATAATGAAAATTGAAATTATATAAAATTAATAAGAATAATAATTTATGATAATGACGATAATGGAAGTGTGAGTAATACATTATTTACTCCATGTAATTGGTCTACTTAAAAAAAAAGTAAAAATACTTGTTTCATATATTTTTTAAGAAAAATATTTCATTACACAAAATTTACACCAATTATTGGACCAAATCCGTGATTTTTGTCCAAGACTCGATTTTATATTTTAAAATTTTAATACTTTTTAATTAAAAAAATGCACATAAATTCGTATAAATTTCATGCAATTATCCTTGATGTTATCCAACTGCTTCATTTTTTAAATGTTAATACGACTTTTTTAAAAATTGAACAAATCAAATAAAGTATATTAAAACACATGTTTTTTAAAAATATTATCCATCTTTTAATAATAAAGATAATAATAATAATAATAATAATTGATCAGGAGTGTGGTTGTAACATTAAAATGATACTACAATCGCAACTCTGTGCGGTAACACGAGTATTTTCATCACATTCATTTATTCTGAGACATAAAGAAAATGGCAATAAATAGATAGGAGTTTAATTTTTATTTTTTTCTCATTGACAGCGACTTCCATTAACTGCGGTAGACATATGTTCAGCATATATTACTGGACCGTGCACGTCAACCTAAAAAACAAAATCGACAGCTCATACAAAGCTAACGAAATATGGAAAAAAAAAATTAGCGCTAATTTTTGTTAATCATATATCATGATACTTTTTCCCTCAATTATAAATTACACGATGATAAAATATCATGGCACCAAGATACAAACATGTTATCATTAGTCTATGGATCATTGCTAAGACATAAAATAACAATTATTCAGTTAGTACAATTATATTAGATTTTCAATTTTTACATTCATTAAATTCTTCAAGCCTCCTGTAAAGTTTGACGAGCAATTGATTGCAAATTTCTGGAGATGTGCAGGGTCCACACAAGAGATAAATGACGTTACCGAGAGGCCTCGTGTACACACCATCTTCCCTAAGCTTCTGAAGAAGTGGTCTTGCATACAGCGATCCATACCTGGGTATAAAATGCAACAATAAAATCGGGAGGATACCTGGGTATAAAATATTTAAAACAAAACCTTGTGAAGCGAAAAATGCGCACCCTTTTTTTTTGTTCCCATGAACTAAGGAGTTGCATCAAAACGACTTAGATTAATGGCTTATTTGTACATTTTACCCATTTAAAGTTGAGAGTTTTTGTAACAAAACTAGAATTTGAAAATAAATGCCTAAAGGCATTGAAGGAATCATGACCAATAATTATAAGTAATGTCCTGCAGTTCATAGTCCTCGTTAAATCTGCACATCTAGTAGAATGAGATATTGGCAATCTAGACGTTGCTAAAATCAAAATAACCATCTTTTGTCCCGAGCTTCCTTTACCTCTTATAATAAAATTTTTAAGGGGGTTCAACATCATAATTACCAAACCTACAGCATTAGGGATTGCCCTCAAGCAAAGCAGTACATACACTCAACAGAGGAATTCTACAAAATATGAGGTGCACAAAATTATTGAAAAGGGAGAAGGGAGAAAGTTGATAAAACGATACCCAGCATTATCGCCTTCAGCTTTTAATTCCAAGGCACACAAAGTTCCTAACGTAACTACTCTTTGAACCGCAGGGTGTGCTGAAATCTGGTGAACCATTTTATCATCCCATAACTGCAAATGCATCATAAAAATTAGACCAAATGAACACACTTTGTGAAGGCTGCTAGCAGCCAGCCATATACAATTGAATAAGAAAAGCTCCCAACGCTAATTATCTCACGTCCCAGAATTATTAGAACAATGTCAATGTCAAATGTCTTCTGAAACTACATATTATTTAAGCATAATTTGTACCACACATGTTTTTCATCGTAATCACCAGAAAATGTATCATTTCTTATCTTTTGTTGTAACAAACAGCCAAAAGATCTATCCAATAGTCAATAAAATGATTTCCAAGAAAAACTCCCATCATTGAGGACATTTAATTTTATTAATTCCTTGAATTTTATTTTTAAGTCGAATACAAAACAATATACAGTCATCTTAACGGCAAGCAAAAGTAACATAAAAATTTAAGAGGCTAGAGAGAAAGCACTATACATTGGTCCAAATTATATTAGCAGAAACATTGACACAGTACAGAAATGCACAATATATGGAACAAGTGAACAATAAATCCTTCAACACCTAACGAGAAATACATTAGGAAAATGGCTAGTGTAGTCATCCATAGGCCTATACCTTTCAGAAAAATTATAAGAAAAAATAGATTAAATATATGCTCCTGAGTTTCTATATACTACATGGAGTAAGAAGTTAATATATTAAATTCAGAGAAAACAAGAATTGCTGAAGTCGTACCTCCCTAAGTAATCTCCCTTCAGAAATGATGTTTGGGTTGGAACAAGAGTCTTTAAACCATTGGATTGATTTAACAGCAGCTGCACAGCCCATCGCATGTGCAGAGTAAGAATGTCCATGCAAAAGGGCCTTGAGCTAACCAAAACAAGAGTGACATCACTTTATTATTGCATTAAAACAGTGTCCAGGAACTTTTCTTTGCATGAACACAAAATACTTACCAGTAGGACAACAATTTATATCAAATATTCAAATAAATTTGAACTAAAAAACAGAAAAACCATGATTGGCTTCATCCTATTTCTAGTACACCAGAAACATTTACAGGGACAACCAAAAAAAAAAAAAAAGACTCATGTCCACTTCTTAAAACACACAAGGTGATAAAAGAAAATCACTATCTTCATCACAAGAAATCGGCAGTCAGCAAAACTACAAGCATAAACAATCATTTCATGTTACGTAATAGTTCAGTTTGATAAAAAAAAAATCAAGAAGTTGATTATTAACATCCTTTTCATTAGATGATACATGGCTATATGATGGAATGCAACCAGAAAAAGCAGAGGGAAAGCAATAAATTAGTTTGTTGGGGACCTTGGGGTCAAGAAATTTTGCCTTGATGCCTTCTTGATTATCTCCTCCATAACTAGTACAAACTTATTTACAATTGTAAATGACAAAATAATTCTTTTTACCAATTTGTGTGTAACTTAAGTTAGGAAGTCTACTTATATACAATGAATAGACTGATTCCTATTCCTAATATATACAGCATATAACAGAAAACAATAATAATAGAAGATTCCATCATTAACAGATAGTGACATCAATATAATCAGTCCATCCATCATCACTAAAACCTAATAAAACAGCAGTTTCCATATTTAGTCAACTGACAGAAAGAAAATCTTCCCTAAGAAAAAGAAAAATTACAATACCTTTGAATCTCCAATAAAGGAATCAAACACAGCATTTGTTGCCAAAGTGGCTGCCAGTGGTATAATTCCACCAGTCAACAACTTCCCAAAGCAGGCTATATCTGGTACACAATGGATTAGCTCCACTGCAGTCTGTGAGAAGAAATATAAACTGCTTATCAAATAAATGAACAATATGCGATAGAGCTTTTGAAAATAAGAAAGGAGAATAGCAATCATCAACAAAAATCACCTCTACTCCCAAACGCCAAAAACCAGTGAAAACCTCATCAAAGATAACTGGAATTTTTCTAAGCCGACATTGATTAACAAGTACCCGCTGAAAAAGTGGATCAACCATATGCATTCCACCAGAACCTTGTATAACTACATAACAGCTCAGGCCCCAGTGAGATGATCAATTTCAGGAAAAGGGTGAAACTAAGTTAACTTAGAATGTCTAGAATGATATAAGGTCAACTGGATTACAATATTAGGTTACAGGAGGAAATAATGAAAATAAAATGATACTTAATAATCTGCAAAAAGAAAAGTCACATAAAATATCTTGCCTGGTTCTATAATTAATGCTCCAATATGATTTGACCCTCTAAATCCAGATAATACATTTGATATGTAAGATGAATAAACTGTAGCAAGCTCAGACTTATCCCTGCCCTTGTGAAATATTTCGTCACGTGAAGCAAAGGCTGTGAAAGTTTCAAGAAGAAAAATAATGATATTCTAACAATAATCAATAAAAGAATTGAAGTTGGAAATTTTTGTACTCACTAATACTTTCAACTTTCAGACTTTTCCACTGATAACCTTCAGGTAAGGAAATATTCCATGTATTGTTGTGCATAAAGACAGAAGGAGGATCCAGAAAAAGACCTCTTCCAGTGTACCTATGAAATCAAGATTTGAAACTTAGAATTTCGTGATTATTAGCTACATTTAGAAAACTATAATCAAGTCCCAGACAGTGATGAGCAAAGTATAGCTAAACTATGCTCCTAGAAATGATAATATATGGCATCAAGCTATCAATATCAAAATTCACAAACAAAACACAACAGCATGAAGGTTTTTAAACAAAAATATACAAAGCATGAAGAACAGATTTTTAAACAAAATAAGTAAAATGACCAATAAGATTTGTGCTGAAGAGACATTCACAAACCAAAACTGTATGTCTATCAAAAGACTATAAATGCTTATGCCAACCAGATCCTAAATTCCAAACTTTCAAAAGACCTGTAGCACTTTTAATCAATATCTATCACACATCACTTTGATAACAATATAGTGCAAAATGACTATAGTCACAAGATTAAACAGATTAGAAACTCCATTTTACAAATATGCAATAGAGGGCAATGTATATACCATGGTTGTTGAAGGAAGCCTGTATAAGATGATGGTGCCTGTGCTTCCATAGCACCCAATGTGTCACCATGATAGGATCTATGAAGTGCAAGGACCTGAAATAATTAAATCCAGAAGCATTAACAGACATGTACTTTATATTATAGGCACCCTAAAGAAGACACTAAACTTGCCCAACATGAGAGATCAAAAACATAGCCAGATTATTATCCACATGACCATAATACAGTTTTCCTTTTAGGGAACATTATAAAAACAAAATCTTGGTAAAATTGTTTCTAGTCTAGGAGTAGCTGACCACTCAACCAGTTAACAATGTAGGAAGACCGGCCAATCAGTAACCACTTGAATAGTTAATTGTTCTTAAAGTTCCTAACTGGAAGCATTCATAAAAATTCCTTTCCCTTTTCATCTTTTTTGGAAAAAAAAAAAAAAAACCATCAAAGTGAAAATAAATGCATATTAGCCTCCTTAAAAAAAAAGGCAACACATAAAACAAATAGAGTCATCAAATAATGGGCATACCAAATGAAATCCATAAAAGCAATCTTATTCTGAATTTTGCTCCAGCCAACTACACCACTAAATAGTATATACAACACATTTCCTTAAATTCTATTCTCCCACGAAGGCCCCAAGAACTAATAAAATAAAATGACTTCAATTTTCAAACTGAAAAGACAAATCCAAGTGTCAATGCAACACTGAACAACCTATCACAAATGGAAATATCAGCTGGACACAACATTACAAAATAAGCAACTATGTTGGCCAGAACCAGACATAGTTATCAAGAGATAGAGCCCAAACAACATTATTGTATTGGAATTTAGTATATGTTCAGTTCAGCTAATTTTAAAGAAATAATCAATTATTTTCATCAATTTCCTAAAAGAGTAGTTGAAAAATAAGTGATTCTTTCTTTGTAAGAAATTGTTACCAAGCATGCACTCAATAACAAAAGTAGGCACAGCAAGATTTAGTGTTATGCCAATCGGAAAAATGATGCCTAGATTCAAACCAAGAATCATCTTCTCCCAAAACAGTCTCTTCACATTCCTCTTCTTTCCACCTTGGACCCATTCCATTCTGAAGATTTTGTATCTCTCCCGTCATTATGTCAAACTTATCATTAACCTCTTTTTTTCAAATCTGGCCTGTGCCTCAATTCATGGCTCACCTCTTCTTGACCATTCCTCAATACCTGCATGCTCTATTCCAAAGCATCCAATCCAATTTTCATTTTTGTGCACACCATAGAAAAGCTTTTGGGACTAAGAGCTCTGATACCAGTGGATAGGAACTGGTGGTACCCACAGAATGATTAAAAAAATGATTCTTTATTGATAAACCATAAGATTCCAACCCAGTCCCAATGAGAAACAGAAATTCAAAATTAGAAAGTAAGGTACAACATGCTTTAGTCAAGTTCTAGATTTTCAAGAAACTCGACACACTCCACACCTATTCTCTTTTAATACGTTTTATCTAACAGCATATCTGTTATTAACATAGGAAATTATCTCTTGCTACAACCTTTATTTCTCCTAATGTACAACTGTCTTATTGGGAGTCTATCAAACACTTCATGTACATATCAAATAATATTCAATAAAAAATGAAATATTCCTGGTACCTAACTTTGTTGTGACTTTTGTTTTCAAATAGTTGCTTTGCTCTCCCCAAGCATAAAAATGGCTTGACTCATTAATTGGCAATATTTCCCCTTCTTTTAATTCAAATGCTAATTACACCATTGCTTTTATAGAATTCCATCCTCATAAGTAAAAAATTGAACTAGTATTCACTGAGGCAAAAACTACTGAAAATAATTAAAGGAACTAAAGGAGCCAACCATAAGCTCATTGGATCTTTGATTTGTGGTATCCTCATGACAATCCCCAATAAGTCCATGATCAACAGAAAATTTACGAAATGCCATCTTGAGAGCAATTTCAATTGCTGTAGATCCATTGTCTGAAAAATATGCTCGAGAAGCCCAACCTGCACAACAGACAAGTCAGCAACTAAGCAAAATTGTAAAGTGCTCATCAAATTATGTATCACCATTCAGTGGATAACATTGACCTTTGTAAAACAAACATTTGAATAGAAGTAGGACTACACTAAAACATGTATTTTTAACTCTAAGGTATTCATTAAGAAATTTGGGCCAAACTCACTCTCAAAAGCTAGCTCATAAGAAGAGGAATACGTAAGCTCTTATATGGAGTATTTTGTCTTATTCATAGCCAATGTTAGACATCTAAACAGTATTCATTGATCAAATGGCCCTAAGATCAGATTTCAGATCATATTAAATACATAACTAAAGACAACCACTTGGAAAATTCCTATTTTTAAAAAATATATTCAGATATAAAAGTAATAAAGGGGCATACTAACCTTTCCCAACACCTTGAAGTAAAAGCTCAGCACATTTTAAGGCTGGCTCATGAACATTCTCAGGGAACATTACATGCCCAAATCTAGCAGCAGCATATCCCATCTCCCTAGCAAGCTCAGTCTGAAATCACCTAAATGGAAAAATTGCATTAAAGGAAAACTTCAGAGATGATATCATGAAGGGGCAAGCAGGCCTAAATATGCCAAACATGTTTGGTCCCAAATAATAACACCTCAAAAGCATCATTGATCCATGTCATAAAGATTTATTAAATGTTAAATTGACTACCGATTATCTAAAACCACCCTTTTTTTTATTTGGGCTTCGAACTAAGTAGTGTTGAGCAAAAGAACAGGAAATAGGCTGAGTTAAACTAAATAGTTAAGCATTAGATTTAAAAAGAAAGATAGAGACAACACTCTTACAAGCTTATCCAACAGTAAAAGAAAGGAAGAATGGCATATTTCAGTATGTATCCCTCAATCAGGCAGCCAATCTGCTTGTAACCAGTTTGAATAATAGAATTAAAAGCTTAAGAAATATGAGGATAACCTGCAATACAGCATCAGGTCCTTGAGTCCACCAACTAGCACATGCATCAAATAGTGGTGTTATGACTTCAGTCTTCTGATCCTTCGAAAAAAAATCACATGATGTCTCATCAAGATATCAGCATATAAAAAATGTACAAATGATGTAGTTCTATAAAACTCCTGAATCTAATTCCAAAATAACACTAAATGCAGTAAGCTCAACAGAGTGCAGTCCACTAAAATCTGTATTGAAATTTAAATAAAGGTTTTACTAGAAACAAACCTTGAAGACTGCAAAGTTCTCACCACAGCGTGAATCAATTACTGTGACCCCTCCAGCAGGTACAAGTTTGTGTTGAGTGAAAGGCCACCAGATGATATCCCTTGCCTCTCTTGGCATGTCATGCAACCTTTTGATTCTCTCAAAATAAGCAGATAGCATAATTTCCTTTAGATTGTTAAATATGTTATGAGAACCTTCAAACCATTCCATTAAGTCGTTTGATGGATCTTTTGGAATATGTGGTAGCACTAGAACAGGAACCCTGCACAAAGAAGGCAACAATGGTATGTAAGCACAGAGCAAACAGCAGGAAAAAAAAAGGAAAAAAACTGATTAGCTGAAACATATGTACAGCTATAAATGAACTTTTGATGCATGTATGCATATATGAGAGAGAGGCTAGCCCCGTTTATAAAGCTCAGTTCAAAGTAGAGAATTAATGGTTTTAAACCAACATCTGGCAACCGATTGGCAGAGAATGATTCTGTAAAGGAACTTGAAAGCCTCAAACCCACATTTTGGAAATGACTATTTGTTACTTTTGTTAAAAAAAATTTACCAAATTATCCCCACCAAGCAAAATTTTTAAAATGAGTATGTGTCCATCTGGATAATTGAGCCCTAACAGTACTTTTATCAATACTATTCAAACAGAACTCATTTTTACAAAACAATTTTGGCACTAATATTCTCAAATATATCCTTTGAAAAACAAAATGTTCAAATTTAATTCTTCTGAAGTATATTCTAGTATTATTCTACTCAAGAGTAAAGTTATGCAAATTGTCCAACAATATTTTAGTGGTGCTTATTCAATACCTACCAAAAATGAATTTAAGTTTAAATAAATAAATAAAAACAGCTGAAACCATTCAGCGTGCTTGAGGTCATTAAATATATTCAGCATAAAACCTTGCATTGCTACTAATTTCAGTCCAATTTCGTTAGTTTTACCAAAAACAAACTGAGAAAAAGGAACATTATTAATCTTTTCAAATTAAGCAGAATCCTCTGTTCCTCATGTCGCAAACAGAGAGGGAATATAGAAACTAGTGTAATCAAGCTTACTTGTTCCGCATATAAGACATCAGTGGACCCTCATTTAGCAGGCCATGATCTTCAATAACAACAGCAACAACATCATAGCCACGAAGCATCAAGCTCTCATAAGAAGATATGGTTCCAGAGATGCCTCCTAATCGCCCATCTCCAACAAGAATTGCAGGAATACGGAACGGCCTTCCAGAAAAACGGAAGAATGAACAGATTTAACAAAAAGAAATAAATATATAAATACAGTATAACTGTATAACAATCCCCCACACATCAAAGTTCTATTATCATCATTGCCTGGTGATACATATAATATAGTTGCTTCCTTTGTCTAAACAATAAAATATTAGCAGTTAACCACAGATTTCTCACGACGCTCCTACAAAGAGAAGCAAGAACCAAACAGTGCATGAATTGTTAGAAAAAGAAAACCATAAACAAACGGACAAGCTACCTGCATTATCATTGAAAAATAAAATAAACCTTGGTTTAAATAGCAATTACCAAGCCAACAAAATTTAAACCACTTAGATACATGTCCTAAATTAACCATCAAAGTTGAATCCGCAAACAATTTCAAAAAGAATAAGATTGCAACACACACCTATACAAGTTACATTGAAGTGACCCAGAGGGACCTGGACTAGCAACTCCACCGGCAGTCTCTACCACACACAGAACTTCCGATCTCTCCTTATCTGCTCCACTTTTCACCACATCTCCGAAACACCTGTGTAGTGTTTCCAACACCACCGAGTCCTTCACAACCAACCCTTCCCTCTCTGCAGCCAAATGCGGCGACACCGCCTCTTCCCACGCATACAACGTCTTGCAAACCAGCTCCGACGAGCCAACCCCTTCCTCGGCGGCGGAACTCGACAACGAATTAATCTCCGTTACGACGGGGGAGACGTTGAGGACGCGGAGAGAAGCGGAAAAGGGAATGCGAGGGTTGCGGAAGAGGGAGAGTTGGCGGACCTTGTTGAAGACGAATCTGGAATCCGAATCGGAGGGAAAGCCGGTTTGGAGAGGCTTGAGGTAGTGGAATTGGGAGGGGGAAGGAGAAGAGAGGAGGTAGGAAGCAGCAATTCCAGCGGAGACTAGGGTTTTACCAACGCCGGTGTTGGAGCCCCAAATGAAGTAGATAGGGTGGGAGAGCGGTAGGTGAAGTGGTTGCGAGGACGTGTAGGAGAGTTTACGACGGTGGAGACGGCGAGAGAGGAGGACGGAGGGGAAGCGGTACATGGTGGTTGGCCAAGAGTGGAAAGGGCCAGTGTCTGAGTCACAGAGTGGGAAAGGACGAGAGTTAAGGAGGGAAAGCAAATATGATAAATGCTGTTTGAAGTACTTCGAATTTGGAAAGCAGCAAAGGCCGGTTTGAAATGTTTCTTACTTCCTAAACAAACAAGACAAACTCTACCTGCCTGTACCCTCGTTTAAATATTTTTTTATTAATTGAATTTTGTTAAAAATTAAAATTTATTAATTTCATTTGTATTTTTTTATTTATTAAAAATTGTGTTAAATAATTTCAGTTCTTAATAATTACAAATTTTTCACAAATCATTATTTCAAAGATTAAAGACAGGGTAATAATTTATCAATAGCGGCATTCTAACTTATATTTTAATAGTTGGATTTATTATACTCGTATTTTATAAATAAATATAATAAGTGAAGCAAATGTTACAGATTAACTCTAAAATTAAGTAAAAATTAATAGTTTTATTAATAAACTATTATATTGTAGAAAATATAATAAAATATTATTTGTGTAATCTAAGCCCGTGCAAAAAAACAAGGTAGAAAATTATTTTCATAAAACTAATATATTAAATAAAATATAATTAATAATTGGATGTAAAGAGATATAGAAAATAATTTTAAGAAATTTGAGTAAGGATATCTAAAATCTTTTATTTTGTTTTGAATATTTGTTACTTTATAGTATTATATTTTTATGATAAATCTTTTATTTTTGTTTATGGATAATATAAAATAAAAAATTGTTTAGAAGTTTAGAAAAAGGTAAAGAAATTAGGTGGGAAGGAGAAAGAGGTTAAACTTTTTTATTTAAATGTCTAATATTGAAAAGGAAAAGTAATAGAATATTTAACATGTAAATGTGATTATTATTTTTTTATATTTTTTAATCAAGTATTTTTTGTCTTTGTATTGTTTTCAAAAAAATATAAAATTAAATATTTTTTAAATTTAAAAAACCTTTCATGATATTTTATTTTATATTTAATCAACTCGTAGTAATTACTTACTCTTCACCCTTTCTCTTATTTCTTTCTTAACATAAAATCTAAACAAAATTTAAAAAAATTTAAACTCACATAAAAATAATTATTTATGTTTAAAAACATAACCATATCAAATGAATAAATACACAATTTATATGAAGATAATAAAAACATATAAGTTTAATTTAATTTTTAATCTTCATAATTTATCTTGTATGTAATTTTAATTTATTTAGTCAACTTAATTTTTTTTATAAAAAATAACAAAAACATAACAAATATATAATATATTCTTCATGTATGTAAACTTTTAAATAAAAAATATATAAAACATAAAAAAATTAGAGTGTACTTTTATATATTTAATTTAATTTTTTAAATGTGTGATGTATATTTTTTTATATAAATTAATAACGAGCTCAACTCCATTGTATTTTTATTAATATATGTAAATACAATTGACTTAATTTGTAAGTTTAAAAAATATATAAAATAAATATAAAGAATTAAAATAAGATAAAAAAAAAGATATCTACAACTTAAAACATGGAAAATAAGTGTAATTAAATTTAACATTTAATCATACATGTATATGTGACATCTCGAGGCTACATTTAAATAAATTAATTACATTACAACAAATATGTAATTGGTGTATGAATCGAAGGACTATCATAATAACACAAGGCTCAATTGCATTTATATGTATAGGATATTGTAATGATGAAAAAAATAATATATTATTATCATCTCACGGATGTCGTATTTGTATTTTTTTCTAACATGTTATTCTGAATACCTTTTTATCAACATTTCTATTCATTTCATAATTTTTTATGATCTAAAAAGTCTATGTTTCATAATACAGAAAAAAAAAAGTGGAGACCTTTAAATTAATCTAATGATTGGAAGAAGCATGCCAAGTGCAGCAAATTTAGCGCCGTTTTCCAACTCAACGAACCTAACGCTCATGTAAAGTAAATTATGATAAACAGTAAAGAAATAATACTCGAGTACAATTAAAACAACATATTTTTCTAAATGTTTTTGTCGTGAAGTGAACCATCCACCAAAATATGCTTGTGTTTAATATGGTTGGGTATAGTCATGTTGAAACATTGAATACTGATCCACTTGACCATCGGAAATACAAACTGAATTCAAATTGATGACCTTTAGATTAAGACCAACCACTCACTAGTTACAACCTCCGAAGTAGTGTCAAATGGTACTCAGCGGAGCTTTCCATCGATTCAACAATGGGAACTTGGGATACTTTAAATGAGTTTATTTTTTCTAAACCATCAAGATTAATATAATGGCCACTATTTATTTGGGTTTGGTTATTTAAGTGTAAAAAATTGGGTTTTTAAATTATTAGATGCATTGTATGGTCAAAATTACCAAATAAGAGGGCTAGAGATGAAAAATACTTCAAATACTTATACATGAAAATATTATACTTTATTGACATAAAAAAAACCAACAACGATGACACAATTTATGCGATTTATGTAAATTTTAATGTTTTATGCTTTTTACCACTTTAAAAGCTCACCTTTTCAATAGTAAAAAAAGAGGACACTCGTTAAAAGAAAAACAAAGAAAGTACTTGCAACCAACCATAAAATCATAACCAAACAAACAATGATAATTATTTTAAACAATTTGAATATTTGTTCAGACATTTTTTTTATGCTACATTATAAAAAGGTTTCGTTAACTAATACTTTTAAGTTATTAAGTAATAAGTCAAAAAATAACATTTTTTTTGTCAAAAATTACAGTCAATATATTTAAAAAATATTAAGATGACTAAATTTTTATGTTTCTTAAACAAATGTTTTATTTTTTAACTAGTGTTAATATTTTTTATTATAAAAATTTAATCAATATTATTTCGTCACTAACAAGTAACAGCGCCACTACGCACTAACGTTTAACTTGAGATAATTTGAGATATGTGATCCGACCTATTGTAAATTTTGCTATCTCATGACAAAGACGAGAGAGAATGTGGAAATATCTGACAAGGAAGAGCAAATAAAAAAGAAGATAAATAAATAGAGACGAAGAAGAAGAGATTGTATATCGAAATGGCCTCGCCTTCCCCTCCCACAGCGCCTTCTCGCTCCGTCTTCCTCGGCGTCGACGTCGGCACCGGCAGCGCTCGTGCAGGTCCTCTTCCGCCATTCACATCTTTTCTTTTCTTTTCGATCTTTCTGTTGCAATTGATTCTAAATTATATTGGTTTTGACTCATTGGATGCTTCACGACGTGCATTTTCAATTGTGCGGTTCTCTTGCGGTTCCTCTGTTTCATCTGATAAACACTGATTCTTTGCTAATGAAATTGCCATTTGGAGCAAGAAACACTTAAACGACGATTCTTTGACTTCGAAAAATTTATCCAACTTGTGATATGGCAAGTTCTAGCTCAATTAATTGACTTAAAACGAGAGAGTTTCATTCAAGAATATGAAATGGATTAGTTCTGTTAATCTATTTTTCCATATTTATCATTCTTATTTTGAGGCTTTGTTAAACTTACGCTGTCTTTATTGTATTGTGCATGCATATGCTAATAAAATTTTTGGTTCTTTTACTGGTGATACCAATACAGGTCTATTTGATGAGAAAGGAAAACTTCTTGGCTCATCTAGCAGCCCAATACAGATATGGAAAGATGGCGACTGTGTTGAGGTAATTTTTTTCCCTGGGTAAGTGGACTTTCAGTAGATTCAAATGATTACCTGAAGCTGGTGTTATACTAATAAATTATAGCCTCTGCAAAAATAGCATGACATATTCACCTAGTACATAGAGCAGGAATTCCATACCATGTTTAGTTGGTTATGAAAATTAAGGGGAAAGTGATAAGATTCGTTTATTATTACTATACATTGGCAAATCAAGCTAGTCTAATATTGGCGATTTGCAAGGAAGGATACAAACAGTCCTAAATTTATGTATCTGGTGCTCTGCGAGGTTATAGCATATACTAAAGTTTCTGGATGGCTAAATGAAACCTAGTATCCCTAAATTCAATTCAATCTGAATCATTTCATAGCTTCATTTTCTATTGGACCAGCAGCTTGTCTATTACGTTGATTTTGAAATTGGGGAAGGATTTTTTTTTTTTTTATTTCCATTTAGTTCCTGTTCAGTTGGATATGTATACTGGTGGTTTTCCTTTTAAATTGTTTATTGTAAATGTACTTTGTAATGTATATTCATCTTTTTTGGTCTATACAGCAATCCTCTACAGATATATGGCTTGCAGTTTGTGCAGCTATAAAAGCAGCTTGCTCTCAAGCTAAAGTTGCATCAACAGAAGTAACGGGACTGGGATTTGCAGCTACTTGTTCTCTTGGTATGTAATATTTTTGAAATTGATGCTTCTTTTCCCTTCATGACATGAAATATTTAATTTTATGTGAAGTAACTGTAACTGATTGCTTTATGAGTTATAACAGTTGCAGTGGATTCTGACGGATCACCTGTTTCGGTTTCTTGGAGTGGTGATTCAAGAAGAAATGTGATTGTATGGATGGATCATAGAGCTGTAGAACAAGCTAACAGGATCAATTCCTGTAACTCACCTGTATTGGAGTACTGTGGTGGAGCTGTTTCACCTGAAATGGAGCCACCAAAGGTACTATCTGAACCAGTCCCATTATTTCATTACAGGTCACTGTACACAGTATACTGTCTAGTGAATTTCATTGTAAGAATCTCATCCTCATATGTCATGTTGTAAAAACTTTTAAGTGCAGGGTAATTTTGGACTTTTTATGCCAATGGATGTATATCTATTGATTGCAGTGACATCTGAAATTGTTAAATAACTCATCTGCAACTGGGAAGGATAGGGCTTTGTCATCTATACTGGATTAAGTTTAGAATATCATGGCTAATCAGAGTAGGTGACCAGCTGGACATAGTTGATAGGAAATTAGGAAATATAGGATCATCAAGTAGTTGATTATTTTTTTTATAATAAAAGGTTTTTTCTCTTTAAACTGTTTGTTTTGTCGATCCTCTTGTTTAATGTATCATTGTATTCATGTTTGAACTTTTGGAGTATAGTGTTTAAATAAACTCATCTATGAAAAAATTATTTTACCTAGGATTTACCTTTAGAAACTACCTAATATCTTAGCTTAAGTTCTGCACAATACAGCTGGTTCATTTAATGTGTGATTATTTCATTTATAATTTTCAGTGTGATTTACTTTTTTATTGTTTCAATTATGGCTTTATCAATTTTTCACTGATACAATCATCAAAACTTTCAGCTTCTATGGGTTAAAGAAAGATTGCCAGAATCTTGGTCAATGGTTTTCAGATGGATGGACTTGAGTGATTGGTTGTCATACAGGTACCCTATGTAGCTTCAGTCTTTTCAATGTCCAAGATAGGTTTGGTGTTTGAGTCTAGTGGCACTTCACTTGGATTAATTTTTAGTAAATTTTAGGGCAACTGGAGATGATACTCGCAGTCTGTGCACCACTGTTTGTAAATGGACATATCTCGGTCATGCACACATGAAGCATTTCAACGATAAAGATTCCCGAGATATGGAAGCTTGTGGGTGGGATGATGACTTCTGGGAGGAAATTGGTTTGGGTGATCTTGTTGAGGGACATCATGCTAAGATAGGTATTCATGTTATCAGCATTGGCCTTGTTAAGAACCAACTATCTCAAAAGATTAAGATATCGTAAAACACACTAAAACATGGATGAGGTGATCCACTTACCCTAGGTTTATGTTTTGGCACTTACTCTGTTCAATAACTTTTTTATATAATATGAATTTAATTATTGAATTTAGTGATGTTATCTTGATAATCATACATGCTAAATTTCAAATTAATTAAATTTCATACGTATGTAATCTTATAGACAAATTTACTTACACAAAATACACAATATGTAGAAATAAAACTGATTGAGGGAGTATTAATTAGTTTTTCAATCGTATAAAACTAGTGTGTTTTCACCCATGCAATGCATAGATAAAAGATTTGTTCTTTTATATAAATTATTTATAATTAAATAATATAAATTTTAATTTATATAATAATAATTTCTTTACTTATGAATTTTTCATGTTTTGTAATATAAATATTTATCTTATAATTTATATGTGATATAAAAATTTATTTTTGTAATTTAAACACGAATATGTTATGTAAAGTTTATATTTCTTCTGATCTGAATATTTGTTCAATGATCTGAATATTAATATATCTGTAGATGAAATTTTTATCATTTTTTAATGCTATTTACAATTATAATTTATAAATTAACATGATTCAACATAAAAAAAATTATTTCATTGGATGTAAATATTTGTCCTTATAGTTTAAATTTTAATATGATTTCATGTAGAAATTACATTTTTGTATAATGCAAGTATTTATTTGCATTTTTACAATGTTTTTAATTAAAATTTAGATATCCAAGTGATGTATATGTTTATATACCAATGGTTTATACTTGTCATATATTAAAATGTTAAAGTCATCCTTTTAATTTATTAACATGTGATCTGTTTGTGAATTTTTATTTTATTTTTACATTTAATTATGACACATAAAATCTAGGGTCTATCTTGTATAATGTTATAGATTTTCTAAACTTTTTCATCTACTGTATAAGAATTTTTAATCTTATAGCTAGATTGATGGAGTTCAATGTTTAGAAAAGGTAGTTAAACAAAATGAGTTAATGAAACTTATTTCCAGAGAAAATGGATCCTACCCTCTGTGTGTAACAATTTTATGTAACTTTCTTTTTGTTGTCACTCAATCTAACAGTTTGATTCTTGACTGTTCTTATTGTTAAAATTCCCATTTTAGTAGATGGCTTGTTCTTGAGCTAAAATGTAAAATGAGTAAAAGCTACATGCTTTTGTATTCCCTATTTGCAATGGTTTTTTTGTCTAAAATTTTACATAAGAAGTGTTAAGATGTTCTATATTGGTTAAAAATAGAAACAAAATACTCCTTATAAGGGTTAGGGCAGTCTTCCTCTTATGAGCTAACTTTTGGAAGTGAGTTAGACTCAAATTTTTTAACATGGTATCAAAGCCTATTCAGTTTGAACGTTGGACTGTTCACAAATGTCTAATCTTATTGGGTCCATCCATGCAAATTTCTAGTCTTGCAAATTTCACGCATCAGATACCCAGTCTTGAGCATGAAGGAGTCTTGGGCATAAAGAGATGTGTTAAGATGTTTCATCTGTAAAGCCCAGATACGTCAAAAATAGCAGAGTACCCGTATCAGACACGTATCCGATACTGATACGTTTCCGATACGCTTAGATACGTATCCAAGAAGTATCAAAAATTAAATTTATTTTTAAAAATTAAATTTAAACTGGATACGGTTGCGATACGGCTCCAAATATTTTGATACGGCTCGGAAACGGCTCCAAATCAGCTTGGCTAAAAAAAATTTTCAGATTGAGTGAATCAACAAAATTGAAACGGGGAGTTTCACTTCGTCTTTCACTTTCCCATTTCTTCTATCATTCGTGAGTTAGGAACAAAACAGAACACGCAAAAATCAAAAATCAGCTAGGGTTCACGGTTCAAAACTCATATATTTCTCCATTTTCATCTTCGTTTTGAGGTTGGATTCTGGGCTTCACGGTTCGACATTTGAAATGGAAAGTACCCAGAAAACAAAGCGAAGAGGATAACCCGCACAACTAGGTTCGACCCATCGTATCCTTTCTTCTTCAACACCTCTGGCGCCACGTAAGCTGGCATTCTGCACGGCGTGAGGAGCATCCCGGATTTCCACTGCTCCGGCAAGGCAAAGAGGACAAAGTTGGAGACCTTGAGTTCCTCATTCTCATCAAGGAGGAGATTTTTGGGCTTCAAGTCAGTGGGTGTGTTCTGAACTTTGTTCCTCTTCTCTCTTCTCATTTCTCTGGACTTCAGCAACAATTTTAACATTTTTTCTCCATTGCTGTAGCGCTTCAAGTCAGTGGGTGTATTCTGAACTTTGTTTCTCCTCTCTCTTCTCTTCTCTGGACTTCAGCAACAATTTTAACGTTCTTTCTCCATTGCTGTGGTGGTAAAATCTCACAAACTTCCTCTTTCATAATTTTATATTTTCTATTCATTTTATAGCAATATTCAATAAAGTAAAAATATTATTCTTGCATTTTTTCACAGCTGTGTTTGATGACAAAAAATGAGTTTTGGTTCTGACTCTAGTTTTAGAATTCCAAATAACTTTGGTTCATTAGAATTTCAAGATGATCATGCTCCACTTTGGGCATTTGTCACTATAAAAGATAAGCTAGGAGATGGAGGAGGCAACAAGTTATGGAGTTGTAATTTTTGTGCTAAAGTGGTCAAAAGTTCATACTCAAGAGTGAAAGCACATTTACTTAGAATATCGGGTGCTGGTGTTGCTCTTTGTCCTAAGGTCACTCCTGAGTATTTGGCTGATTTGAAGAGAATTTGTGAAGAAGCTGAGAATAAAATTAAGCCCAAAACTATCCCACTACCTTCAGCAGCTCCAGCAACCTTATCCCAGAAAAGAAAAAAAATAGGAAGTGGTACACTAGAAAGGGCTTTCAATGTGGATGAAAGAAATCAACTTAGAGCAGAGATAGCAAGAATGTTTTATTCAGCTGGCTTATCATTTCATCTTGCTAGAAATCCTTACTATGTTAGCTCTTATTCATTTGCTGCAAACCATAACCTTAGTGGTTTCCTTCCTCCTAGTTATAATGCTTTAAGAATAAGTCTTTTACAACAAGAGAGATCTCATATTGAAAGATTGCTCCAACCTATAAAATCTTTATAGCTTATAAAAGGAGTTACATTGGTTTCTGATGGATGGACAGATGTTCAAAGAAGGCCATTGATAAATTTCATGGCTGTAAGTGAAGGAGGACCAATATTTTTAAAGGCTGTTGATGGTTCTAAGGAGTACAAGGACAAACACTATATGGCCAACATAATAAAGGATGTAATTAATGAAGTAGGGCAAAAAAATGTTGTTCAAATCATAACGGATAATGCTCCTGTTTGTAAGGCAGCCGGGATGTTAATTGAAGCTGAGTTTCATCATGTATTTTGGATTCCTTGTGTTGTTCATACTTTGAATTTAGCATTGAAAAACATATGTGCAGCTAGAAATATTGATGGAAATGAAAATGTTTTCAATGAGTGTCATTGGATCACTCTCCTAGTTGATGATGCATCTTTTATCAAGACTTTCATAATGACTCACTCTATGAGATTGGCTATTTTTAATGAGTTTTCATCTCTTAAATTGCTTTCTGTTGCTGAAACCCGTTTTGCATCAATGGTTGTCATGCTAAAAAGATTGAAGTTGTTGAAACGTGCTTTGCAAAATATGGTCATTAGTGACCAATGGAATAGTTATAGAGAAGATGATGTTGGTAAAGCTGCCCATGTGAAAGAACTTATTTTAAATAATATATGGTGGGATAAATTAGACTATATTCTTTCCTTCACAGATCCTATATATAGCATGCTTAGAAAATGTGACACAGATGCTTCTACTCTTCATTTGGTCTATGAAATGTGGGATTCCATGATTAAAAAAGTGAAGACAGTCATATATAGGCATGAGGAAAAGGAAACAAATGAAGTTTCCAATTTTTATGATGTAGTTCATAGTATACTGAATTTTAGGTGGAGTAAGAGTTGTACTCCACTTCATTGTTTGGCCCATTCATTGAACCCAAGGTAAATTTCAAGTTAGTTACTGTCTCTTGAAAAATAAAAATCATACTATAACAAATTTTTTAATCATATGTAGGTATTATAGTGAAGAATGGCTTAAGGAAGCTCCTAATAGAGTTCCTCCACATCAAGATGATGAAGTTTTGAGAGAAAGGAACAAATGTTTGAAGAGATATTTTTCTAATGCTGAAGAAAGAAAAAATGTTTTTGTTGAATTCTCAAATTTCTCATCTTGTGCAGCTGACTTTGCTTCTTTTGATTCGATTGAAGATAGGTGGACATTGGACCCAAAATCTTGGTGGGTAATGCATGGATCTTCTACCCCTTTACTTCAAAAGCTTGCCTTAAAGCTTCTTGTACAACCTTGTTCCTCATCTTGCTGTGAGAGGAATTGGAGTACGTACTCATTCATTCATTCTATGAAGAGAAACAAAATGGATCCAAAAAGGGCTGAGGATTTGGTTTATGTGCATTCCAACCTTCGTCTTTTGTCTAGGAAAGAAGAAAAGTATACTAAAGGAGAGACAATGATGTGGGATATTAGTGGAGATGTACACGATCCACTTGATAATGGTGCTGGATTTCTTGAATTGGCTGAATTATCTCTTGATGAACCAGACTTAGAAGTTATGTTTTTTGTAGATGATGGAGATGGAAAAAATGAGTGTGACAATGTTAGAATTAAATAGTATAAAGGCAGGACATTTTTTTTTGTGATAGTTCTATATTTCTTTTGGATAGAACTACCATTTCTTTTGTGGAATTCTAACTTGAATAGGGGTAAAGTATGTAATTTTTTGATGTGTTCATAGACAAGGAAAGATATGATCGCATGTATTTTTTTGTAAAATGTGATCTTTGATATGTAAATGTAACACATTAATATAAATTAATTATCAATATTTCTTTATAAATATTATTTCATTAAATTCATGTTAAAGTATCTAAGCCGTATCGTATCTTGAAATTTAAATTTTTTCTGTATCCCCGTATCGGTATCGTATCGTATCAGTGTCGTATCAAGGATCCGGGCTTCATAGTGTCTCATATTGGTTAGGAATAGAATTAGATTACTCCTTGTAAGGGTTAGGCTAGTTCTCTTTCTATGAGCTAGTTTTTGGGAGTAGGTTAGACTCAAGTTTCTTAATAGGAAGTTTGTGCACAAATAATGACCTCTTTGACTAGGATTGGATCAAATTTTTATTTGTCTAACAATTTTTAAATTTCAAAAAATAATCTGGTGGAATATTTTGGTGCTACTGCAAACTTTATCTGTTCACCTTAGCTTTAATATTGAACCCAATTATCTCATGTGAAGAACTAATGGGTCAATATGATTAGGTTCGAACATTGTTAATAATATATTTATTGAAGAATTATTGTGTTTTCTCATGTTTGATCAGTTGATCTGATGAAAACTGGGGATAAGCTTTGAGTAAGCTTATGTATTATCTATGTTGGTGCCATTCATTGCTATTTCTGTCTTCCCACAACTTAACTTGATACTGAGTCATTATAACAGGACGAAGTGTTGCTTTCCCTGGCCATCCTTTGGGTTCTGGCCTTACTCCTACTGCAGCCAAGGCAAGAAATTTTGAATTGAAGATTATGCATAATTTTGAAGTTTGAACTGGTGCCTCCTTGAGGTTCATTAACAAAGCAAACATGTGTTACTTAGTTGGAAGAATCAGCACAACCTACCTCCATCTATGGAGATAGGTTCAGTTTGATGCAACAAACTTCTTTGATTGGCTGGTGCCTGGTTTTTTGAAATTTTCAGGAATTGGGTCTGGTACCAGGAATTCCTGTTGGGACATCACTAATTGATGCTCATGCTGGTGGTGTGGGAGTAATTGAAAGCGTGCCACCATCAGAAGCTGAAGGTTGACCTGACATACTTTACACTAGTGATTGTAAGCTTTGGATAAAGCTGTAGTTTTTCTTAACTAAAAGAACATGTGTATCTTCAGAACATGACAAGGAAGCAATTTGCAGCCGAATGGTGTTAGTGTGTGGAACTTCTACATGCCATATGGCTGTATCCCAGAGCAAATTGTTCATTCCTGGGGTTTGGGGGCCATTTTGGTCAGGTACTCTATACTATTTTCTCAATTCTGGACAATATTGTATGTACCTTTTTCTAAAGAGACATTTGAAATAGTCATTGTCCATTTTTATCTATTGGGATAATTACCATTGCAATTCATGTAGTTTAAATGTTGCTTTTAACTTTTTACAAAGATGGTTGAAAGTTAGTGTTTCAAATGAGAAGAGAATTTTCCTTTTTTGATAATAATTGTAAGTTGCTTGGTTGTGATTAAAAATTCATGAATAAATTTTGCTTTGGTTGGAACCTGGATCTGACAGGTATTCATTTGGGTTGAATTTTATCTCATTTTCTTATACTTTTGTGATCGTATTCTTTTTTGCACGTCTTTTTTAAAATATCTGTGTGGCTAGTTATGATTACTTCCTTTTGTGGAACATTGATATTTGCATAAAAGATAAGTGGTAACTGAAGTTTTTCTTCACATTTTGACAGGATCGCCTGAAGGATAACTTGTTTAATTTTCATCATATTCTATTTTATTTATGGTTAATTAAAGCACTCATCATTTCTTCTCTTGCATCTGCTATGTTGTGATGCATTTTTTCTTTATCCAAACTTTCAGCAATGGTACCAGAATATTGGCTGACTGAAGGTGGACAGAGTGCTACTGGTGCGTTATTGGATCATATAATTGAAAACCATGCTGCTTCTCCACGCCTTGCAAATCGAGCTGCTTCCCAAAGTAAGGTTTTTTCTTGATTTGTAATATTATACTAAATATTTATATTAACAATTCTGATTTTGACAAATGTCCTAACCAGACTAATTTTCTATGCTGTAATATTTCAGAGATTTCAGTTTTTGAGCTTTTGAATAAGATGTTGGAAACAATGATGATTGAGCAGAACCAATCCTTTGTTGCTGCCTTGACTGATGATGTACATGTTCTTCCTGACTTCCATGGGAATAGGTATTTGGTGATCAACAGCAGCTTTCCTCCCTGCCATATACATATTGACTTCCAAATAATAGGCTGTTGTATGTTATGTCCCAGATCTCCCATTGCAGACCCAAAAGCAAAAGGAGTTATCTATGGTTTGACACTTGACACAAGTGACAAACAGTTGGCTCTTCTATACCTGGCAACTGTGCAGGGTATTGCATATGGCACACGCCACATTGTTGAGCACTGCAATGCTCATGGTCACAAAGTAAGGATGCACAATGCTATAACATGCTTGAGATTATTACTAGTTCTTTGGGTTGGCCAATTTTTAATTTCAATTTTACAGTTACACCCACTTCCATTAAGATGTTTAACAAGAAATAAATGACAATATATTATGATTCCACTGTATTTTTTGAGCCACTTGTTATTACTCTTTTGTGAAATTTTTAACTATAGGGGCACATAATAGGTCTTGGACACTCCACATGTGCTTATTGAGTGCACTCATGTCCAACACCATTGTTCCAGAACTGTCACAGTAGACAGTGTATATTGTTTGTTGGGGAATTAGGATTTTTGTTTTGTGGGGTTGGCGATTTGGGTAATCAAGTCATGAGATGCTCTATTGTTAAGTTGATAATATTCAAGATTTTCCAAAAGTATGTTGCACACTGGTTACATTGACACTTTAAAGATAAATAAATTCATATTCTACTAGCTATTGGGGGTTTAATATTGTATTATTATACCTTTAGTTTCAAAGAATGACTTGATTGAAATTCTTAAGCTTTTAAGCAAGAGTCTAAGAGTTGTTAAGAATTGATTCTAACTTTTGCTTAGAAAACATATTCTGGAAAGTGAAAGAGAAATCCTCAGCACAACAATTTATTTAGCATAATGCTCTGATTGAGGTGGAGGGCGAGGCTAGGAAGTTAATATACGGTGCTCAATTTTGTATATGCCATTTGATTGGAACCCAACAATAAAGAGTGAAAACCAAAGCATATTCTGCTGTACTTTTTTATGCTTCAAAAGATAAGGGCATTACAGAAGAAGAAAGAACAGAAAGGTAGAAAGATACCTACTGCTTAGTGCTAACACTTTCCAGGGCAAAGGTCCTAAAGAAAACACACCTCAACTTACTGATGAGAACTAGATGATAATCATTCACGCACTCTATCCTCTATCTAACCCCCACTAAATTATTACTCTCATTCCACTATGCCTGCTGATGCTAATCAGTGACTAACTCCCACTGGCCTGCCCCCTCAACCACTTTCTTGGGCCTTCTTGTGTATACCTTCCAAACCTTTGCCCCGTGGGCTGTGAGACAATTGGTCTACTATCCATTGTCTAAGGACCGTCTTTCATATTCTGCTTATTAACATCATTATAGTTGTTGTATCCTTAGAAGTAACTAAAAGTTATTTATATAATTGTTGTATAGCTCTGTTATGTTTCCAAGTCATCACTCTTGTTTGTTGATGCAGAGTTGATTGCTTTTATTAATGGTTCTTCCCTTGCTTGCAGATAAACACACTACTTGCATGTGGTGGCCTTTCAAAGAACCCCATCTTCATTCAGGAACATGCTGATATTATTGGTATGTGTACTGTTGAGTTTAGGGGGAGCATTTATGCATTAACACAGATACTCACATCTTCTTATTACATATTCTATATGGACCTTCTGTTATGTAAAGGATGACATGAAGTAAAATATTAACAAAATTATGCTAGTAATTAGGGTTGTTCACATGGTCACGCTCCAGGCTAGTTTGCTTTGATGATCAACCTAGAAACAAATAATATTTCACTCTTCATGTACTTCACCAACCAATCCACAGTTTAAGGTTTGGTTTGTTTCCAAACGTGCATTGTTTGTTTTCAAGTCATAGAAACCAAATGGTAAAAATAAAAATTATAATATCAGCAATATATAATTCAGTTTCAAATTCTTATCTTATTCACTGATAACTAAACTACAATAACAAAAGAAATGCAATAATCCAGCAATAGAAAAACATGATAATGAGTCAAGAGCTCCAATCATATGTGTAATATATGTTATCTAGTGTTTATATATAATTTTCTGAGTTATATATATTTATGTGTGTGTGTGTGTGTGTCTAAATGGTACGCTTAAAACATAGAACCTTGTATTTTCATTTTAGGGCATCCAAATCAAACGAAATTGTGTAGTCAAGAGTCTGAAAGAATCCAAACTTTGGCTGGTCTTCCCAACTCATAATTTTGAACACCCCCTCCTAGTATCTCAAAATTCATTCGTAACACAAGTGTTTGGGATCATAAGGTCCCCTGCAAAATCTAGGTTGCAATTATTCCATGATCTGGATTCTATCTTCTTTTTACATATGTTTTTATTTGTTGTTAAAAAATGACTGACGTTCCTGTGCATCCAAATGATATGGAATGATGTGGACAATCATAGAAGCTTTATTTGATATTTAGATTTTTAAAGAATGATGAATATTGTTTATAATTTTCCCAGGTTGCCCAATAATTCTTCCAAGGGAAAGTGAATCTGTGCTCTTGGGTGCTGCTATTCTGGGTGCTGTTGCTTCAAGGAAATATCATAGCCTTAGAGAGGCCGTGAAAGCCCTGAATGCTACTGGCCAGGTATGGATGCTTTTCTTTCTATCTTGAAATGAAAAATGAAGCACAGAGTAATTTTTTATTTCATATTAGAAATCAAGAATAATCTCATTAAATTATATGTATTGGTAGTACTTTCCATAATTCTTAATGTTGTCATCAACTTTTGCGTAATTTGATACTAAAGTTGGGAGTATGAGGAATTGAAATTTGTAGAATTGTAGTCAAATTAGAATAAAAGACATAGTATTAGTTCAAATTTATAAGATATCTCCGTGATATAAAAAAATATTTAAGAAATAACCTATTATCACAGACTTTGCATGCACTATATCTCTAGGTCAGTTCCTTGCGATTACCAATTTTGTATTTTTCAGTGAAGATTATCTATGAAATATAGATTGGATGTGATACTTCCTAGTTACTAGTTAGAAAAATAGATAAATAGGATTTGTTATACCCTGTATAATTGCAATGACCCGAAGCAGTGGGAGGCTGTATTAACTATATATTATTTGCATCTTATCATCCGTACTAAGATGCACAGATGTGTCTTGAGCTATTAAATTTTAATTGCATGTGGTAAATCATCAGATTTTCCATTATCTTGCCATGTCCCTACAGCTGAGGTGTTTCTGTTAATGAAAGAAAACGGTGGTACTAGTTTTCCCTGAACGGGTAATGAAGTACATGAATTTTGTCAGGTCATTCATCCGTCTGACGATCCAAAGGTCAAAAAGTATCATGATACTAAATACAAGATCTTCCGTAGCCTTTATGAACAGCAGCTCTCTTATCGTTCCATGATGGCCCAAGCCTTGGCATAACTTTGCAGTATGTTTGGATTCAAATTATCAATTGCAATAAGATGCTTTTTGCTAAACCTCTATATGCATGTGCGGCCTTGAGGACGAGAGATGTTGGAATGAAGAAGGAAATTATGGCCAGCATATTACCAGTTTGATGAATATATGTTTTCAAGGTTATGTTTTTTGGTGGTGAGTTCGACATTGAAAAATTCATTTATGTTGGGGAAAATAATCATCAATACCGAGGTGAAAAATTATTTTAGAAGTTTTATGTACAGGCTCACTGGCACCTTATTTTTTACAACGCCTCATGTCAGAATCAAATTGGCAGCTGATAGCACACTGTAAAAAATTAGATCACATTATTATTCTAAGAAATGTACTTTTTCAGATTTGAACTTCTTGGAACCTCCTCCACTCTTTTTTTTTGGCATTCTGCGATTCTAGCTTTTTTTTGGTTACTGGAAAACGGAGTGGGAATTGGGTTAGAAATTTTTTTTAACACAGGGTTCGAACTCTGGCCCCACAGCTTAAGAAGTCACGGATTTGGGCTTGAATATTACGTAATCGTAGTGGAATGAAGTCAATTTTATTGGCAAAAAAAGAAACATTATAAAAGTTGATTTAGGAATTTATCATTTTGTTTTACGTCATCAATTTATCATTATAAGAGTTCATTTTTCTCCGTTCATTATTTTGTTCTAATTTTAAGTTTTACAATTCTCTTTGTTAGTGTTGTAGCTCATACTTATTTTCGTTTCTTACTTCCTTTATTACAAGTGTATGGCATACGTTGATCGATCATGTACAAACCTGAAATATTAATTTGTAAGAGTTTCTTTAAAAGGGGATTTCTATCGTCTATTTGTTGATATATAGTGTAACATATATGAGTTGTTAAATATTTTAAAATTCTCAAATTGTAAGCATGTAACTAATGCATTTTTTTCCTATAATTTCTAATGCATTCACTATAATTTTTAATAGAAATTTAATCATTAATCTATTAACTGATGTTCTTAAAATATAAAACTTTTTTTAGTTGCTTTTATAAGTTATAGGGTTATATGTGGATAGATTTATATGACTCCCTAAATAAGCAACTACTGATGGAACAATGATAAAATTGGCTTTATTAACTCTCGACAGGGATAAAAAAAATACTATAAATATCATATATATATATATATATATATATAATATCAAACAATATTTTAATTGTATCTTAGAATATTTTAAAATACCTTGAATTATTTTCTTAGATTAATTTGTTTAATTTCTTTTTTTTTCTAAACATTAGGGCTAACAAGCCTCCCCCCCCCCCCCCCAAAAAAAAAAAAAACAACAGAACTAACTCAAATTATATCTTAATTTCTTTATATATATATATATATATATATATATATATATATAATGTCTGATTAATATCTTATAAAATAAGATCAATCAATAATAATAATATAGAGTATTCTCAAATATTTTATCTTATCTTTTGTCTCAATTTTAACAAAAGATATAACACTTAATATTATCATTACACTTTTATTATAATTTCAATATTTTTATTTATTAAATATTTAATCATTAATTTTCAGGACAATGGTAAATACTATACAGTACAGTAACTACTTCTGGATTTATTAATTAATGGAAAAACAAAATCAATGCTAATATTTACTCAATACAATTTGTGGGTGTGGAGGGAATGGTTGAAAAAAAAAAAAAGATTGAAGGTGTGGTGGTCACATGCAGAAGGAGAGCGTAAGTCGAAAGGGCATATGCGAGGGAGATAAATAATATGCCAAGAAATACCGTTACGAGAGAGTGCCACGTGGGACTCTACATGGCAAACAGGCATCGCATCTTGGAAACCATCCATCCATCAACCACAGCCCCCACTCTCTTCCTTACGCCTGTGCCTATGGCGCTCCTTCTCCTTCTTCTTCTTCGTCACCATCATCTTCTTCTTCTCCCTTTTCAATTCTACAATCCTCTTTGAAACCCTCTCTTCATCCTCCTCTTCCTCTCTTCCTTTCCTCCCCTAAGCTCACGTGTCAGTACAGCACTCACGCGCTTCCACAATCTCAATACAACAGAAACCGCACCTTATAGTATGTGTGAGAGAACCAACAACGCCGCTCAAACCCATCAATTTTTTTCAATTGGGTTATGTTTACACTCCGAAATTTCGAATTTTTCCGTCTGGGTATCGCCCTTTTCGTCGTGACAGGTATCGCTAATAGCTCCTTTCTCTCTAAGTTTGGATCTGCAGTCGGGGCCTTCGATTCTTTTGTTTCTATTTATGTAATCGGCGCGTGGTTGTTCTCAGAAATGTGATTGGCCTTTTATTTTTCAATTATTTTTTCTTTATCTTGAACGTAATTCGAAATCATAAACTCACCTATTGAGTGTAGCAGCAACGGGGCAACGCTGTATGGTTCTTGTCGGGAGTTGTTTGTTGTTTGTTGTGATGATGTGAGTGGTGCTCATGTGTAATAAAGGGTTTCAATGCTTGAGCGAGTGTGAGAGTGTAATTGATCATCGACAACACTTCTTCATGGATAGTCCCATTCGATCGCCGGCTACCGGTTCCGGTTCCGGTTCCGGTTCGGCACCTGGTTCCAATGATGATAGCCGGCGTGTTAAGTTCTTGTGTAGCTTTCTGGGGAGCATAATGCCCCGTCCCCAAGATGGGAAGCTGCGTTATGTTGGCGGTGAGACGCGAATTGTGAGTGTTCTGAGAGATATCAGCTATGAGGAGTTGATGGTTAAGATGAGAGAGCTGTATGAAGGGGCAGCTGTGTTGAAGTACCAGCAGCCTGATGAGGATCTTGATGCTCTTGTCTCTGTTGTCAATGATGATGATGTGGTTAACATGATGGAAGAGTATGACAAGTTGGGGTCAGGGGATGGATTCACCCGGCTCAGGATTTTTTTGTTTTCGCAATCTGAGCAGGATGGTTCATCACATTTCATTGATGGGGATGATTCTGAAAGGAGGTATGTTGATGCTTTGAATAGTTTAAATGATGTTTCTGACTTTAGGAGATTGCAACAAGCTGAGTTTCCTATGATTAGCCCTGTTGAGGAGATTCATATGGCTGATCAGTACTTTAATCCAATTAGTGTGGAAAGTGGGGTTCATAGCCAGAGAAGTGGGGACCTATCTATGTCACAGTACAATATGCATCATCTCACGATCCAGCACCCGCAAAGTATAGGCCAGAGGTATAATGAAATGGATGCTCCTTGGAATCCTTCCTATTACTCTCCTAGGCATCATGGTCTTCATGACTCCAGATCGTTGGTTGAATTTCCATCTTCTCCTTCTGGCACAAGGTTTCGTATGCAGTTTCCTGAGATACTGGATAAGTCCATTGATAGAGTGCCCGAAGAGTTTGCTCGACACCACGTAAATCATCATCCAGTGTACGACAATCAACCACAATATTCTGAAAATGTTGTGTGGGTGCCAACTGGGGCACCACATGGTGAAAAATCAGGTTTTCCAGCTAATCTTCTTCATGGCCACCATGTTCTTGATGGGAACAGTATTTGTGAGCAGTGTCGCATGGGTTTTCATAGAGGTCAACCACATCTGGAGCATTCTAATATTAGTAATGGACTTCCACCGATTACTAATCCATGTGCAGAATGCCCGACAAGCAAGGATTCTTTCCCGGTGAATGCTGATGCAAAGTTACATCCTGTGATCTATCCCAATGAGCCTAGCAATGATCATAGGTCTGTTTATACTGATACTCAGAATCATGAGAGAGGATGGGGTTTGAGGCATCAGACAACTACTCGGGTTGAGGAATCAAGAGGACATGTCTCTGGATCTGGAAGAGTGGGTGATGTTCCTGTTGTAAATTTTTCTCTTGGACATGGTAGTGTGACTGATGGACATACCTTGTCTTCCAATTATGTGTATCAACGACCCAGACCTGAATCGGGAGCTGAACTATTCCCTGACCAAACCGTGACAGCTATACCACATCTAAATATGCCTCCTCTGGAAGAGCACGCTGCAAGGTATGGAAATCCACCTCCTCCTTATGTTGTGGATAATAATTATGCAGTACCTCGTGGACATCCACCTGGGCATGGTTTCTGGAGCAACACTCCTGCTCCTGTTCATATTGGACCATCTTATGAGACAATTACTCCACATCAGCAGGTGAATGGTATGATAAATGCTGCATTAATCAGGGGAGAAGGAAGTCCAGGATTTTTCATTGGACCAGATAATCAGAATCATTGGGTTGATTCATCGCAGAACTTGTCAGGACATGACGGGTCAGCCACCCCAGAAAATTTGTATGCACATGGTCTGAAGTTGAATCCCAAGCCCCTTGGTGAAGAAAATCAACTCCCAATTACTGTAGATACCATTCATCCCCCACAGGACATGAATGCAGGTACCTGCATGGAACCTGTGCAGCTGCCAAAACCATCTTTTAATATGGTTCACAATAAAGAGGTTGCAAGAAGTGATACTCAATTGACTGAAGCAATGAATTTTCAATCTAAAAGTTTGCTTGGAGGAGGAATAGAAGCAAAAAATGAGGACAAGGTTGAAAACTCTGATGCACCACAGACTATATCTTTTTCGGAGAAAAATAAAATTGCTGAGAATTCACGCGAAGCTGCTGCTCCTATTGAGTCTAATAATTCAAATTCAAAGCCTGAAGCAGAACGTGGACATGTTGAGAAACTGGCTGATAAGGACCATTCTGCTCCAGAAGATTCAAAGCAATTAGTTGATCAATTCAGCTTCTTGCCTGAGTTGATTGCTACAGTAAAAAAGGCTGCATTAGAAGGTGCTGCAGAGATGAACACCGCAGCTGATGAGCGTGCCAATTCTCAGATGCACGATTCAAATACCAAAGAAGAAACAAAAAATGATGTAGAACCAGCGGTGAGGATGAATTGATTTTGTTTTCTTTTATTGACAGAGTAGTGGTTGTGCTATGTTGGCTCATATTGTGGTATGTGTTTATTTTTCTTGTAGAATGCTCATGGTGATATAGATTTGGACTCTGAAAATGATCACGTAGATACTTCTAAAATTGAGCCTACAAAGGCTGAGGAAGAAGCAATTGCAAGGGGACTGCAGGTTTTCTTTCCATCTTACTTAAATCCATTATGCTCTCATTGTTTTTATTTTTCCGTTTCAAGATCTTTTCTTTTTCTATTGCCTAGAGTTTGATAGTAGCCTAATCATTTTTCAGACTATTAAAAATGATGATTTGGAGGAGATCCGTGAGCTTGGTTCTGGAACTTATGGAGCAGTTTATCATGGGAAATGGAAAGGTTCTGATGTTGCCATTAAGAGAATAAAAGCCAGTTGTTTTGCTGGAAGGCCATCTGAAAGAGCAAGATTGGTATTATTTGTGTCTGATAGTTTTTCTTTTTGTTTAACTTACCTAGGATTTATACTTGTAGAATAAAAAAATTATAATCTTCTATGCATTATTTGATGAGCTCATGAAAGGCTTAAATATTGACTGTGCAAGAAATATTTAAGCTATGCTTTATTACTTTTGGGATTGAAGTGAGAAATCAGATTGAGGTGCTATTTTATTTGACAGCAATCTTAATTTCCCACATTATAAGGATATTTAGAATGTAGGTATGATACAGCAACTCAGCAAGTAAAAATGCGTACATGTAATTTAGCATATATTGAAACATTTGTTAGTGCCCCAACTCTATTGTGATTTCATTCTGGTTGTTGCCCCAGATTGCAGATTTCTGGAAGGAGGCATTGTTGTTGAGTTCATTGCATCATCCAAATGTTGTCTCATTTTATGGTATTGTTCGTGATGGCCCTGATGGTTCTTTGGCAACAGTCACAGAATTTATGGTTAATGGATCTTTGAAACAGTTCTTGCATAAGAAAGATAGGTAATTTGATGTATGCACGAGTTTGTATTTTATCAATATTTAATATGTTTTAAGGCACTGGAATGTGTGCCCTCCCACCTGTAAATTCTTATGGACTGGTATGTATTTATGCTTCTTATTCTGAGCAATTTAACAGAACAATAGATCGTCGAAAGAGGCTCATTATAGCCATGGATGCTGCATTTGGGATGGAGTATTTGCATGGGAAAAACATTGTGCATTTTGATTTGAAATGTGAGAATCTATTGGTCAATATGAGAGATCCACAGCGGCCTGTCTGCAAGGTATCCATAAGGGTACACACACACACACACACACACAAAAGCAACCTGCTAGCAGAGATTGAGCAATGTTTGTGTAATTTTTCAGATTGGTGATTTGGGTTTGTCAAAGGTTAAGCAGCACACACTAGTGTCTGGAGGGGTACGGGGAACTTTGCCATGGATGGCACCTGAACTTCTTAGTGGGAAAAGTAATATGGTGTCAGAGAAGGTATTATTGGCACAGCTGTTTGACTTTACATAGCTAATACCCCTTTTGTTGTTTCTGATGACCTTTCTTTGCCTATGTACTTACTTCTGTAGATTGATGTTTATTCATTCGGGATAGTCATGTGGGAAGTACTCACAGGGAATGAACCCTATGCTGACATGCATTGTGCTTCAATAATAGGTAAGAATTAATTAACCAACAAAATGCCCCGAGCATTTTGTATTGCTACATATTTTACTCATCCATTTATGTTCCATATTTATTTCGTCTGTCTATCTTTTTGTTAAAGATGTGCTTCAAAGAGTATTGGAATGTTCTTCTATTATAGTTTGCTCAGGAAGTCACCGACTGATTTCTTTTCAATTTGAGTTTTATACTGTATTCAGGGAGTAATTTGTTAACTGTAGGAGTGAACGTGGTTATAATTTATTCTAGTGAGATGACACTGGCACGAATTGTTACAATTCTGTCTTTGGCAGTCCTGCTTAATCATTAACTTGTAATTCTTGTTCTCTTTTTTCACTCTTCCTCACTTTCTTTTATAAAGTTTCTATGAATTGTCTTCTGTGTCTGTCTGTCTCTGTATCGAGTTTATAATCATGTATTTTGGCCTACCTCAAGTAATTTGTAAGCATCCAACCCTATATGCTACTGTAAAATATTGTGAATTCTAAAGTCTAGTGAGTTGTGAATTCCAAAACAGCACATCTTATTCCACTACACAGCAGCTACAGTGAGGTTTCTCAAAATTTGTTGTGTCAATTACCTATTGCACACTTAGCTGGGGGCTTCAGTATTACAGGATTAAATGGTCTGTTATGAGCTGTTGTTAACCCTCATTGATGTGTAGAATTTGGGGTTGGAGAAGTTCCAGTAATAAAATTAAGAAAAGAAAACCCAGTAATATAGGATTTGGTATAAGTTGAAGTTAGGTACCATTGATTATGTTTCGGTCAGTTTCTGATTATATTTTTGACCTCTAATGCTTACTTGAACTATACCTGGACTACAGTCATGTTATTCCTATTGTTGGTAAGGAACTGAATTTTTTAGAACTGGGATGGGAACATGTGTATAACTTGTACCAGAGTATGGGTAGACAGGATAATGAATCAAAACTGGCCTGTTTTGATGAACAAGAATATGGAGTTTCTTAATCTTTGCACAATCTAGTTCTAAATGCGCTCCGAGTATTCTGGTGTTCAGAAAAACAGGCTATATGTATCAATTATCACTATTGTTTTACTTTGTTTTGCAGGAGGAATTGTGAACAACACTTTACGTCCTCAAATCCCAACATGGTGTGATCCTGAGTGGAAGTCTCTAATGGAAAGTTGTTGGGCTTCTGATCCTGCAGAAAGGCCATCGTTCTCAGAAATTTCCAAGAAGCTGAGGACTATGGCTGCTTCAATGAATGTGAAATAGTCAATTGATCTTGAAACAATTAATTGACCTTCTTACATTGTATGTAGCCTAGAATTGGTAGCAAAAGGGAAATAAGGTGAAGCATGGTTCTTCCGGTTCAAGGCACCAACAAGCTTAGCTTTAAGAAGGGAAAAAAAAATATATTTAAAGGAGTATTCAAGCTTATCCAAGCTTGTATTGTAATATCATGCCTTGGTTTAATCTAAAAAAACTCTTGTAATGTGGCCTTTAACGGTATTTTCCTTAGTGCAGTTACTTGCACTATAGCATGGATTTTCTCCCGGAAGCAGCATGGTGCTCTGAAGAAAGCTACATGTGTTATATCAGTATGTCACAGTGTGAGTGCTTTTGTTAATATTTAGCTGCAAATACTGGCTATAAAAATATATTGTTTTGGCAATGAGTGTAATTTTATTCGTCCTCTACGGGGTTTTTGCAGTTTTGCACGTGATCATGGTGATGGTATGTAGCAATAGTTGTGTGGTTTTACCATCAACTGAGGAGAAAACCATTCCTTCTGGAGAGAGGTGTACATAAATTAACCAACCACATGTCTCCTATGCTTTCATATGGAGAGGATAATGACGAATTGTGCTTCCCGTTTGCAGATGAAACAAATTCAATTTGTCATCAATATTTTTATTTGAATTGCTTTATTTTATTGACAAGTATATTCTTAATGACATGAATCTGCATGCTTAAAGATTTGTTTAAGCTCTTGAAGCTGCTGTATAAATAAAGGTGATTTTATTATATATATATATATACACAACTGTAGGCGTTGTTCTGTTTAATGGAGATAAATATTGCTGGTTAATATGGTGTATTCATCATGTTTCTTGGAAGACCGTATTGGTTTGCTGAAATATACTCGAGAATTCGAAGAATAAATTAGCAAATTTAGGACACGGGAATAAAACAAATATTGGAAAGGGTAGTTATAGCCAGAATACCATGACTTGTAATGGCAAAGCAATACACATTAGTTTATTTTAAATAATTATCACATATTTTAGTATTTTGTTATTGTGAGGTTTTAATTGTTTAATTTTCATTAATCAAATTAAAGAACGTCAATGAGAATATATATATATAATTAAGTATTTTTTTTATTTTTTAAATTAAAAATATTATTAATGTTCTTAATTTTTATTTTAATGTTTTATTTTTTTGTGGGTGAGTTCTCGATGTTAATAATGCTCTTAAAAGTATCAGTTTAGGCGTTTAAATCTTTATTCAATTTTAAAAACGTTATAACATTGATAACTTAAAAAAATTAAGTTGTACAATTTTTTTTAAAAAAAAGTTAAAGTAAAATTTAAATTAATTTTAAAGGATGAAGAGTTATAATTTTTTCAAATAAAAAAGTAAATATTTTAGAATAAAATGATTTTTTTAAGAATGAGTTATCATTCATAATAGACAGCAGATGTTACCTTGTTAAATAGTGCTACTTATGTTCTATTTATAAAAAATAGATATATAATTTATCAATATTAATAAAAAATAATTATATGTTATAAATTTATAATCAATTTAAAAAATATTCATAATATTAATTGGTGTTTTATATATTAAATGAATGAATATGGACACTTATATAATTAAAAGATTAAATATCTAGTTAACACATATTTTACAATAAATAAAAGTATAAAAATTAAAAATTAATTCATTTAAAAATGAGTATTTATTTTTACAATTAAAATAACAAAAATTGACAATTGATAATTTTTTTTATATAAATATGACCGAAAGTGGTGGGATAATAAAAAAAAAAATTGAAGAATTTGGAGTCGTATTCAAGAAAAAATTTGAACTCGTGGGCATGTCTATGTTCATAACTCCCCAGTATGAAAAAATCGTTGTGTATATGATTTTGGCTAGACAAATTAATATCACATATCAAAGCTTCCTTATATGACAAAATCGCAAATTAAACATTTCGTTGACTACATTAAGTTTCATGTGCCTATATCTGAGATTAATCAAAAGTAAATAAAATTAGTTTCGATTAGGGGAGTTTAATGTTTTTCCAATGATTATATAATAAAATTTTAAGTAAGATGCTGTAGCATCACCAACTCTCAATGTGAAGAAAATCCACAAAGTCAATTTCTGTGACACAATCAACATCTACTCCCTTGGCCCTCTATTAGTACTGCTATTTCGTACCTAAAACACGGGGTAGACTTTTCTATTAAAGTCAAAGTAGGATGACTTCGTACACTTGTCTATATTCTCTACAATGAATCCCACCAAAAGCATTCACGTTGCTATTTACGTTTTACAAAATGAAAATTACTTAAACGACTATCTTCCTAGTTAGTTACACCATCTATTTTAATATGAAATTGGATAAGAAAATATCATATAACCCGATTTTCTTTTCTAAAATCTTTGTCATATCGAATAATTGAGATTGCCGTTGACTCATGGATCTGAAGTAGTTTTGACCACTTTAACCTATCAATTAACTATCATTAAATCTTCGTGAATTGATTTTTATTTAATATATGACTCAAATGCATGCATTGATGCCGTTATAGTTTTTAATTAATATTAAGACTCAATAATTCAGAGTATTATTTAGAAACTTAGATGTGATCCTGGTATATATCAACTACATGGGTTTCTTACCAGTGTTATTGAAACAAGTAACTTACTAATAAAGGGCTTAGCATTTGACATTTCTTGGGTTGTGACTCGAGAAAGCGATCGGTTAGAGACCAATTTGAACTCAGTAACGTAACGCGGTGTGTTTACAATGCGTATTGGTAGTATTTTACAAAAAGTGCATGAAGATAATAACAGCTTGATTATTAATATTTGATTATTTATTAGCTCGACTCACACGTATTCGTTAGACTCTTCAATTAGCGATTAGAGTGTCATATTAAAGAAAATTGATACTTCACTCTGTAAGCATAAATAAATTGGTGTCCATGTCTACTCAGCATCTTTGTCAACCCTAGTGACGACATATACAAGTGTGTGATCTTTCTGCGAAAACCCTGCTTATTTTTATACTAAAACGATTTTTTTCCGATATGATGCTTATCTTGAATCTATAATTAAATTTAAAAGATTAATTTAAACAAAGTGAATCACAGGTGTCATGATAGCAAAGTTATCTTTCCTTGGATCAGCATAAAGCTAATCATATACCAAAAGCAAAACCAAGTAATTTGGAACAAATCATATGGGGGGACATAAAAGAGTTCTTAAATCCTATAGCTTGGTATTTCTTCTAATCACACAAAAAAATAAGGTTGTTCAATCCTCAATTTCCTACATCCTTTCCTCATTTTTTTTCTCAAGCTAAAGAACCTTCCTATAACGCCACAGAGAGATCTTATGAATTTAAGGCAAAAATAAAAGCGGGTGAAAAAGACAGAAACTGTAACAATATTAAGACCCAACAATAAAGATCATAGTCTGCACCATATGAACCATGAGTTCGTCGGCACAGTCTTGCAATATAAAATTGGTTTCTTTTAATCCTGATTTTGTGTATCCCAACATTCTGCTGAAACTGCTTCCCTACTTGAAAATGTAGTCTAATGCATGCGGTTGAGTTGCAAATCAGACAAGCTGAAATAATTGTGTTACACCAATGTTTTGCCATTGGCTAGAAACTAAGAAGAATGTGGAACGAAATCTACATATTTAAGGATTCTCCTTGCGAGTGTATGCCAAATGTCTCTTTTAGAATTATTTATTTCCTCAAAAAAGCTTTTTATAAATTTCTTCTCAAAAGTTTATTAAAAGATAATTAAAACAACAAATCGATTTTAAATTATATGACGAGTAACTACGATTACGTTAATTGTAAAATTTTTATCGAATTGATTGAAAATTTTCATTATTTTTCGGTTTATAAGTTCAATTCAACCTAATAATAATAAGAATATATCGATCCCGCTTGAGGCTTAAATATTAATCAATCAAGGCAGCACCAATAATTAGGGTTCGTCCTCCATGTTTATCCTCTCATCAAAACTGTATTCACCAGCTGTTAACGTTAGATTGGTCTTCTTGATGATGAAATGCACTGTTCTTTTTCCCATTAATTTCTCTTCACCTTTTTCTTGAAGAAGAAAAATAAAAACAGCGCGTCAATGTAAAGATTCTTAGTTAAGGAGAAAGACAAGCAGAAGCATGTTTTCTTCGTCCCAAAGATCCGAGACTATTTGATGATAAAGATTTAATGTTTATAAATATGGGAACTAAGTGCTTTTTGAATTTGATGTTTTCCCCTTGTTATATTTCTAAGTGAGTGCGGTTCTGGACCTTTATTTTCCTACTTCTTGATTTTAAAAAAAGCACTAGCTGAAGTATTAAATTAGGAAACCAAGGTATGAAGTATTAAATTAGGAAACCAAGGTCAATGAGTGGTGCTTCTTCTGAAAAATATTGAATTGCAAAGACCTTTCTGTTTGGTTTTTACTTCTTTTCTAGTTTTGATAAGTCCTTGTTGTCTTTAACGTGTCCTGCACAACTTGTCAAACAAGAACAAAGAAGAAAATAAAAAATAAACTGAAATTAAATGGGTTTTGTTTTGTTGATTACAATCCAACTAATTCGTAGCCAAAAAGAGAACCAAAAACAAAAGCAAAACAAATAACTTAACATATGTTTGACTTTTCATTTTTCTACTTTTATAACTCATAGCTACATTATTGCACAATCAATCCCGAGCTCCGAGGTTTGTAAAGGAGCCTTTCTTTGAATTATAATAAGCTATTTAGAGAGCTAGCTAGGATGTGTCTTGATCTTCTACCGCACCTTGGATAAATAAGGGTTAGTTATAATCTCTTTTCACAAGTTATCATAGTTAGTAAGCGTAGATTTACTCGTTAAAAAAATTATCATTTGACATAAACAAAAATTTATCAAATGTTAAGATAACTTTTGTTAATATAACTTTTTTCTAATAAAAAAATTAAATTATTAATAAAGAATTTAAATATTTATGTTAACAAATAATAAATTTAATATATTAATATCTTATACTAATAAAATATGTATTAAGATAATATATTATATTATCAGTATAAACTTAAAATATTGATATTAATAATTTTTTTGTTAGAAAAAGTTATACCATAACAATGACTATTTAATATTAAATTAATAAATAATAACTTTTTTAACAGTGACTTCTGTCTTAATGATTGAGAAAATTCTTAATGTATCAATGTATACAGTTGAACTCATATAAAGCTCAATTAATCTCATGAAAGGCGATATATCCTAACCATGCACTTATAATTTATATATATTATTAATCTGTAAAACGCAAATTGTTAAATAAATGTAAAATTAATAAAGAATAATTTTAGATTCTATTCATATGTCAAGAGTTCAGTGATTTTTAGAGGCGGTAGAGACTAGAGATTAGCAATTAAGAGTCGAATAGCATGGGACTTTTGAATGAAAAATATCTTTTCGTGTCGAAAAAGTTCCCAGTTTTGCATTGGAGTGGTTTCAAATAAGAATCAATTGGTTTTGATTTTGTGGTGAAAGCAAACAATTGCATGGATACATTTTCAAGGCATTGACTATAGTTTTTTCTAACTTTCATCAGCTAGTAAACAACATATACATTTGTTTCTGATCTAAACATTTCATTAATCGCTTAATGCATATGTTGAGACCTTAAGAAAGAAACATCGCTAGCTATTTATGTAAAGCTTAAGTATTCAGAGAACCTTTCCCACGGTATCATGTCTTCCATTTCAAGAGAGAAAAATGTGCCCGCACAAGCCCACGATGAAACTCACCCCTGAATAATAAAGGAAAGTGTTCAAATATTGATGAGAAGAAGGAAAGAGCAGAAAGTCCAAAGCACATGTCCTCTCGCAGGTCACATGTGCGCAATCAACATTTTGTTTAACTAAATGTAGCTGCCTCATTATTCACCCACAAAAAAATGTTGATACATTTTTTCTTTTGCCTTTTTTGATATGATTATATATATATATATATATATATATATATATATATATATATATCTTGTATACTTCTCTCTCTCTTCCATTTCACCGTATTATTTAACACACTTATCCTTTTGTTTTATCTCTGAATTTTTAATGAGTGTGAACCGCGTATAGGAACGTCGATCCAAAGTAAAAATTAAGAGACCTTAACAAAATATTTTCCTTAATTTTTATATGATCATGGTATTTACTGAACCAAGGCAACGCGTGTCTCCTTCTTACATCTTCCACGAGAATTCTTGAGGTAATTAATTACACAAGGGTAAGTTTTAATTTAAGAATTAATTACCAATAGGCAGCTAGCAGTACATTTACCGTCAATACAATGAGGATATATATAGTATAGTTGGAATGGCTATGGAACATTTTCAAGGAAAATGCCGACAAACTAAGCGGATGGAGGCTTCTATTGATCAAATACTTGTGGCACCGGATTCAAGTATTAAACAAATGGACCTGCGAAAAAGCAGTGTATTTTTTTATGAAAAAGAAGAAGAAACTTATGTTACGTTTGTCTAGTTGCATGCATAATTAAACGCGGGTGACCGAACTAATCCAAAAAAGGATGAGAGAGAAAGAGAAAGATGAATAAACCCTAGAAGAAAAAAATGGGTTGAATATAGCTAGTGAGGGAGGGGAGGGGGTGAGGTGTAAGACTTTTTGTCCTTTTAAGCATCACATCAGCCACACTTCAGACCTATAAATCATACCCTTCCTTCGCCGTAGTTTCTCAATAATCTTAGTAAAGCCATCTCTTGATATTTGCTTCAACAGAAAACTGAAAGAGAAACCTAATTAGAGAGAGATAGCAACATAAAAAGATGGGTAGAGCTCCATGCTGTGACAAGGCCAACGTGAAGAAAGGACCTTGGTCTCCCGAAGAGGATGCTGCACTAAAAGCCTACATTGAAAAGAATGGAACTGGTGGCAATTGGATTGCTCTTCCTCAGAAAATTGGTACAGTCCACTGTGTTACATTATATATATATATATATATATATATATACACACACACACTCTTTGTATTTATTGGGTCTAAGAGTTATCTGATTGTACTTAATTACTTTGGCTTTGGAAAGGTGAACGTTGGTTATAATAATCATCGATTGATGCAAAACTTATTGATGGATACAAATAATTCGCAGGGCTCAAGAGATGTGGAAAGAGTTGCAGACTTAGGTGGTTAAATTACTTGAGACCTAACATCAAACATGGTGGATTTACTGAAGAAGAAGACAACATCATCTGCAGTCTTTACATTAGCATTGGTAGCAGGTCCTTCTCTCTCAAAACCCCCTATCTCTATCTACGAGCTTGTGCTGTAGTTTTTCAACATATATGTTTGTCCGTTTTCTTTGTCACTGGAATCTCTCTAACTCCATATATGTTTTTTCTTTGGTTATTCCTAGAAATTAACTAAACCCTTGTCAACTTAATCTATGTGTATAGGTGGTCCATTATTGCTGCTCAGTTGCCTGGAAGGACAGATAACGACATCAAGAACTATTGGAACACTAGATTGAAGAAGAAATTGCTAGGGAGGCGCAAACAATCTAACTTCAACACAAAAGACACAAACGGAATAGAGGAGAACTCTTATTCAAATGCCCTAAGCAGTTCAGCCCTTGAAAGACTCCAACTTCACATGCAACTTCAAAGCCTTCAAAACCCTCTCTCTTTCTACAATAACCCTGCACTGTGGCCCAAGTTGCATCCCTTTCAAGAAAAGATGATCCAGAATCTGCAATCTTTGAATGATGGCTCTAACCCTGTGATGCAAAATGCTTTGCCTTCACCACATGTTGAACAAGATGGTGCAAAGATTAATAACCCACAGGTTGCTGATATTTTGGATAATATTCCTTTGAATAACAGAGAAGTTCCCTTTGTTGCTTCTGGGAATAATAATCCAATGCACTCAAGTCTTACTCCAAGAGCTGAGGCTGTTGAGCAGACTAATAATGTGGGACTTCAGCAACTTGGTGCACTGCAAACTGAACTAGATGACATTCTCAACAACAGAACAATGGGTTTACTGGAAGATCATCATATGGCTGAATTTGATTGTTTCAGAGAGATGAATGGCTCAAAGGACAACTTAGTTTGGTGGTCCAATGATTCTGATACCAAATCAGCATCCTCAAATTCCTGGGATTCATCAACTACTCCAGCTCTTCTAACACAAGGGATGTTCCAAGATTATGAACTGGGCTACAGTCTGTAGCGATCATATGGATTTAACTTCTGGTTATCCTAATTTGTTGTATTGGTCATAAGATGTGGAAAGAGAAGAATGAGTAGTAACAGGTGATCTTGTAAACAACTTCGTGAATATAATAATGTAAATCAATGTTCGAGTAATGTAGAAATCTTCTAATGCATTAAATTTCACCTTTATGAATATGACTACAAAGACAAAGTAAGTTCTAAGAGAACCTCAATATATACACAATACTGGGATTTGGGAAACCTATATTTTAATTTGCAAAAAAAAAAAAAAAAGGTTTTGATCCTAGCTATATATATTCATTATATTCTGCGAGGTTTACTCATAAAAACACACACACACACACACACATATATATATATATATATATATATATATATATATATATATATATATATATATATATATATCAAATGCTTAGGGTTGGTAGAAAGAATAATAGCTGGCTTTTCTGAGCTGTATGGGTGTGGGTAGTAACAAAAAAGAAGCAAGCTATCTATAAGTTTTGCCTTCATGATATTTTATGGACCTAAAGGCGAATCATCTTCAGTTTGTTTTGCACAATTAGATGAACATTACCTAATGAGAATTCTCACAGAAATATCAAATTAAGATGTATGAGCTTGACTTTCGTAGCCTTCATTAATTCGCTCTTTCACAAGATATGTCAAACTCAGGTGTTAAGTAAAGATTCCTACGTACTCACTAGTTACAATTAATTAGTACCAAAAATCTCTTGTCAAACTAAAACCTGTTTTTCTTGAAGGTGTGCAATCTTGCCATGGCACAGTCAAACTATATAATTTTCATTGGTCGTCTGCATCCTGCTCGGTTTTCTTCTTGTGACAATATATATATTGAAAATTTCAGTTATACACATTTTGAGAATTTGTTTCCTTTTTCTATACATGCATAATAATGTTTTCTCCACCAACAAAAACAAACGTATTTAGCATAATTTTATGGTGCATGTTTTATCTTCTAGGACCAATAATATGTGTTTATGTTGAAATGTTTTATCCTTACCTTTGGTTAAGTAATTCTATGAAAAACATGGTCATTTTCGTTATTTTGCTCAACTCTCGGAGCTTTGGGGGATAAATTTTGCAGCTCTTCTTTGTTCGTGTGAAAGGAAATAAATTACATTATATTAAATAAATATGGATTTTACTTTTTCCTCATAGCGCACACCGTTATTTAACTGTTACTAGAGATTAAAAGTGCTAAATTAAAAAAATTAGAAATTAAAAAGAAGAAAAATTAAAATTAAAAAAATTGTGAAATTATAAATATATATAATATATATATATATATATATATATATATATATATTTAAGCCATCTTTTTATTCTATTTACAAGTTTTTCACAAACTTATTTATAAACCAATTTTTTTAAAGATTTTTTAGAATATATTAATAATAAAAATACATTAAAAGAGTCCCATGCAGACTTATGATCAGTGCAAAGAACAGTAGCAATCTCACCAAACTAATTTGTGTGGTCCATTTAAAATGAAAAATTAGAGTAATGAATAATTTGTAAAAATTTTAAAATGATAATTAGATAATTAAATTTTGGGATCATCCATATATTTGAAACTCAAAGATAATGTCAATTTATTTGGATAAAAGATAATTGCCTCGTGTTCTTTTTTTTAAAAGACTATAATAGCTGTATTCTCTGTTTATCAAAAAAATTTATTAAATTCTAAATTTAATAAATTGATATTTCCATTAATAAAATTCTTTTTTCAATAGGACGTATATTTATATTATTTATTAAATAATATATGGGGAAAACCAGAGAAAAGGGTGAAAAAGATCAATGGATGGGTATCAGCCCAATAACACTTCTAGCTGAAGGGCTAAGTTCTGTCAATGGATCATATGTAAGCTATGGCCTATGAGTAACAATGTTATTCTAACGTCTACAGTAATGGGTCTCAGAGGAGAGTAGAAATTTTAAATTTTGAATTAAAACTATTTTTTAGTTAACTTTTTTATTGAAAGAAAATATATATGAACGCATACTAACATTCAATATTTATTTTTCAAAAAAAATTGAGACCATACAATATGGATGATTGTTAATAACATGTGTCTTTAAAGCACTTGTTAGTGATAATCTTATTCAACTATGGTTTTTAAACTCCTTAAAATTTGTAAATATAGCTTAACAAAATGTGATATCCTCTTGCTATTTTGCGTACATAAAAGGTACGCAAAATAAAATATAATAATTAAAACTCATTAATACTTTTCAGATAATGCATATGACTTTTTTGTGAATAGAAGAATTATTTGTACAGTGAAATAGTAGGAGCATATAGCATTTTTTTTATTAAAAAAATATGCATGAGCTGATTACAAAATCATTATTAGAGATTGACAAAGTTTTTTTAATTAGTCTATATTAGTCTTTTAAGAGAGGTAGTTCTATTAGATTTTGTGAGAAGTTGAGAGTGAATTTTTTAGATTTTATGCAACTCTTACGCAATAATTTCATGGATTTAAATTGTATATATACACACACAAACTTAGTGTAGTCACCCGTTAGAATTTAACTTTTACTTTGAAGAACAGGAATACCAATTATCAATTTCTTTTTTTTTTTGCGATATAATTAATCATAGAAATCAGTTTTGATTTCATATCCAAGACTACTTAAAAAAGACTAAAAAAATTAATCTTTGTTCATCTTTAATAGTGAGTCTTGTTGCACATGCATGTTTTGTTATATAATTTTAAGAAATTCAAATATCATATTTTAACCTATTAAATCTCAATATTAAGCGTCTTAATAAGTAAATATTTTATTAATAATCATTTGTATTAAATAATTTTACTTATTTTTAAAAAAATTAAATAATTTTATGTTTTTAACTTTTTTAAAAATATTTTATTAATATTATATTAATATATTTAAATTTAATTCTTTTTGAGAGATATTATAAGATTCGTCATCTTTTGAGTTATAAAATAGACTATGCAAATTGTAGTAATATTATATAATACTATCGTAATAAATAATTGACGATATTTTAGTAATAAACTTAGTTTTTGTGCTGAATTAAAAAACTATATTAAAAAATTATCTAAAATTTGATTGCTTAAAAATAGTAAATATTATTATAAAAAATTAAAAATTAATTTTTCTTAAAATATGTTGTATTTTATAAAATATTCATCATTTAATAAAACTTCTCTTATGATATATTTAGGTATAGTAGATATGTCATGTTATTCATAGTTAATTAAGTAATTGATAATTTAACTTATTTTATCTAATAAATAATTTTTTAAATACAATTTATATACTTTTAATTCTAAATAATTAATATATTATGTATTTTCCCTCTCTATCAAAAAATAATAATTTAATGTGCAATAAGCATCATACTAAAAATAAACTTAAGTCTAACTTGATCATAAAAATTAAACCCAAAAAAGAAATCGATTGTTCAATTTTTATAAAAACTACTCTGATGTCATCTTAACAAGCCATTTTGTAAAAATAGTTCCCAAATAAAGAAGTTTTAACAACGTTTCACGCAATCAAAAATTTTTTTTTTAACAACGACTTTATACACTTAGACAGTATTATTATTCGTTGTTAAACAACGACCTTTTTTTAATCTTTTCTTTTATCACATCTTTTTCTTTCTTTTTTTTCACTTTCTCTTTATTCTTTTCATTTTATACCTCTTTTCTTGTTCATCTCTGCCCCCCATTTTTGGAATGTCCACTGATGGTTATCCTTTTTCTTCCTTTGTCAAAAGGAAGCTAAGAAAACGATAAAGCTTATAACAAAGAAGCGCAATATTTTCTTTAGTGTTTTCCCGAGGTCATGGGTCAATTCTACCGCCGTCTGTATTGGAAGAAAAAGTGCTCCGAGATCTTACCTTCTCCATGCCCGTCAAGCTTGTCTTCTGTTACCTCCACGTCAGAGAAACCTCAACTCCAACGCCTACCATTTATGCATTTTGAATCGCCATTCACATTTCCTACCTAAACCATGACACAGATCATATTTTTATGTCATTACTTTTGAAACTCTTTAAGACCCTTCGATTCAGGCTTGTTCCGATCCTTTCGAGTTAATTGGCTGAAGAGGTGCAATAAAAATCTAATAAATTCACTCACAAATTCTCTCTCAATATAGTTTAAGTATACAATGGAGATTTTTCTTGTGAATCAACAACCTATAATCAACCAAGATTATCAAATTAAACATTTTAGATGTGCAGATTATTTTGTTAATTTGCAGGTTCAGAAATATTATACGTAAAATCAGGACCCTTTCAAATTCTTGCCAGAAACAAATTAATAAATGCATATTCGTATAGCTACCGTTAGGAAAGCAAAACCCAACTAATGAAAAAATGTGCTCGTACCAGATAACTATCCAAGCTAGATGTTTTTTAATTAATTTCGATCAGACCAAGGTTTTAAATTACAGTTGTAAAAATCTCAAAAAATCTAATGTTGATGTTGGTTATGGCGGCGGGTAAATCTGGCATGTGCAGCAGCAAATGCCCCCGCGATCTTGTTACGAAGACCTCTAAAACGTTGTTGCGGTTGCGATGGACAGTCAGAATGTGAAGTAGTTAAAATTTCTATTAAAGTAAAGATATTCTTTGTAGAATCACCTTCGGGTCCAGCAGCTGCCATTGCTGCGTCCTTGAGTTCCCCTATTTTTTGCCTCATTATCTTTCCTTGCTCTTTTGACATGACTGATTCCAAAATTCTCGAAGTGCCATCTTTAGCCAAAACCCCATTTTCAACTCCGACACCGATCCCCCACGCATGTTCTAGAATCGCTGTGTTTAACATTTGGTCTCCAAAAAATGGTCTAGAAATCATAGGCACACCCCCAACTATGCAATCCAAAATTGAATTCCACCCACCATGTGTCACACACACACCAACCGCTGAATGTCTTAGAATTTGCATTTGGGGTGCCCATCCAACAACTTTCCCTCTCGTGCTTGTTCTTTCCAAGAACCCTTCTGGTAATTGTTTTCCAGGATTACCCCTAAATGCCCAAATAAATGGATAGTTACTTTCTTCTAAGGCCTCAGCTAATGCTGTTAACTCATGGGGTGGTGGTATTATCACACTTCCAAAGCTTATATATACTACTGACCCTTCCTCTTGCTTGTTCAACCATTCTATGCAGCCTTCGTTATCTGGAGTAACAGATTGTGGCGTTGTCAAAATAAATGGACCAATGTTGAGGAACATGTGAAACATAGACTCCAGATCATGAGCTATTGGAAGGTGCACTTCAGTGAAGGAGTTTATGATAACTGCGGTTGCCCGCGGCAAGTATTGTCCCATTTTGTGTACCATTATTGTAAAGGGGTTTTCTAAATGTTCTGCTACTCCTTCAGGTAAGTCTGAAACCTTTACCCCATTGAAACCGGTAAGAAAATCGATATCCCTGTTTTCCTTCACTGCAAAACAAGAAAAATCAATTTTTTATTAGCAAAAGTATACGCTGCAATTAATGAATAACTAAAAATCGTGTTTGTATATGTATATATCTTTTATGTTTATCAGGTTCTAAGGCAATCTTATAGAAAACTAAAGAAATTAATCAATTCAAATCTTCTGTTCATGAAAGAAAAAAAAAATCATTGATGAACATATATATAGCTTTTAATCTTAATCATTAATATCACCAAAAAAATATTAGCTAATGAATCCTATACATACCTCCCTCGGGGCCCAATTTTTCCCTTATCAGATCTGTGGAAGCATGTGCAAGGAGAGGGTGGGGTCCAGCAGTCCATAGGGGGACCCACTTGGCATGCATTTCTTCTGCCATGTCCGCAGCAAACCAATAAAACGCATCAGTGAGCAAGCAAGTAATGTGCTTCCCCGTCTTTGCCGCAACTTCATCCATGGCAGTTTTATAGTTCCCTGGCGTGACATTGATGAACATGTTAAGGGGTTCAATAACGGGGTCAGTAATTACAAAATCCTCTGGTATCCCATCATCCACTTCATAAGGCTTTATGTTAAGAAGTTGTTCCTCGTTGAGACCATTGAATATTGAAGCATTTGATTTTTTTGTACTGAAGAACGAGAAGGTGACTTCAGGAATCTCTGCTGCAGTTCTACGCACCAGGTTGAGGAGTGGACCTGCGTGTGAACCAAAAGGGAACGCCAAAACGGCCACGTGTGGTTTCTCTTCATGATGGGCAACGGTCATGGTTGATTACAAGATACTATGTACTTAGTGTTGCAGGTGCAAGATTGTAGTGATATTTTCCTATGCTTCCCCGTTGACAATTTTGTTGTTTGTATTTATATGCCATGTCGTTGCAATTCCAATATTAATGAAGGTGGCTCCTAGAAGGTCTGAAATTAAACAGAGAGGAAGTTGCATTTGTTTTGTTGGAAAAAAAAATATGCTGACTTCTCTGCATGTTGTGCAAAGAGCATGTTGATGTTTAGGTGTTTGATTAACGCGAGTGCTGAGGCAAGGTGCAAAGACCGTTAACTAACGCATGAATTTTTTACCGTATTAACTATATCTACCGTTGTGTGAAAATTAGTTATTAACTAATTATCCTCCAACCTAATAATTAACATATGATCCTTCAGAGACTATCAGTTAACAACGAGGTTGAGGGATCCTTCTTGCTTGTTTTTCAGAAAGTGATTTAGGATGTTTAACGCATTGAAGGACCACCTGATTTTCCTTGGTTCGTTTAAACGTAGCTGTGAATTTTAGCAATCAATACCTAAACATAGGCAAGGTTTCCACATAAAAATAGTAAATGGGCCCTGGAAGTAATCTCGTTCTCCTGTTTTTTTCACAAGTTTTGAGGGCGTGTTTAAATCATAAAACTTCCGAAGTATAAATGTGACATTTAATTATACAACACATCAACTGACATGTTTAAGGATTTCCAACATCGGATCACGATTCACGAGACAACTTTCCCTTTTGTTCATGTCCTTTCACATACACTGATACACTGCTACTAAACACTAATCCTCTCATGTATGTCAAGTCGTGGATACGTTTTGCATTTTTAAATTAATTTTGATAGGTTTCACTTGTTTAATATTCATTACAAAATATAAATACAAAACTTACCATGACATTGTTACATGAAATTTGAATACGAGAGAATTTATTCCAAACTCTGCTTTACTTTATCAGAGTCACACAAGCTTTGCTCTTTCATAATCACTACATTAGTCCCCTCTTATTCCTAAAGATATTGTTAACATTCTCTTAAATTATATAAGCTTTTAATATGGTTTTATAAGTTAATAAACTCTTAATGATTGTTATAGTGTGTAAGGACTTTGAAATTGATTTAACTTTTGTTTTATTGGTTTTATTTTAAATAATTAAAATAAAAATATTCTTAAAAATATAAAACATAACTAATGTGTTTTCAATAAAATCTTTAATTTTATTTTCTTAAAATTAATGGTAATAAAATAATCTTTTTATCGTCTGAAGAAAATAACACAGAATTGTTTTTTTACGAATTAAAATAATCCTCAACAAACATTAGGGCATTTGGGTACCATAATGGCTAAAGGCGCTTCACATCTTCTAATTCTAAGGCAGCATCCAATAAGACTGAGGGATACAAAAATATTATTGGGTGATTTGTCACTTCCACGCATTATAAACAAAAATCATTTATCAATATATATATATTATGATACATAAATGTTAATATAATGCATTATTTATTAATATAGATTTTTAAATTTTTGTTAATAATTTAATTTTTTTAAATAAGTATATATTAAGAAAAAAAATCTTAATATTGATATTTTTACTTATTAAAAATGACAATTTTTTTTATAATAATGTATCCATAATTTTGATTAATCACTATAAAACATGTGAACAAAATTTTAATTCACCAAAAAAATTATTAAACATAATAACAAATTACAAAATAATATAATGATCTGGAATCTTCTGTAGTTTCTCGTGGTGATACAGTATGTGCACTTGAAGGACATGGATAGAGTTGATTAGATTCATGGATAGGCCTGCAACAAAGTCCAGCTTCTCTTATTCTACTTCATATATGATTCTCCGGTTTTCTCTCCATTCCCTGGGATTTAGGAATACATAATTTGCAAGTTACAATGATTTCTGCTTTTTTCTTTCTTTGTCCGATAACTCAGGCGGGAATTGATATCCGAGGATCAAGGCGTTAACTTTCTTTAACACGAGACAATTCTCTGCTTTACGAAACCCACCTCTCTCTATTTGAATACCCTAATCATTTTTTAAATACCTAAGTGTTTCTTAATTCTCAAGATATAATGTTTGGACTTGGTTTAGAGCGAGCCATTCGCGGTTACAAAATTTTGTTAAGTAACACCTATACCCCACCAAACATTGCGTGTGATACATTTACGAGGATTATTATTACTTTTTCATTCTATTATTTTGACTTAATAACATTTTAATTTTTTATTATTTTTTGCCTGTGATTTTTATCTTTTATTTTTTTATTTTTGCATCAATCAAATCATCTATTTTTAAAGAAAAACTTAATGACTATCCTTAAGACACTAATTAATGTATTTATCGTAATTTTCAAATCGTCTTCGTTGTAATTTTGAATAAAAGTTGTCTGTAACTATGATTAGGTGGTCATCTAATATGGACCCACTTAACGATTTTTTTCGTTAATATTACCTACGAGTTCACTGTGCTTGTCGGGTTTTTTTCTTGGCTCGCTTACCTTTTTTTTTTTTTTTTTTTCAATTATAAGATGAACGACTTACTTTAAATAATTAAAAAATTGAAATGAAGTTATTCTTAAATGAATTATAAGTATAAATGAGAGTGAGTTCAAGTAATCTTTTCTTTAAGCAAAGTCTTAGGTTAAATACTGTGTATAAAATTTTTTTGCTAGAAGAGCTAACTCCTTTTTTTTTTTTTTCACGTACCCCTAATTGTACTTATATTTTTTTAGCTTGAATTTAAAAGATACTCATACAATGTACAAAATGCTTACTGTGTATGGCATATAACATTAAATAGATTAAATAAATTAATGAGATAAAAAAAGCATGTGTTTGAATTTTACATGTCATTATGTCACAGTGAATCTTTTTAATTAATCTACTGAACAAATTATTGTATCACATGTCACGCCAATTAATTATGTCAAAGAATGGAGAAAACCGTCGGAAAAAATTGATTTCTTTGATTCAAGAACCCGTTTAGAGGGAAAAAAAAAAAAGTTAAAAATCAAAATACGCATATGCCGTGCTAGATTAACCAAAATTACATTCAATCCTATTATATTATTATGATCCAATCGAGGCTGAGATCAATATTACATTTAACTTAAAAGTATCCCAACGAATTTGATAAAAACGTTAGAATTCGTACCCATTATCCAATGATGTAGAATAGAAAAGTATCCCATGTGCTAAAAAGATGGAATCTCAACCTCTTTGGCCTACAAACGTGGAAAAAAATGAATAGCCCGCCAATGAAAATTTAGAAAGGGAATAAAACTGAGTAACTGACGATCGTTCTAATTAACCACATTTCCTTTAATAACAAAAGGAAAAACGGCAATCATTATCGAACATGGATGCCACCAATGCCAAGAGAGTTGACAATGTAGGCACTCTCACTCTCATCTAAAGTCCCCAACTCCATCGCTACCACTATAAATATACATCCATTGGCCCATGTAATAAAGCATTCTAGTCACAACCACCACAATGAGGCATTCTAGTCCCACACATTCTCTCATCTCCATCACATTAGCCTTGTTTCTGTGGCTAGTCACAACCACCTATGCCACCATTATCCCAACCCAAAAGCCCCAAAGAAGCTTCGCAAACCAATTCCTGATTCCCCAGAATGCGGCTCGGGCCGCGGTGGGCTTGCGCCCATTGGTGTGGGACCCCAAACTGGCCCACTATGCGCAGTGGTATGCAAACCAAAGGCGCAACGACTGTGCCTTGGAGCATTCAAATGGGCCATACGGTGAGAACATATTCTGGGGTAGCGGCACTGGGTGGAAGCCAGCCCAAGCCGTTAGCGCGTGGGTGGAAGAGCGACAGTGGTACAATTATTGGCATAACTCTTGTGCAGATGGACAAATGTGTGGACATTATACTCAAGTTGTTTGGAGCAGCACTAGGAAAGTTGGTTGCGCTAGCGTTGTTTGTTCTGGTGGTAAGGGTACCTTCATGACTTGCAACTATGATCCTCCTGGGAACTACTATGGAGAAAGACCTTACTGAAAGTGAAAATTATATTCCCTCCAACACTAAAGGGAAGTAATGATACAGTCAATAATGTTAATGTCGTAGGATCATAGCCATGTCCTCCGCTGGCTAATTATTGCCTGATTGCCATGTGGGTTTAATGAGCTATCTACTCTCTATCTTTGTCTTTATTGCTTGCTTAATATTATATGTATATTGTTATTATATGGCTTTCTTTTCTTTTCTTTTCGAATTTTCATGTTTAAGGGTTGGCAAGAAATCAGAAATCAGAATAGGAGCTGTTAGGATTCGGCCAATTCCAAAAGAGCATTTCAAAGCTTGTTTCATTGACTCGAGCTTCAAGCTTGATTTGTGTCGTACTATAAATTATAATAGCCTTATGGGCTGTGTCGTGGCTTATGTCTACTTAATGGAAATTGCTGTTTATACCATCAGTTTGTACTCTATATATCACCTTCTTTTTTTCTGATTTTTAGAATTTAATTTCTAGAAGCATGTTTAATACTTTTTAAAAATTAAATTCTGAAAATAATTTGTATATAACATTTGAAATTTTATTTTTAAAAATATTAAATACGCTTTTGAAAATTAAATTCTAAATGCAATTTAGAAATAATTTCTATAATTTAATTTTAAAAATATAAATTACTTTCAAAAATTAAATTGCAAGAATAAATTTAAAAACAATAATGATACGCTAAAGTAAATAGTAAAAATTTCAGATTTAGTCCAAACTACAATGCTTGGTCCATTTAATAAATTTGCAAGCTCATAAAAAGAAACTCTTAAGGATTTTTTAAAATTTAAATTAAAAATCATATATCATTTATAATGAAAAATGCTTAATTAATTTATTAAATTTATGTATGTATTAATTTACATATTTAATTTTGAAAAATATTAATTTTAAATATATTTATTTAAAATACAAAATATGTTTTCCTCTCCCTTTCAAAACTTTTTTTTCTAAATAACCTCTAAAATGTTGCATGAAATTACTAAGTGAAAAATTAGTGAATGAGGCAATGTGTAGGAATAAAAAGAACATGCTTCATTAAATGAGAAAAAAAAAACTTTGTAAATAGGTTAAAATAATCCAAAAAATTATTATTATTTTTGTCAAAATTCTAGAGTTAACGGGCCGTGCAAGTGAGACAAGTAAATGATCCAACTCTTCAACGAAACCCACCCTTGATGAATAGTTCAAGTCACACAATTTATGCTTAATACTCATTATGATTATCAATTTTTAATTGTTTAAATAATAAATATCAAAACTAAAATCATTTATACTTAGCATCTAACCCTCTGCTTTTGTTTATGCCTCAGCCTGAGCCGCTAACAGCGGACATAAATTTGTAACAATTATTTTGACAGTACGATATCAATGTGTTTGTTGGGCATTAAGGACTTTTGACCGCTCTCTGCACCGAAAACTAGGTTGAGAATCTTGCGATTGTCCCACATACGGTATTTTATTTGCAGTTAATACCAATATTACTGAAGGCCATATCTTCGTATTTATAAAACTTATACCAACATGTTTTAGTTGAATTAAGATACTACTCCGTCGTGTTACGTCGATATTATATATATATTGTTATAAAAATTAATCCGTTAACATAAATATTATAATTTATATTATCGGATGTTGATTCAATGATATACATAAATTTTCAATATTAATAGTATATTAGTTGATTGTAGGCAACACTTTAAGTTTGTATGGTTTTTTATATTCTTCTTGTCCAGATATTCATACGATTTTTTCAACACTTAAGAACACAATAAAATTATGTATGATAAAATTTTATTAAAATTGTAAAATATTATAAAACTTAATATATTTCTAATATTAAATGTTATAATTTGTAATAAAAATTATAATTTTATTTATTTTTTACCTGTCCTCGGTACAAAATCGATAAACTTAACTACCCGCAGTACTTAGATAGTGGGGCAATGTAAATCAAGTAACTTCATACATATCATACAACTCAAGCTGGCATAGTTGACAATCAGATACCATTCACATGGGAGGATAAATATTTTATCTGAGTCTTGACTCAGCCGTTTAACCTCAAGCAACGAATCTCCAACTAATGATACCCTTATACTTTTTTGTTTGTTTGATTTATTGTCCCAAGTACAGGTACTAATCATTAATTAATGATAAAAGCAATCCCATAATCATCCTACTTTCTGCAATTATACACAATTTATTGTTGCTAAGTACTGATAAACTAAATTCACACTCACAAACTAGTACTATACACTCCAATACTATATATATATAGCCACATGAATGCATATTCATAGCATATAATAATTTAATAGGGTCGCTCTCCAACATAATTGCCAACGGGGTCATAATTACATGTCATGAACACATCTCCATCGTCACATACAACCCGAGCACATCCAATCCTCCTAGTGCTCTTCCACACTATTTGAGTGTAGTGGCCACACATTTGACCCGCTTCACATGTATTAGTAGCGTACGTGTAGTATTTTTCTTCATCAGCCCATACTCTTACAGCATCCGTTGGTGTCCACGCTGAGCCACTACCCCAAAAAATGTTCTCTCCTAGCTTGAAATCGTTTTCTGGGAAGGAATGTTCAAGCTTGCAATCTGCTCTTCTTTGACTAGCCCACCACCTTGCGTATTGCTCAAGCTGGAAGTCCCACACGAGGGGAAGTTCCCACTTGGTTGCTCTCACCAAGTTGTGCCTGAACAAGAACTCTAGTGACTCTGCAATGCAGCCCCAACATAGCTGCTTTGATACCCTATATATTGTCTCGTTGTCAGGAATTTTCTTTTGGCTCAATTGGTCGTATAGGGGAATTGAAGAATTAGACTGAGGAATGGTTGAGACAGAGAGAGTTTTGCTTGTGACAAGAAGGAACATGAAGAGGAGCAAATGGGCTTTCATTTTTGTAATTGGGTTAGAAACTTAAGAATTAGATTACTTTGTGTGTGGCACTAAATTTTGAGGCATGTACGTAAATTTATATATGAGTTTGGTTTAAGAATATGTGGTTGTTGGAGAGTGGCGAGTGTTGTAGGGAGTCATATCACTTGCAGTTTAGGTGCTGTGAGGAATAATCGCCTGTTGATAAGTGAGTGATTAATATTTTAATATTGATTAATACCTCCAAATGTAGCAGATTGTGGTTGTGATGTTGAGCGTATGTGAAACGCATGGCAGTGAGAAATGTGCATGGCAGTGATTGTGCTCTATGATCGATGAATGAAGGTTTTCCCGTGAGTGAGGTCTCTGTTGTGCCCGTGAGTTCTCTTGTCCTCATTATGGGATGTTAGTGCCCAACATACCCATAGTACGTTCTAGAATTAACCACGTGTCACAACTGAAGTCCCAAACATGTCTAATTTAACAAATTTGCCCGTGAAATTTGTACGTGTGATCCTGAGTGAATATATTAGTACAATAACTGAATTTCATAAAACTTTAGACAAGCTAATCATTAATTTATATCACATAATATACAAAAAGAAATAACAGTGAAATCATTTGAAAGAAGGTCTCATTGTTTACAGTGATGCAAAGTACTCAAATCAAATCTTGTCCTATGATTTACCTGTAGTCTCAAGTCTCAACCAGTGCAACATTGCATGTGTTTAGAGTGCGTTTGGTATAAGAATTTTGCAGTTAAAATACAAGGTTCGGCTAGTCATATATATTACCGATGCTTGTGATTCTCTCCAGGGCTCACTCAAAATTACGACTTTACTACATTGATCACACTTGTCTTAAAGCTCAAAACCTTTTGTAAGACCAAACTAGCATCTGCAGCTCTTTCAAGCATATTAACAAGGCATTTGCGCAGAAAATTCACCACCAAACTAAAATGGAAGACTTACAAAAAATATATTCGTCGAAGTCATCAAATTTGTGGTTGATTGAATCGATGATGGCTGATCCTTTAATCATTTTTTTGTCAACGTGAAAAATGTCAGTAATATATTCTTTTAAACACTACTTTTAATGAACTTTTGTAATTTATTAATTACCTTATAATTAAATATTTTTTAGGATTATTTTAACTTCTTAAAAATTAATCATTTGTAATTGCTAGTAATCCTATCTCGTTGTGAAACACTAATTTGGTTATTGGTCATAAAATTTTTACTCATTGAATTAATGTAAATTACTATTCACATTTATAATTTGTTTCTACTGGATGTTCTGTGAACATGCGCAATTTACTTTTATCATTATTTTACAATGAAGAAAGTAATGAATGAGTAAAATTGCTCCTGTCAATAAGAGAGATGAAAAGGAGCAAAGAAGATATACTTAAAGCAAGGATTTGGTTTGTGGAATTTCTTTTTTTCATTTGGACTTTGTTTAATCCTTGCCCTGTCAAACTTATTTGAACTTCACTGAATGAATGGAGGAGACATGGATTCGGTCTATCTTCAAGCAGGTTTATAGACACAAAGATCTTCACTATCTTCGGTATTGGTCCTTCAATTTCATAACTGAAATAGATATTTGAAAATAATAAAGCAAATGGTGGCAGTCAACAATATCATTACCATGAAGTAATGAAACATTGACTTATAATTACCATCCAGCATCTTGCTTTTTTCTGTCACTGGCGCAGAGATCTATAAGGAATCTTGGTTTTGTGATGGCACACGAGGGTTTTGTTTCAGCAGATTTGATAGACTTTCACAAAACTAATAATCAAAATTAAATCAGTAACTAGATTCATGAGCTTGCATATTCAGCTAAGAGGATGTTTTCTATTTTCTTACTTCGTAGTACATTCTTAGATCTCCTTCAGATTTTGATATTTCTATAACACAATGAGTTGGGGCAACTTCAATCACCTGATAATTGTCACGCATACATGCAAGGAATTGAACTTTCTTCAACAATGAAACAAAAAGAAGAAGGAAACTAGGGGGGGGGGGGGGGTATGTAAGAATAAAATGAGTAAGTTACCTGGGCTGATAGGTCAAAGTATGATCTAGAACACCTGGTCATTATCGGTTTTGGTTGCATTTTTATCTGATATCAAGATTGAAAATTCATTTGTTGCCAGATTTTAATGAAAGTTAATATTGCCAATAAAAAAAGAAAGAAAAAGGTACATATTTACATGCACGCATTTAAGAATTGAAGTAGCATAGTTTATACCTTTAAGTTGTTCATTTTTTCTACAGTCAGTCTCACATCTGCTGCAGCAGCTTCTATTTTTTCTATGGTTTCATTGATTGTGTGTGTGGATCCCAGCCTTGTTCTCTTCTTTTTTTCATCCTAAACAAGAAACTCACAACATTAGCACTTCATTTATTGAATAACACATCACCCTCTATCAGATTTGTAGACTTGCCTGTTCTTCAAAAAGGCCAGACAGATCAAGGTCCTGAGACATGGCTATTAGTTGAAACGCATTAATGAAACTTGAGGATCTAGACATCGCTGACTGTGTTATTTTCTCCTGTAGCACAGATTATTAGACAATTTGGTCCACGTCTGCAAGTGAGCTTTTCTTTGACAGCTTTCTAACTTGTTATCAAATTACCTCAACTGAATCAAAAGCAGCATTGTCATCATCCAAGTTAATGTCCTCATTAAGTTCAGATGCATCAACAGGCTTGTAATCTAATTGAAACCATTCATCTTCAACAATATCTGGTATAGTTATCCGCTGCATGAGAGATAGAAAGGAAGTGGAAGAAATTATTATATATATATTAATTACACTTAAAGTACACGGTGTAGTATTTCTTGAATTTCTACCTTTCCCTACCTTTCCCGGATGTGGTTCAAGTATTTTGGTAATTAGTTTCTTTTGACTTTGAGTAAACCATGGTGGACATTTATATTCTGCCTTGCATATCTTTTCACTCATGAAAGTTATCAGAACATGTGAATTATTTGTAACGGACGCCAAGTAGAAAGTAGGTATAGTGTATTTGTGCGTACCTTTCTATATAAGCTCATCAAATTCTGGTCGTCAAATGGTAGATAACCTGCAAGTAATTCAAAAAGGATCACCCCACATGACCAAACATCAGCAGCTGCTCCATCGTATCTGTTGCTCCATAACAACTACACATGAAAAAGTACAGGGATCATAGTCACAATCCATAATCCAGGTGTGCCATAATCAATTGAGTCATTAGCTTTTGCTCTCTTTTGCACTCCCAATCTTGATGTTTTCAACAAAGAGGATCTGTCTTGATAAACCAGACCCACTTAGATGCTATGTTGAAGACAGTTTTTTGTTACCTCTGGTGCCACATAGCACGGGGATCCACACCGCGTGTTTAAGACATCATTAGGCTGGTGATGTAACAAAATTTGAGTATCAGTCAACAATAGTTATGATGGATCTGAGGATAAGATTCTAAGGAACAATGCTTCATGCTTACTTTTTGCAATGCACTCAATCCAAAATCAGATACTTTGAGATTTCCCTTGTTGTCAAGAAGCAAGTTTTCTGGCTATAATGGCACACCAAGATTCAAGTTGGATTTCAAAAACCCGTTTGAAATAGACAAGGCATGTTGATTTAAACTTACCTTGAGATCTCGATGATAAATTCCTTTGTCATGACAGTAGTCCAAGGCATCAATAAGTTGCTGGAATAGTTTTCTTGCCTCACATTCATTCAACTTTTCAGCATAGGACTACACAACAATTATCACAATTGAATTATTATAAACAAGTACATACATAATATTTCAATTCGAAAAGATTATGGATTCTCACCATCTTGTCCAATAGTGGTCCTCCAGATACATATTCCATCACAATGTATATCTTTGTTTTTGTGCCAATAACCTGTTTTAATGTCATTAGAAATAGAGTATTGAGAAGCGGATAATGTATCTTCAAACTTCACTAGAATTATAGCACCAGCAGGTATACCTCGTGAATTCTAACTATATTGGGATGATGCAAAAGTTTCATTGTTCTGATCTCTCTTTTAACCTGAAATATGCCATATCCTATGTATTGATTAATATAAAGTGCTGCTTGTTGAAGGGAAAAAGGAGGTACAAGAATGAGATTTGCCTGATGCATAAGATTGTTTTCTACGATCATGTGCTTATCAATGACCTTGATTGCAACCTTTTGACCATTGTTTCCATTGACAGCCAGCTTAACCTTAGAGAATGTACCCTCTCCTATTGTCCTGCCAAGACTATACTTCCCAATATTTTTTTCAAACCCCATTAGTGTTTGGAACTGGTTCTTTTCTTCTTGTTTATTCCTCAATATGATCTCTGTATCAAGCTGCTTTGACTCTGAAATCTGAACCCAATTTATTTGGAAGCCTGTTGTCTTTTTCTCTTGATGTTAAACTCCATTATGGTCAATGTTGCCACGTTTCAACCATAAGAAATGGAACAAATTAATAAAAATCAATGCCTAACTATATTGGTTAAGAAATTAAGGGAGTTGACACTCCCATATTATTTATTATCACTCTAGTTATAAAAAAATGTAAATACTTTTATTATTAGTTTTATTAACAAAAATAAAAAATATTAAAAATAAAATTATTAAAATAGAAGTGACAATAGATATTTTAAAGTAATAAAAGATATATTTGAAATTAATAATAAATTTTTTTAGTAAAAATTGTTAAAAAAATATCTAAATATATATATATATTGATTGTATTTTTATTAAAATTTCATATTTCTAATTTTTTAATTAATACTCTTAAATCATTAGTTACCATTTTTTATTAATAAAACATATTGTAGTTTTTGAGAAGTCAGGGAAAGTAAAACTTTGAGCGTGTGCTCTTCATAGAAGGGAAGGTAGTGAAAGTCAGTGGCAGGTAGCTGGTTGGCTAGTTGTTCAGACCATTGCAACGTGTCTTGAATGGAAGTTAGATATGGAAACAACACAAACGTTGGAATATTAGAAAATCATATCTTACCTGACATCGATATTCTTGAATTATTGATAACGCTGATACTATGTGAGTTGGTCGATGTGTACCCGTCTTCTTTCAAAGTTGAGATAATTATTAAGAATTTATGGATTGTGAAATGCTATATTTTTTGCGGTTAATTTTGATCTAGAACATGCTACGACTTCTAAATGGGGTTAGGAATAGAATCCAGTGCCTTTCAATTAATACTGTTGACTCTAATTGCTTTGTGGAAATGTTTCCTACTGATAAATAATTCTACCAAATAATCAAATAATATGTAATTAAATGATATTGCCTGATTTGTTTGTTTGTGTTTATGGCAACTCAAATAGCTCAAGACCAAGGAATCACTTGCCACTTAATGTAAATAAGTCAACAAAACTAATATTTTAACCTGTTATGATGATATTCATCAAGGAAATTCGTGATATATAAAAGAAGAGGGTAATTAACTAATTATCGACAAATTTTCAGTTTGGGATTCATATATTAAAGTTTGACCTGTGTAAGGAACGAGAGATGAATCATGCATTTTTTTTTTATTACATTGTTGGGGAATACTTTTAAAATTATTAGATGTTTTAGTCATTTAAATTTTAAATTTATAAAATATGACTTAACCTTTCTTTTAATATATATATCATAAATAAGATTCTATTATTTGAAAAATTAAAATGTTTAGTAAAATGACTTTTCTCTACGGTTGGTTACATAACACACTAATATTTTATATTTATAAAATTTTATTTTTTAATTATTAAATATATGTTTATTTACTTTAAAATAATATACTTGTGTATTGGACAGACTAAGTATATATATAATTTTGAAAATGAGCAACTTGTGGGAAACTTTTTGCATTTCAAGGTTAATAGATTAGCTATTTAATATTAGTATATAAAATTAACATTTTTTAAAATATATTTGAGATAGATTTGATTAAAATAAGAAGTTAGTTTGGGAATTACTGACTTCCCAATGGTCAAATAAATCAGAGCATTTTAAAGTTTGTTGGAGAAAAAAATGGTAAAATGGAGAGATTTTTAAAAAATATATACAAATAGACCCACCGCTCCTTTATTTATTAAGATAGACCTATTTTCTATAGCAATAAATACTCACTCAGAATTGGATTTCTCGGAAACCGAATTCTGAGTGAATATATTTTTTTTTAATTTTTTTATGTAATAAAATAAATATTATTATTTAAATTATATTTATATATTTATATTTTATTAAAATAAATATTTATAAATATTTTGTTAATTGTATATAATAAAATAAGTTTTATTATTTAAATTATGTTTATATTTTATATTATTTAAAAAATAAAAATAATATTAATTTTAAATATTTATTAAAATTTATTTTAAATATTTAAAATAATAAATAATATTTTTAAAAAATAATAATAACTAATTTATTTATTTATTTTGAGATATTAATTTTTATTAAAATTTATACATAATTATTTATTTAAAAAAATACATTATTAATATTAATAAACATAATTAAATAATATTATATAAATATATATTATATATAATTATATATTTAATATAAATTATAAATACTAAAAAATTAAAAGTTGTAATAAGATTCATAAAATTAATATTCAAACGCTCATAATCCCAATTACATGTTCACCTATTAGAATGCCTACTTCCAACGTTGGGAGTGGACCTGAGAGCCGCTGTACCGCGTGCCCTTTAATCGATTAATATCGTCCTGAAACCAAGACTTCCAACGGTGGGAGTCTTTCACAATACGGAAACTTTTAGAATATCTACTTCCAATGTTGGAAGTCCACTTTTTAGATAGGCAGAAAAATACTTTAGAAACAATTAACTAGATTAAGGTAATACAATGTTAGGGGTTAGAAAGAATGCAAAGCATTTTATTGGTACATGTATTTTAACAATATTTCTACTGCTGCGGATTGTGGGCTCATTATAACCTAGAGATTTCTATTGCTGAGAAATGTGACTCAATACTTCCAACGGTGGGAGTCTTCAACAGTGCGGAAACATATAGAACGCCAACTTCCAACTTTGGGACTACACATAATACCATTACATGTTAAAAATATTCACCTATTATAAAATTTCAAAATAATTCCATTTTTAGAAACAATTATAATAATAAAATTTTAGGATTTAAGGTATTAAAAATTATAATATTAAATAATATTATTTAAAAAAAATTAATTTAATTAAAATAAAATTTTTATTCAAAATATTATTTTAATATACTAATATTTAAAAATATTAAGTCAAAATTACATATTTAAATAAATAAATAAATAAATAGAATAATATTTAATATATTTATTTAATTTTAAAAAATATATTTATTATTCTTTAAGTATAAATAATCTAAACATTAATATTATTATCTAAAATAATATACTTATTATTTAAATATTTTAATTAGTTTTTCAAAATTATTTAAAATAATTTACTTATTATTTAATTATTTTTTAAAATTTTAATTATTATTATTTTCTAAAAACATTATTTATTATCTTAAATATGTTAAATAAATTTTAATAAACATTTAAAATTAATATTATTTTTATTTTTATTTATTTTTAAATAATATAAAATATAAACATAATTCAAATAATAAAATTTATTTTATTATATATAACTAACAAAATATTTATAAATATATAAATAGAATTTAAATAATAATATTTATTTTATTATATAAAAACATAAAGTAAAAATTTTAAAAAATATGTAAAATAAATATTATTTATTATTTTTATTCATTTTCACATAATATAAAAATATAAATATAATTCAAATAATAAAATTTATTTTATTATATATAATTAACAAAATATTTATTAAAAAACATATTATAAATATTCATTTTAAAAAAATATAAATATATAAATATAATTTAAATAATAATATTTATTTTATTACATAAAAAAAATTAAAAAGAAAAAAGAAAACTCACTCAGAGTTCGGTTCCTGAAAAATTAAATTCTGAGTGAGTATTTGTTTCTACAAAAAATAGGTCTATCTTGATAAATAAAGGAGAGCTAGGTCAATTTGTGTATTTTTTTTATTTTTTTAATGTTTTTTTAAAAAAACTCTAGAATGAGGTATATTTTTAAAAATGATATATATATATATTATCTTTTCCTTCCTTTTCTTCGTCAGAAAATGAATGCCAGTGACTTGCAGAGTTGTAAGGTAGAATCCTCCTTCAATTGTTGTCAATCTTCTCTATCCTTTTTCCCACTTTTTGCTCTCCATCAAATTCATAAGACATTACTATTTATCATTTTTCACGTGTGTTGTTTTAACGTTACATCAAATCAATGATAAGTGTCTATTAGTGACACCAACAAACTTGTAAAGGGAAGCCGTAGACTACCACTTTTAGTATTGGATAAAAATAACAATAATCGTGTTCTAAGTATCTCGTAGACTACTGGTATTCATATAAGTACGAGTGCTATAATTTTTAAATATTTAAAATTATCAGTCATAATTAAGTTACATTTTTAATTTAAAATGTTAATATTTAGCTTAAATGTAATTTTCGTGTTATAAATATGATTAATTTATTTCAGTGATGTAAAATTTAATTTTTTGAAAATGTTTTATTATCTAATCATGTCACCCTAACAACTATTTTGAGATTACAAGAGACATACATAACATAACTTAAATCCATGCCATATCATCGACAAGTATTAATAAAAAAATTATTTAAAAGTTTAAAAAACTATAAAAAAAGGTATGAGTCTTGATTATATTTTTTTTATCCTTTTACTTTAAACTATATGTAATTTTTATTTTTTTAATTTTTAAAGTCAATTTAATTTTTCAAATTTTAAAATTTAATAAATTTAGTTTTTATTATTT